GGTTATATAGTAGACCTATCTCCTTCTAATAGTATATTAACTAGGTACTTAGGGATCTCTTAGATATAGTTACTATTATATTTATAGATAATATCCTAATCTTTAGCGAGGACCCCGAGAAGTATATTAAATATATTCGGGCTATAATCTAACGATTATAAGCTATAGGACTTTAGGTAGTAATCTATAAGTATAAGTTCGACCGAACCGAGACTAAGTTCTTAGGTTTTATCGTAGGAGTAGATAGAGTAAGGACTAATCCTAAGAAGATTAAGGCTATTTATAAGTAGTAAACTCCTATAATAGTTAAAGGAGTTTAGTCCTTCCTTAGGTTCTATAACTTCTATTATTATTTTATTACTATCTATAGTCGTATCACGAAGCTACTCTACTAACTTATAAAAAAGGACTATATAAATATCTTCTAGTAACTAAAAACTACTCTTTCTTCGGTATCTATCTTAGTATACTACTATCCGGAGAGGAAGACGAGACTAGAAACGGATATCTCGAAGGATATTATCGCGGGAGTACTATCCTAGAAGTAGGATAGGTTATAGTATCTTATTAGGTTCTTCTCTAAGACTATATTATCTAGGAAGTAGAAGTAGGATATCTACGACCGGGAGATACTAGCGATTATAGAGAATATAGATAATTAGCGGGCTAAGCTATTAGGACTATAACGTAAAGAAAGATTCGAGGTCCTAATAGATTATTAGGCGTTAGAGTACTTTATATTATTAAAACTTCTAAATACTTATTAAGCTTACTAGGGTTTAAAACTTTCCTAGTACTATTTCGTTATCCGCTACTAACTAGGATAATAAAATACTCTTACGGATATATTATCCCGCTTCTAGGTTAAATAATAAGAAGAACCGGAGAGCTAGATATTACTACCGGAATCCTACTTAGACCCCTAGATTATAAATAAGTATAAGACTATTCGAATTAACCGACTCTATATTAGTAGCGACTTAATTAAATAGTTATTCTTAGTAAACCGGGATAATCTAGAGCTAGAAGTATAGCGTTAGGAAGCCGAATAGGAGAATTCCTTAAGTAGATTCGACTTACGAGAAGGGGTACTAATCTATAATAAGAAGCTTATAGTCCTAGTATATAGATAGCTACGAACCTAGTTAATCTCCGAAGCCTATAATTAACTATCTTTAGCCTACCCGAGTACTAAGAAGCTTTAGAAGTTCCTAGTAAGCCGTTTTTAGTAGGAGACTCTCCGCTAGGATATTATTCGGTTTTCGGATAACTATATAATATATAAGTATACTAAAATCTAGCGAATAAAGACTCCGGGACTCCTAAACCTATTACCGGTACTAGATAGATCCTAGTAGTATATCTCTATAGACTTTATATACCTACTAAAAGACCGATACGGATATAATAACGCCTTAATAGTAGTCTATAGATTAACGAAGCGGATAGTTTATATACTCTTATTTAAGAATACTATAGCTAGGGATCTAGTAAAGTTATAGTTAATATACTATTATAGATAGATAGGACTTCCGGACTTAATTATATTAGATAGAGGACTATAGTTTATTATATTATTCTAGAAGACCCTATATAAGTTAATAGGGATTAAGCGGAAGTTATCTACTCTATATTACCCTTAAACGGATAGATAGTCAGAAAATACGATCTAGTTATTATCTTAATAACTATATATCTTCGTAGATAAGTTCGCTAATAACTAGTCTAGCCTACTATTAATAATAGACTTTACTTAGGTAATTTTATCTTATAAGTCGACTAGGGTCTTACTATACTACGCCGAACGCGGGTATAAGCTAAGAATAATAGTTAATTAGTAACTTAGTAGTAGCGGATAGGATCTCTATAGGCTAGACCGGGAGGTAGCTCGAGACTAGATAGACAAAATTCGCTAAGTTTATAAGTTTATATAGGATAATATAGCTAAAGCGTAGGAACGTTAGTATACCTAGGCGAATCGATATCGTAGGGAGCTAAACTTCGATATTAGGGATCTTATTATAATTATAATAAAGGATAATCGGTAGATCGTAGAAGGGCTATTAGGTAAACTCCGTCCGAAAGTAGAGGGACCTTTCCGGATTATCGAGAAGATAGGATATACTTTTCGACTATAACTACTAGAAGGGTCGTTACGATATAATATCTTTAACCCAGAGAAGTTACGCTATATAATAAATATAGATCTACTTCTAGGATAGCCTATCCCTAAACCGGCGATATAGGTTATACTAGAGCCGGAGTATAATATAGAGATAATCCTTACTTCGCGAATTAACCGGTCGAAGCTTTAGTATCGAGTAAAGTAGGTAGGATTCGAGAATAATATAATATAGTATAATACTAGTAATTTCCGGACTACGGCTTCGAAACTCCGGGAATATTATAAAACCTATCTATCCTATCCTAGATCTCTGGTAAATCTTAACTATTAGTTAGAGTACGAGGCTCTTAATAAGAAGCTACTAGTACGCCTAGATAATAATATACCGTAACGTTACTACGCCTAAGGATAGTCGCGAGTCTAAATAGGGGGTAATATAATATATAGGTAATAAGTTAATAGTTAACTAGCTAGTTAGTTAACTAGTTCGTAAATAGACTTAGAGTATAGAGTTAGTTAGATAAGTTAACTAGTTAGTTACTATAAACTAGTAAGTTTACTAACTAGTTAGTTAGCCGACTAGCGAGTTAGTATTAACTAGTAGGTTAGTTAGCTAGTTAATAGATATAGACTTAGGGAGTTAAGGAGGAGATTATATAATCGATATTTACGTTTATAAGATTAGATATTTACCTACGCGTTATTAATAGAAGCCTTACGTATATATATATACTAGAGCCTAAGGATTATTTACCTTTCGGTTTACTTCTATAGAGGAACCTTCTATCTAGGACTTTCTATAAGGATTCTGCCGCCTTACTATAGCCCCGCCTACGATAGGTATTTAAGATAGTACTTTATCTTCCTTATTTCTTCCTTTTCTTTTTCCCCTTCGTCTTAGTTTTCTTCGTTATATAGGATATAGTTACTTTACCTTCCTTCTTCTATATATAGGTTATCGTAGCTATACTACCTAGGAGTTATAGTAGATAAGGAAATATAGAAGTAGCTAAAAAACGGTATTTAGCGTATATATAATCTTCCTACTAAAAGTACTAAAAAGACGCTTCTTCCGCTTCGATAGGTCTTTCGTATTAAGGATAATAGGACCTATAAAGCGCGTCTCGTTATAAAAGGGTTTAAATAACGCGAAGGAATCGATTATCTTAATATTTATATAAGTATAGCTAAAGCTTTAAGCTTTAAAATATTCTACGTAATCGCTACGTATTTCGGCTAGAAGATATATTATATTAACTTTGTTACGGCGTTTCTTAATATAGAGCTTCTTAAAGAAATCTATATTTAACTTCCTAATAGTTTTAAAGAGCCTAGAAAATACGGCCTTCTTTTAAAGACTTTATATAGTCTAAAATAGAGTTCTCGCGAATAGTATAATACTATTTATAGGGCTCTTATAGCTCTTAGGTTTAGTCGTTTATAAGCTAATTATTCGGTCTTTATATATTTAAAGCGTAAGCTTTATCTTCTTATATACGTTAATAATATACTAATTATTATATCTTTAGTTATATCTCTTATATAGCTTAAGGATTATATTCGAAAATCCTTCGATATTACTAATAACGGTACTACTACACGATTCCTTACGATTAATATTGTTTATATAGATAGTAAGGTAAAGCTCTCTTAGCTCGTCTATATTCGAAAGGTCCTCGCGAAATTTAACCTATAAGATATATATATAGTTCCTACGCTATTTTATAATAAGGAGATCCTATAATCGCGTAAGGATACTACTACTCCGGCGGAAGTTAAAGCTTATCGTAAGATAGTAGGCTTACTTATTTAGCTAATAGTTAATACGCGACTAGATATTATATTCGTAGTTATAAAGCTTATAAGATATACGTATAATCCCTCCGCGAAGTATATAACTATATTAAAGTATATCTTTCGATATCTTAAGGGTTCTGAAATACTTACTATCGCGTATTCTTACTTACTAGACCCCCTCTTTAGATTCGTTAATATAGATTAGGCCGGTAAATATACGGATAGTAGTATATTAACCTCCGGCTTCTTTTTTAAGCTTACGAATAGTATAATTACTTAGGCTTATAAAAAGTAAATATACGTTACTCTTTCCTCTACAGAAAGCGAGTATATAGCTATATCTTTAGCTATCTAAGAGGTATTATAGCTATAGCTTTTCCTTAAGGAACTTAATATAGAGTCCCTTTTATAACTTCCTACTATAATCTACGAGGATAACTAAGGCGCTATTTACCTTACTAAAAGCTAGGATTTATACTAACGAACGAAGTATATCAACGTTAAATACTATTATATTAGAGACTAAGTCTCTAGGGGGGTATACAAATTCGTTAAAATCTCTACTATAGAGTAGGCCGTAGATAGCTTTACCAAGCCGCTATAGCGAGTCTAATTCGAGAGGTTTCTATACCTTTTAGGCATAAAAAAGCTCTAATTTAACGGCTATTCAACGGTTTTTCAATAGCCTTTATAGCGAGCTTAATTCTATAGGTTTAAATACCTTTTTTTAAGCTCAAAAAGCTGTATTAAGGCGTTATTAACATATTTATATGATCACTTTTCATGTTTTTCGTGTTTTGAGTGAGATTAGTGGATCGAGGTCCAGGGGGTGTTGAGATAGCTTGGTGGTTTAGCGCGTCTCACCAGCGTGGTGCGCGCCCACGCACACCACCTTCGTAGCTTAGATAGGCACCTCTCACCAGATGCAATCTCACCATTCCTTTCTCCCCTCTTTTTGGGTCTGCTACGTTCTCCCAGTAGCCTCCAATACACTATAGCCTCGTGTCTCAGTGTCTCCCCGCGGAACAGCCTTTCCATACTACCTGGCTCACCAAGAGAAGGCGATTCCGCCCTGCACATGCTCTATACAATGGTACGTCATTTAAAATTACTGTGAATGGCACATTCTTCAAAGTCAGGATGATTAGAGTCCGGCAAGAGAGACAGCTCAGTCCTAACTAACGCGTACCTCCCCTCCAGCACAATCAAGAAGCGGCTCAAAGAATGAACGGGCCATTAGATCATCATTTCACCAAGCACTCCATATCACATCCGCCCCCGAATGATCTCCCTGCCCAAACACTCAGACGGGAACTTTCATTGTTTGACCTGGCCAGGCACACTCCTGGTGAACTGGAGATCCACCCAATGACACTGGCAGAGCAACAGAGTCCTGCATCAGACGCGAGTCGGTCAACTATAAGCATTCATGGAGATGGAGCGAAAGCAGTATGTCGCAGAACCCCTTTCTCTTCCTCCACCTTCCCTCTTCTCACCTCCATGCGAGCCCTCTCTTTCCATTGATCACACTAAGTGATCCCCGCCACATCTTCAGACCAACCGACGCATCCAAAATCGCGCCGCCCAGCGCCGCTTCCGCGAACGCCGCGTCGAACAAAACAAAGTCCTGCAGGCCCAGCTCTCCGACCTCAACGAAAAACACCAATCACTCGCCGACGAGCTCAGCTCCAAGCTCGACCTCATAACCCAGCTCCAAAAAGATAATGAGAAGCTACAGGCAGAGGCCCAGTCCCTTGGGCAAAGATGGCAGTCCATGATATTGCTTCTTCAGCGGCCGAAGAGCTTACAGCTTTTGTCGATGTTGATTGGGGAAGAGGGATCAGGATCAGGATCAGATGGAGTTGTGGGCTCTGGGGCAGGCGGAAATGGGAATGGGGGGATTCGTGATTTAGATCGGTATCTACCGTGTTTGGATGCGTTGACGGCTTCTACTCGGTCTGGTGGGAAGGGAAACGAGCTGGACGGGGACGGATGTTGAATCCCATTTGCCTTGAGTGCTTTCGGATTGCCTTTTTTGATCTTCCACCGTTTTAGCGCCTGGATAATGAATGATTGAGTTGCAACTGCATCTACTGAATCAAGAGACAAATTCAGTTTGAATCTTGATTGCAAAATCTCCTGATCATCGACTGACCTCGGAGCGTCGAGATTCTATCTATGCCAATACTACCTAAGCAGCCCCATCATTCGGACGTCTGCCAAGGTAATTTTGTGAAGGGAGTATTCATATACCTTACTTCACACGTGCTGGGACCCTGGGCGTGGTAAAAATCCCCGTCCATGGCCTTTGAGATGGAAATAGCTGGCGGGAAAGACCGTGAGGGTACTGATATTGATAATTTGTTCCAAGTGAAGTCCAAGCTCTTCTCCTCAGTTCATAGGTATCAGACTCTACGGAAAGTTTCTCTTTTACATTTCACTCCGTAAAGATCAAGATTATGCAGTTGTTTTTGTCATTTTTTGACCCGTGACGGGACTGGTTCAGTGAGTTCTTCCAGCGTCAAGCATAGGCAGTGAAGAATAGGATTCCAGCTCTTCGTCATGGTGTAGCACCGATGAAGCTTCACCATTATGCATCTCACGTCGGTCGACACAAAATATAGATTTCAAGGCACAAATGGCCGCCAAACCTCATGGAAGGATTGTTTTTGTTAAGAAGCTCCAACAACATCCCGCGCAGCCGTCGTGGTTTGGTCACCGTAGCCAAAAACCTCGATCAATCCCCTCGTACATGGGATGCGCCACTTTGACAAGACTAAATTGGCCGGTCTTGTAGGAAAGCATCTCTCTGAAGGATGAGTCCCCCGTCTTATTGGAGGCCGTTTTCAAGGCCTGGCCACAATTGAGCGATTTCATGGACGATATCCGGAGCGAGGGGTCGAAACTGACCAGAACTAGTGCCCGGTGATGTTCCGGAAGGGCGGGGCTAGATATGGAATAGATCAGTGAGCGGTCATCGCTCACTACACTCACGGGTCCGGCCTCTTCGGCGGGAGTAAGAAGTTGATGGATGTGGGCGGGTCCATCCTCCCGAGGCCACATGCGCACGCCACGAGAGACAAACCGCTCATCAGAGACGTGCACTTTCGTGGGCCGTTTGGCGGGTGGGTCTTGCTCAGAAGTCCAACCAGGATCCCCCGCCGGCCCATCTTCGTCCTGGGACAATCGTCGCTTGCGCGAGACAGTTCGCAGACGCAGGCGATCCTGCATTTGACTCCCGTGGCCCCGAGGGATTTGATCATTGACGAGATCGATAAAGGTGGAGCTCGCCAGATCGTAAGCGTGATGTTTGGTATGTGCGTATATGAACCCTCTCCGTAGATTCCAATCCTCGTCCAGCTCATGCTCACGGTGCTCACCCCGCCGCAGACGTTTTGCCGCGAGAACATCGATGCTGCAGTCATCCTGATCATCCCCCTTGAAAGTCTCCTCGGAATGTCGACAAGACGCGACGCTGCCGTTCGAACCCTGACGATCCTCGGGATCAACCAGGTCAAGTTCCTCCACGGTGGGCAATGGATGTGTATAGATTGTACGGCGCCCTTCATCTTTACCGAGGGACCACTCGCGGCGACACTCTACAATCATAGGCCGCCCGGTGGCCGTATCCCTCTGGATGGAGAGAGCCGTCCACAGATCATCAATGGGACCCTCGCGGTGCTCGCGACGCCAGACACGGCCCGACCATTTTCGGTCCTCTTGGCGTGGGGCAAAGCACGTCCAGTAGTAGTATGATGAGAACCGCTCATCATCATAGGTCATGTTCTCTGTGGAGACCACGTAGAGATGCTCATCAACAATCTGAAATTGAATGTCTCGGCCCAGATAGCTCGTTACCATCTGATCGAGGGTGAACTTGAATTCGGCCCGAGTGTCGAGATCGTAGCCGCAGCACAACCAAGTCCCGTAAGTACCCGGGTCATCAAGATACACCGCATACCATAGGTATTTGTTACTGTGTCGCACCACAACCTGCCTTGACGCCGGGATCGGCTCATTTAGCAGGAGCCGCCACGGACGGTGAGTCAGCTTGGGCGTCACATCGAGAGCGACTAGCGCGAGGCTCTCTTGATGCAGGCCTGCAAGTGTGAAGACGACGACCCCTTGCTGGAACCCAAGAATTTTGAGGTTTTCTGGGTCATCCAAGACCGAGACGTTGGCTTTCGGACGAGTCAGACGGGGGACAATATCGTCCAGGTTCAGGACGTGCTCTTGCTGGGCCGACCGATGGACGTCGAGGGTACGGAGTTGATGACCGGCCAGATAGCAGAGTACACCGTCCTGATAGACAAAATCCTTGGCGTATGCCAACATGGACACTGCATAGGGGGAGGCGGTGGCTAACGCTTCTTCAATGTCGAAGCGGTGTCCAACCGCCTTGAGGTAGCCAAGCCCGCCCGCAAGGGCTGCATGACCTTCCTTACTGTGGGCGATGTCGTTCTGCGAGAAAACCCGTGTCAGCAGGCGATCCGCAGACGATCAGCAGGTGTACCGGGAAATGTGCTCTGAAGGAATAGAGAAGATTGAGTTTGCAAAACGGGGCGACTACAACGAAGCGAGTCCGCAGGAATCTTTCCACGCCGACTGAACTTTAACGCTGCCCGGGCGTTGGGGCTGGGGAACTTTCGAGGCGGGGAGGGACGGACAAGAAATGGGGGGGGCAAAATGCGGATGCCAAGTGGGCGTGTGGGCATCGCCACGCATGGTCTTATTGGGAGAAAGACGGCACGGCTTGCGGCTTGTGAGGCTCTTCACAGACTTACCTCGACAAGTCGATGTGCAATAAGCTCACTCCGCACGCAGGAGTACATTGCCCGGCATGTTCGGCTGAGATGAACGAATTCAGAGATATTCAAATATTGGCTGATTTGATAGAGAATGTCGAAGGGCAGGTTGACCAAGGAGGCCGGTGTCGAGAAATCAGCAGTCATGGCTCTGAGAGGTCCGGAAGAGTGGTGTCGTCTGCAAAGAGATTGTCCAACACAGGAGACATAAACAATAGATCAGAAGGACCGCAAAGATCGAATCATGTAGAGCTTGTGGTGACCTGAAGCTCAATTCACACCATCAGGTCGGGCGTCGTTTTGCGGAGGTCCAGAAGTGAGATGAGGGCGGGAAATTCGCTGAACGACAAACAAACTAGAAGACGGAACCACCCAGCGAGAATATTATTGAAGGTTGGAGACGTAATACCGGGGACGGAGATAGACAGCAACGACGCAATCGAAGTGAATTCCGCGAGGCCAGACAGAAGCTACGCGGAACTGCAGTGAGAAACTGAAGAAGCGGAAGGATCGGTGAACGAGGTGTGTCTGTCTACCTCGAACCAAACAGGGAGCCGGCCTGGATCGCGGTGGACCAGGCTGATTTTATGACTAGAGGGCAATCATTTCATTTTGAGCCGCAAGCTTGCCAGAGTTTGGGATCCATCGTTGGAGTCGTCAGGAGTAGGTTCAGGAAGAACTGAGCGGGAATCCCCCAACCTAAGCGGTCATCTCGTGTCCTGCGGCCGTGCGGCTCTTACGTCGAGATTCTCGAGCCGAGGAGAAAGAGCCTCAATCTCAATTGATGATCCGGATCCAGCTGTGTCTCCCACCATTGCCTTTTCAAGGCCAGCGCCTTCGTTGCTTCATTTGCCGCTTAATGTCTCTCGTGTGGTGCTCCAGCTCAACTCCCGGGTTCACAGCGCAGTGGCTGGTGCTACGGAGGACTACGAGCGCATCGAATGCCTTCGGTTCATCACGATGAGGCTTGGTGAATACGCGCGTCACGGAGCCTCGACTGATCCTGCCGGTGCTGTCCCCAATGTGGTCCCGTGGGTGACATGTCTATCACCATTTATGGTTTGTGGCCCCAAGGACAAGGGGACCATCAGCTTACATGTCTGTGGATATGCGGGGTCGGCCCAAGGGAACAGAGAGCCAGAGTGAGAGAAAGAGAGTAACTAAGAGAGGCAGAGGGAGAGAGAGAGAGAAGGCTGGAGAATCAGATTCTCCGGGAAACCATCAGGTGTCGGTGGGAAGGTGGCCCCCAGCGGTGAAGTCAAGCCTCACTCTCCATCCGGCGCGGATCGCCGCGGACTGCCGCGGACTCAGAAACCCGCCGCCGGGCCTCCGCTTTACGATCTCGTCAGTACCCAGGACCGGAAACATCTCTGAGATGCTTCCCAGTGGTGTCTAGATCTCATCACCCATGCCAGTCTTCCCGGTCGCCAGCCGCCTTATGCGTGACTAGCTGTCTGATTGGCTTTTCACTCCTTATCCTCTTTGAGAGCGTGCTGCCGAACCCTGGTCGTCCAGGTGTTCTAGTAAACAGGATGCTTCCATCCGGCGCCCGTGTTCCCGTGTGATTAGAGGCCGAATTCAGTGGTCGGAGATCACTACATGTGCATTGTGCTCTGCCTTAGTCAATTGTCAGATGGACCGGGGGAGAGCAAGGGTGTGACCATGAGCGATGATAACCGAAGCTCGAGGGATCATAGCAAGCTACGACGACTACTGGGCATCATCGCTCCATCCTCGTGGCCCGCCGATGTGGTCATCTGCCAGTCAGCCACATGGTTTTCACCGACCATCCATGATCATCACATCGTCGCTGACTCGAACTTCGAACAAAGCGCCGATACAGGGGTTCCTCTTCCAGCCCCCACGCCACTACTACCCAAAGTCCATAGGCAGATTAGGTTGGTGGGAAACCCCGGTACCTGACGTCTGGTGTGTCCAGGTCAAGGATTGACAGATCAGGCTTACGGGCAAGTTGTTGTACCCAGCGACCACGGACCAGTCATATTTAGCGTACTATAGTTCCAGAATCATTGCGGTGGCAGTGGATAGTAGTGATACGGTACAGTGTACAGGGTACACTTTAGACTGTCAATTCACTCTTGTGTATCCCTTATACACGGTCTGCTCTGTTTGCGGTGACCTGAGCCGCATCCCCGACTCCGCCAGACAGGAGGGAGAACCGAGGTCAGCCGCGATTCCTGGTAGAATGCCAAACAGGGCAGATGGTCGCATGTTGAGTGTGAGATTGTCTGGCTGGGTGAGATTCTATCTAGGCTATGGACTGCGATGAGACTGCCGTCTCATCGCAGTCCATACGGCCAGTGTTATTGTCTTTGTTGTTGGGTTTCCGAGTCTTGAGGTGTCACTCGTGTCACGTTGTCAACTCTGGCAGCCTGCGGCTCTAGATCTGCTATGTCCGCCTGTAGCATCTGCAGTCGTACTCTTATCTGCCGGGAATACCTATGCAGGGCCGACCGTGACTCTTGTACCGTGATCCGGTAGTACCCATCCCCTCCCCCCCCCCCCCCCGCTACTAAGCAGCTCACATGTATTGACTATTGAGCGGAACTTGATCAGACATTCTGGTTTAATAAGAAGTACAGATTCGTCCATTCTGAAGGGTGCTTTCTCCAGAGCAGAATGTAGAACTGGCTTCGTAGCAGTGGTTACTCTACCGATAACGGTATACGATTCCTGGAGACGGGAATGAATCATCATAACCTGAATCATGTGATGAACCCGACTCAGACTGCAGCGATAATGAAGTCTGTCCATAACAGATAAAAAGTAACTAAATCGACTGCTATGGTCGCACAGCAATGTAAAGTGGAACCACTAACCAGTCCACGCTCCACGAGTCCACAGAGCCTCTTCATCGGGCGCTGATAGACCCAAAGCCAAGCATCAAGCCGCGAGTCAGCAAAATGATGCTGCCTAGTGGGCTAAAGCACTCTGGCACTCTGGCACTCTGCAGCCCTACGGGCGACACGGCGGGGAATCCGCAATCTTGGCGTGGTGTGTGCCTCGACGACCGCAACGGAACGAACGGCACTCGGCGAATCACCCGGAGGGGTCTCACCTGTCTGATGACACGCTGCTGGTGAGACCTTAATCTTTCTCTGGTGACCTCAGCGGTCAACATCCGAATGCCAGTCTGTCGTTGCTGACCCTTCGTCGTCGTAAGAACCTACATCTCCAAGGTCAATGCAAGTGGAACTGACCCTGCTCTGTAGATTGATCGTGTGTTGAACTGTTGATCCTCCCCCGCGCGCGACCCACCGGTCAGCCAGCCTGCGACACGAGAATCAGCCGTCTTCTCACTCTCCCAGATTGCGACCGAGGGCACACAAATTGCAAGAGGCTCCGCGTGTGGAATTCACAGTCTTTTTTTCCGCCACCCTGTCTCGGTGACTATCAGGCTCTCCGAGACCATCGAGACGCCCCCCCCCGGGTGACAGCAGGTCATCGGAGCATCCGCGATCATACCTGTTGTACCATCTCCACCGACATCCTCTCCCATTCAATGTACTGGGCTCCTCCACCAGGACCGCCGCCTCCATCAGGTCAGCCATGGCCAGGATATCAGCCAGCTCCGTCGCCGTATGGTTATCAGCCGCCGCCACCGCCAACGCCTCCACGACCTGAACACCACCAAAACCATCACCATCCCCCTCCAGGCCCTCCACCCGGGGTATACCCCGGAACAGTGCCCTATGGAAACACGCCTCCGCTGACGCAGCCCCCCCTACGGGCCACCACCACCCTCCTCCTTCTCCTCCTCTCCGTATCCTCCGTATGGGCCGCAACATCGCCAGCGCTGGAGCACGAGTAGTCACGGTACGGAACCTCAAACCACCCGCTTTTGATGGGGAGTTGGAATCTTTTCTGTCTTCTCGCATGTACTCAGTGAGATCATTAAGACCATCAAGGCTGACGGGAAGAACGGGCAATTCTGAGCAGGGCCCCCTCCCCCAAGCTCTCCATCGCTGGCCCCTCCGCCTCCGCGGAGCCTCCAACAGTTTGGTCATGGCGCCCCATCCAGTTACCAATTCCAGTATTCCCTTTGCACAGGTCGTCGCAAAGCGTTGCTTATCGGCATCAATTATTTCGGCCAGGCCAACCAGCTGAAAGGCTGTATCAACGACGTGACCAACATTTCCACTTTCCTGCATGAGCGCTATGGCTATCGTCGTGAAGATATGGTCATCCTGACCGATGATCAACGGAATCCCATGAGTATCCCCACCAAGGCCAACATTCTCCGGGCCATGCAGTGGCTGGTCAAGGATGCGCAGCCGCACGACTCACTTTTCATTCATTTCTCGGGTCACGGAGGTCGAACTCCCGACCTGGACGGAGATGAAGATGATGGTTTCGACGATGTGATTTATCCGGTAGACTACCAAAGTGTCGGACACATTGTCGACGACGACATGCATGAGATCATGGTTCGACCTCTTCGCCCTGGAGTGCGTCTGACGGCAGTCTTTGATTCGTGTCATTCGGGAACCGCGCTCGATCTGCCGTATGTGTATTCCACTCAGGGTGTCCTCAAGGAACCCAATCTGGCCAAGGAGGCAGCGCTGGATCTCTTCAGCGCCTTCACGGCATATGGAAAAGGAGACTTTTCCAGCATGGCCAGTACCGCCATTGGGTTTTTCAAGAAAGCAGCCATCGGCGGACAGGCACGAGAACGAACGCTCAAGACCAAGACATCGCCAGCTGATGTGGTGATGTTTTCCGGGTCAAAGGACACCCAGACCTCGTAAGTCGAAATCTTGCGGTAGAGAGTTCACCGCTGCCTGCCTCGGAGAGACTCGACTCTCTGCGACAGAGACGACCGCTGACTCATGATGACAGAGCCGATACGTTCCAAGACGGTCAAGCAAGAGGTGCATTGAGTTGGGCCTTTATCAAAACCCTGACGCAATGGCCCCATCAAAGTTACCTGCAGTTGCTGAACAACATTCGAGCGGAGTTGGATGGAAAATACTCCCAAAAGCCCCAGCTCAGCTGCAGTCATCCTCTGGGTAAGTCATGGACTGTTGTGTAACCATCAACCCAACTGGGAAATCATCTGCTGACTCGTACTTGGAGATGTCAATTTGCGCTTTGTCATGTGAGACTGGGACGCAGGACGGATTTTCTTTCTTTCGCATTTACCGGTACAGCCACTCTATCTTTACTCGTTGTATAAACATTATATAACCATGCTGCATCAACCACCAGGCGATGCTGAGTACCTTCAGCCGAGTCGAATGGTTCTTCGAATTTCGGATCGGGCGGGAGTTGATTCCCCACTTGTTCTCGTTCTCCTGCTTATCTCCTGTATCTGGTACCATGACCTCCTCGTCATTGCAATAGTGTTATCGTCAACATTAGCCGACCACTCCGACCCCTGTGGCATGAGACGAAAGTTGTCATATCTCGTGAATTGATATGATATTGAGCCTCGCACTCCGGCTTGGACACTCAAGCCCACCATTCCTATCCTTTTTCTGGACCTTCCATCTTTTTGTGAATGGAAAGTGGTGAGTTGCTTCGCCTGGCCCCCAATGCCGAGACATGCAGCCTCAAGACGCAGTCTGCGTCGTTGATAGGGGGGACTAAATTTAGCACCCTCAACCCCAAACGGGTCATGGATTGATTCATCGCGGGAGTTTTGTAAGGTCGTAACTTGTCAGTGCTCTCACTGCTTAAGAGTCCCAAGTCAGCGACCGAGAACCGGCCCAGCCCGATTTAGACTAGACTGGCGTGGCTGCGCGTTCCTTGCGCCTCGCGCAATGTTATTTACAGTTGTACTCCACTTTGAGAGTAGATACTAGAAGTAGATTGTCTTTTTTGATTTTCTCTCTTTCTGGGCTCCCGTCTGACGCTTGCCCAAGTGACTCGGTTTCGGCACAGGTCACTATCTTATATAGTACAGTGGCTGGGGCTTTGATCCAACGTAAAATGCCAAGTACGGATGTATTGCTATTAGCGCCAGGCGTCCCTCTTTCTTACCACGCATGTGTAGCAGTCTAAGTAGGAGATTGGCCCAATTACAAAGTTGACCCTGCCGACCCCGGCAGATCATCAATCATCAATGCGTGGTCGATCCCTTCTAGCTTACTCGCGACGCATCAGTGCACAATGTTTGAAAACAGTGCATGTGAGATTCATTCCTATTCTTTTCGGCGCAAGCACCTCGTTGCCAGGTCAAAGAGGTAGGCTACTAAGGAATACGTATGGTAGGATTGTGAGTTTTTTTTATGCTTACCTGCTTTCTCTCGGGATGACATTTAACAGTGATTTTCTAGGGCTGGGAAGTTAGTCTTGGTCTTATAATTCTCAAGTTCGAAAACACACAACGCTTCCTTTTGACGAGCACTTCCAGTCAAGACTGTCCCGAATCTCCCGAGTGTACTGATATTTTGAGCCGATAGAGGGAGATAGAGATGAAGTAGACGACGAAGCGGGTCCCTAAGCCGCGAGTCCCGCGACCTGCCGCGTCAACACTGAACCACAAGACGACGAAACCTGAAAAACAAGTTGACCCTTTTGCCGATTGGCGTGATGTATCAGATCCGAGTGGAGGAAGAGCCACTCGGGTGGGGCTGGTTAAAATGCATACCTTGTTCAGTGTTCACAGTGTTCACAGTGTTCACAGTGTTCACAGTGTTCAGTCCTTCTGGCAGATGAAATGGTGAGTTGACAAGATGGATGGTCTGAGCATAAGCTCCCGCAGGGATCAAAGGTCAGTCATCATTATTGTAGCGAACTGTGCATTGGCATCGGTGAGGCGTGGGGGCAATTATATGGCTGTGCTGCATGATTAATGTCGAGCTAGAGAGCCGAAGGATCTTGACTAGGTAATTCGTACCTGTCTAACCACCTAAATTTTTCAACAAGTAAATTACCCAGGTCATGCTCAATCATCTCGTATCTTGACGGGAGCTATTCGGATTCCAAACAATGGAACTCAATACCCAGACAGTCGACCTCACACCTAGTCTGTTTAGTACCCGACTTTCAGAGGTCCAGACATTTCTTCACAGGGGTATCTTGCCATTTAGCAAGTCGTGAGTAACAAGCGACCCGTGGTTGGCCCCCAACAGGACTTGTTACACCGTCTCGAGGTGTAGTTCCATAGATTCAACTGGTCAAAGTGAGCTTGTAAGCCGTATAGATCTAGAAAAAGAAAACAAATAAATATGTCATTCAAAAAACTTAAAAATTTGGATCTCGGAAGAGAGGCAAGGCTGACAGGTTGGAACCGCCTCCACTCCACTTTGTTTCCAGGTTGTGGTCTTGTTGGTCGTGGCCGCAGTCGCAGTCGCAGTCGCAGTCGTGATTTCAATGATGTTTGGCGTTGCTCAGCCTCCAGATGATTGCAACTTCTCGCTTCAAAGGGGGTAAATGGTCGCCCGGGGAGCTGCTAGTCTCGTCTTCTTTGGTCTTCTTTCTTTGATATATCGTACCTGAACGCTCTTTGGTCTCACCAGTACAAACTTTTTCTTCTTCTTCTTCTCCACATCTTTCCCTCCCCTTCTCCAATACTTAACCTCATTCTTCAACTGGTTGAAGACAGCGCTATACCAGCCACCACTCTGAGTATTAAGAGGACCACCTTCCTAACTGGTCGCTACATCTCCCACATTCGACTCTCTACAATGTCGACCATGTCATATTCTCCTAGCACCTCCTACTACTCACCATCACTTGCCTCGACGACATCCGGTCTACCCTACCACCACACACAACCCATGTCCAGTCTCTCGCTGGCTTCTCAGTCCTCACGTCGCACCTCCACATCCGCAAAATCACCACGCTTTTACTCCTCCCCCGTCCAAGATGGATACGGCACTCCCGTCCAGCTCTATGGCCTCGAACGCCGAGAACCCTCCATCCACGAAAAGCCCAAACGATCTCGACGCATCTCTTACGCGCTCGGTGGAATCGAAGAAAATCTCTCTTCAATGAATTCAGATACAACTCCCATGCGTGCCACGGCCAACAAGATCCGCCGTCGGCCCACACTCCGTCTGGGCTCCTCCCCCGTGCCTCCTGTGATGGCTCCGTCGCCTCGCATAATGGAGGATGGAGCATCCACACCGCAATTTCCACCCGAGTCGGCCTGGTCCATTTCGACGACGCAGACAAGTGGCTTCGCACGTCGATTGACTCGGCGCTTGTCTGTGTTTTCCATGCGGAGAAAGACCGCTGTGCAGTCGGGGAGGGAGATGCCGTCACCGGACTCGATTGGTTCACCACTGCAGCATGGGAGTCGTCTCCAGCCTACGTTTGCGTGAGATCAAAAAGCTCGAAAGAGAGAGTAGGAAAGGGACAGAGCAAAAACTTAATGGTACAAGCATGTCTTGTCAGGTCATGAATTGGACATACAAGGCTGGCATACATATTGGAACTGGAAAGTATCTAATTTAAGGCGAGGAAATGGGAACAAGCGAAAGTGATAGATTACCTTTTTTTCGAGAAAGTAGCATTCAGACAGAAACGCATACCACATGCATCCATGTCAGTCAATCATGCACGATGCAGTCATACGAGTGTTGGTCGTATTCTTTCTCATCCGAATAATTGCATATCGGCTGAGAAATCAGTAAAATCCGGGGCATATGCGGGGGTCCAAAACACTGAGGTAGTCAGCATGAAAATCTGGATCAATTTACTCATCGATCAAGCATTCCAAGTTTTTTTTTTCCTCGTTCCTTTCTCCAGTCCAGGCACTTTTTACGAATCTGTTCCTTGATTGACGATCTTCTAGAACGGCTCGGTCATGATCTGATCGCCCAGGTCAAAGCTTCTCAAAGCTTCTCCTTGCAGGTTGAGGATCCTTGCTCGGAACCTTAAAATCATACGAGTGTGGGTGGCATTAGCAGATAAGCTATCGGGACTGACTGCCTGTTTAATTTAAATGTGAGATCTAGACACCACCCCTTATAGGGTACAGCGAAACCGAACGGCGATAGCACTGTTGTCACACAATCTATATCAACACCGGCGCAACCTTGCATGGAAGACTGCAGTGATTTGAATTTAATCTCCAGCTCGAACCTGAGATAGAATAATGATCACATAGCTCCTGGTCCCCGGAAAGAAACGATCATGGGCCCAATTTCTCCAACCCGCTTCAGCTGAGTATGCCCCTTACTTTCAGGCATACGACTAGTTTCCCGTCATGTCGATGGACACACCAATGGTCTAGTTGACGAAATACTGCAGCGCTTGGAGAAAAAGCCCTACCAACAATCTAATTAATCAAAATCAAGTGACTCTGCTATGAATTTATTCGAGCATTGGTCTTATTGAGATCTAGACCCTCGATTTTTATGCTTTGATTTGCTAATGCTGAAGCAATGCATGGATACCCGATGGCATTAGAAACCCTGAACCTTGAAAGTTGACTTAGAAATTTCCACAGAGGAAATTCAGTATTGATTAGAAACATATGGTTCCGAAGATATCATGGAGCGGAAATTACGGAAATGCTTGGGTGCGAACGTACTGCCAAGTGTTTTCCCACAAGCATGATATTCAAGGTTGGTGCGCGGCTTAGATTACCCAGCCATGGATATTATGTGTTCTTAACTGATGTCAAGAAGATCGGATGTTCTCAAATCTCACCTGTCAATGATTCTCTGGTATATGATGGAATTTCTGAAAGCAGGGAAGATCCGTTTGGAGTCTCATGAGGACTGTGACCAATTGATGCGCGGTACTTGTACAATTCCTAGGTTCCTTCTACTTCCTATGACAGTCTTGGTCACTCCAATCGGTTAGAACTCTACCATAGTCATTATTGTTCAAGTTTTGACCTGACAGATTAGATTGATAGTTCTCTCGCCTCGGGTCCGGAGAAGGCAATTGAATTGTTGAAAAGATATAAGTATAGTACTCAACCTTATCCGGTTCGTCAGTCAGTGAGTGATCCTTGTCCTGTTAAATGGCAGCCTATTAGTGACAAGTGTCTTCTAGCCTGCAGATTCAATTATCAAGTATTTGGAAGTCGAAATCTGTCAGCGTAAGAAGGCTCTATCCTAGCCCCCTCCGCATTAGTAGTATAAGCCGAGACTTGAACACTGGACGAAGATTGATACATCGCCCACCTCAGCCCATATCGTCAACTATTACTAATATACAGTACCTTTCTGGAACCTAAGTCTTTGGAAGGCTGGAAGCTACTAGCCCGCCCTGGTCCATGGGGCCTTCCAGGTCTATTCGTCTGTAAGCGGGCCTGCTGTACATCCGACTTCTTGGAGTTTCTCCACCTTGTCAAGTTGAAACTAGGGAATTAATATTGGAATCTCAACATAGTTTGCGATCATGGAAGACCCCCCTCAGATGCAGAGAGTACCTTAGTGTCGAATGCCCTTCATTTGTTCCAATCGCTATACAACTGAATCAATGTAGGTGAAGACCTCCCGGATCATGAGAGTGCGACGGGAGAGTTGACAGTATGGATGTAGGCCCTTAAGATCCTCTAACTTATTCAGACTACAGACAGGGCTTTTGTGACGTTATGTGGCTGCTACCTTGGACATCATACATTAAGCTTCAGAAAAACACCACGCGTTGAATACAGTGGATTCCTTGATGCTGTTGAGCACGGACATGGTCAATGTGGACGGGACTGAACCAAAGTAGATATCATTGTCTGAGCCATTCGTTGGCAGGATGTTGTGTACTATCACCTGCATTGTTGAAGAGGAATCACAGATGAGCAAAAAAGTAGATGTAGCCCCTATAACCCAGCTGTTTAGATTTTGATGGACACGCTCTACCGGGTAGGTAGTTGCGTCTGGACGGGAATATAAGGCGTATCTTTCTTGGTCGATATATGTCGATATGTTACCCCTTTGCTGTATCTAGCCATCACATCAATCTATTGCCTCATATTTCGAAAATAGCAGGAATAGATGACCATACTATAAATCAAATCTTATCACCGGTCCATATTAAGTCCCAGTATTCGTTCGAGTACGTCAGCGTCCGCAACCGGCCCCAATCAGGGAATCCATCCAAACTATGGGCGATACCAGGACGAACCAGAATGTCTACGTCATCCCGCTTGTACTCGCGGTCATCCCCGGAAAAACAAAGTAGGTACGTCTGAGTCGTCTACCAGTCGCAATGCGTGATAGGACAATGTGGATTTTGCGTGGAGATTCTATGGAGGGTCAATCTCGGAGAAGACGTTTTATGAACGAACAAGAACTGGTATACCAAGCGTCTCGCTCCGGGACGACAACCCTGCTGTCATGACCTCAACCAGACGTAGCTTCAAGAATACATCAAACCATGGTCTAGTTCATGGTGATCGGACCTGAAACCATCTATTTGCCGTCCGACCAAGGAAGTGAACAAAATTGATCAATGACAAACAACAATCGCGGTCATGTCAACAGGAGGTTTGAGATTCCATCAATGAAGGGATGACCAGAGGAGAAAGGAAAAGGAAGAGATCCCCCAGGCACGGATCCAGCCCGAACCCTGGAGAAGATACTTTTGTCGGAAGGTCGTTTACCTGTCGGAGTTCATCCCAACAAGTTAGGTCCGAATTGCCCCGCTGGAACCCCAACTCATAGCGTCACACTCTCCAGATCACGCATAATGATAGACAATTGCGCCCGCTTCGCCGCCTCGGCCACCAGACTGAAATCCTGTAGAAAGGGCGCCGTCGCGGTAGGACCTCCTGACCCACTCACTTGGTGAGGATAATGCGCAGCAGGTTGATGGGTTGAGAGAGTGACCTCTGTTCCCTCGATTTGTTGTTGTTCTACTGCAGGAGCACCGGTGAGGTTGGAAAGACTTTGGGCGAGAGGCTGTGTTTGCGCCATGACGGGCTGTGCGAGATATGCCGAGACTGATGAGTGCGGCAGTGAAGCTGCGCCGGCCGGGTTGGTGGGAGCTGCGGGGAGTGGAGAGTAATTCAAGGGAGGCTGATGGGGTTGTTCTACCACGCCCACGATATGTGAAGAGGGACTTCTGGTTGCAGCTGTGGCGGAGGCAACGCTGGTAGATGCGAGTGAAGACGCTTGAGAGAAGGAATGGGAGGAGTTCCAGGTTGTAGACATTGAGTCGTCGGCTCAGGTGGGAGTTTGACAATCTTTAAGCCCGGACTCGCAGTTATGCAATCGATCGACCGAAGTGGGCCAGTCGAGAAATTTCCCCCTCCACTGGAGACTCCAGTGGATGGAATTCCGTCTGAAATGTAGGGGAGACCGGCAGATAACGATGACGGTAATGGCGTCGGTGAGAACCCAACGAGTGCCAGGGAGTAGTGAGCCAAGCACTTGTGTAGTATGGAGTATGGACTATGGAGACCTGATTCTAGATTGCTCGAGAGTCGAGAGGGTTTTGTGGAGAAGACTCAAGGAAGGGCCTAGAAGGTCGAAAAAGATCTAATCTTTTCTCGAGGTTGTCTCCGCGGGTACAGAACACTGGGCGGAGAGGGTGGAAAGTAGGTACGGTTTTAGAGGGAGGAAGGAAAGATGGGAAGACGGAAGACGGAAGAGGGAAGAGGGAAGAGGGAAGATGGAAGATGGAAGATGGCGGACGGAAAAAAACTGGAGCGAGGTTTGAGGTGGTGTGATGGAAGGGGGGGGGGGTTGGTTGAGATGTGAGGGATGTCTGTGATCTCCACGTCGCTTTCTGCTTCTTCTGGCGTGATTGGAGATTACGCCCTGGTTGGCCCAAGGGGGAGGTTTCCCTGCCTGGGGAAGACTTTTGACGGAAATGCAACGCAGTTGAACGAGCAAACGAGGGGGATCATCGTACAATTGAAGAGGAGAGATACTTGAGGCCGATCCATTTTGCCCGTCGATCCCGACAATTACCCGTGTATTACGGCCGTATCTCCGCGCTTCGCTTCCCCACACTTTTGGTCTCCATTCGGGGCGTTTCGAAGCATGCTCCGTTGCAACTTGCTGAGGCAGTGATGCAGTGATCCCGGAGTACTGTACGTGGAGAAGTGGCGAATGCATCCTATCAGAGATGAAGACTCTTTCATACTGAGATACCATACAATATAGTTATTGTGTAATTCATACACATTCTAAGAGTCTGGAAAGGTCTCAAAGTCCTGTAAGAGGAAAGCACTAAGACACTTGGAAGACCGTGCTGCCTCGGTGAAAATCACATGATTAGCACATGATGAACACATGGAGACAGCATAAGGAACGAACGGTCCGGAGGGCTCACAAACTGGCATCTGTGACTGGTGCGAGGGCTGAGGATCCAAGCGCTCCGGGTCAGGTTCCGCCATGTACAATCTGTACATTCACATGAGATGCACGCTCCCAGGTCGAGACGAGTCATACCGGCTATATGAACTGGACACCGATGTTCGATTCGTCGACCATAACGAGCGTCACACGGAATAAATGATGTCGAGGGCTCGGACCAGTCAAGCAATGCGACTTGTTGGATAGGTCATTGCGAGCGACAGAACCCTGAAAGTACGCACGCGGTGGCTCTAGCAGCATCCTAGTCAACGGTCAGGGGTCAAGGATATCCCCATTCCCCTGGGATCTAAGTACAGTACATCCTCCTATGCGCATCGCGGGGAAGCTCAAGGATCGCTAGTAGGTCCGAGGGCGCCGGGAAGAAGCTGGCAATCCAATCGAGTCGATTGCCCCAGGGGTTCCTGTGAAGCGCACAGGATTCAGCGAGTCAGCGACGCAGCGCATCACAAGTGTACGGTACCTACACTGGTTACCTGGTACAGTTCTTGTATCATCGATATGATATCTTCCCACGGGACCAGACCGGATGCCCCCACCGAGTCACTGACAACTTGAGCTCGATAAGATAAGCGATAAGCAGCCTCCGATAAGCCGATAATCCCGATAAGCGATAACAATTTCCTTCGGTCCTGTGAGACTCGCGACGGTGGGTTTCCATACGGTAGCATAGATCAAAATCCCCCCCCCCCCCGATGGAGGACGACCTGGAGACCGGGGATCTTTTCAAAGATCCCGAAGGATTCTATGAGGAGGAGAAGCCACCAACTTTCGCAGAGCATCAGATGCTCTGTGGGAAGACGGTGCGAGTACGTCTGGTGGGCAGCCACCCGCTCTATGTATGACCCCGCCTTGCATGCGACATTTGGAAGTTCCCTCGATCGAATTGCAGTCTCGACTGGAGAAAGGGGCGACGAGGCAAGCGCTGACGATCTGGACCTTTCATCTTCTGACAGGGAAACTTGCTCTGGAACGCCGGTCGAACAAGCTCTCACTACATCGAGGACCACACGGACGACCTGGTGCGCGACAAGGATGTCCTTGAAATTGGTGCCGCCGCAGGCGTGCCCAGTATCGTGAGCGCCATTCAGGGCGCACGTACCGTGGTCATGACCGACTACTACGATCCAGACCTGGTCTCAAACATGCAACACAATGCCGACCTAGCCTTCGATATGATTCCCAAACGCACCGACTCCCAAAAACGACTGCATGTCGAAGGATACAAGTGGGGGAATCCAGTCGAGCCCCTTCTGGCTCACGTTCCTTCTCCTGCGCCAGGCGAACCTGCCGGCTTTGACCTGCTCATCATGGCGGATGTGATCTACAATTACCCCGAGCACGCAAACCTGGTCAAAACAATGCAGCTCACGTTGAAAAAGACGGCCGAAGCGGTGGCACTGGTGATCTTCACACCTTACGAGCCGTGGCTCCTCCCTCAGACTGAGAAGTTCTTTCCGCGGGCGGAAGAAGGTGGATTCGCGGTGACCAAGATCTTTCAAAAATTGATGGACCACGCATTGTTTGAGAATGATCCGGGTGTAAGTCGCTTTGTCCTCAAATTTTGTGAGAGATCTACTGGATTGGCCCCTAACCTTGTCGCAGGATGAAACTCTTCGTAAGACAGTCTTTGGCTACGAGCTAAGATGGAAACCGGAAGAGTTGAACAGTAGTGTATCTGAGCCATCATGAACATACGACTCCTCGACATGACTGATGGTACTTGAGAGTCAAAAAGGTGTTGAGAGTGATGAGACTATAGAATCTTTGATGACGCATACCGCGATCTTGCATCGCAGGGTCTCTAGATATGGCATTCTGTTCGAAAAAAATGATCATGTCAAAGCCATTATCCTGGTTTTTCCACAGCTGTACGTAGTCAAACGAGAACAAATTGATGTGTAATCCCTATAGCCTATCAATTTCAAGGCTGCATGCAAAAGATTTGTTTATACCCAAACTGGCAGCCCCCACCATGTCGAGGACGCCCCGGCGGAGTCACATGTCCAGCGGGCCGCAGCCCCGCGAAAGGAGCCCCCCAAAAAATTACTAGAAAGCAGAGAGTGTAAGTAAGTGACTCTATCGTAGACCATACATAATGCCAGTACGTCCTGCATCTAACCTTCCCCCGCCCCCCTCTTCCAAGGCGAATGCTCACAGCCTTGCGCAGCTCGTCATCCTCACCGGATACCCTTGCTCCGGCCTCACATACCGCGCCAACCAACTCGCCTCGCTCATCGACAAAGCGCAAGATGAGCTATTCGCATCCGCGGAACCAGGGACAGCCCCTCCGTTGAAGTCACGCTACAAGGTTCACGTCGTGGCATCTCACGACAAGTCGCATCCGAGAACAGTCTACGATCATGCGCGCACTGAAAAGGAGGCTCGTGGGGTGGCATATGCGCGCGCAAAGCGCGTACTCGCTCGCGATAACATTGTCATCTTGGATGGAATGAATTATATCAAAGGGTGGAGGTATCAGCTGTGGTGTGAGGCCAAGGCTGCGAATACGACTTGCTGTGTGGTGAGTATTTCGAGTGTCTTGGGAGAAAGTGAAGTCTCACCGAGTGGTGGATGGTCCTGTCTGACCTGACATGTCCTTCGCAAATAGGTTCACGTTGGAACACCCATTGACCAGTGCGTGGCCAACAACGACACTCGCTTGCGCCGACAAGAACGAGAGCAATCGCAATCGCAATCGCCAGAGAGCACGGGTGACACAAAAGACGAGGATCAAGAAGAGCCGTACCCGCCCGAGCTTCTCGACAACCTGATCTTCCGCTACGAAGAACCCAGCACCCACAGTCGTTGGGACAAACCTCTATTTACCGTCCCCTGGTCCGATCCCGAGCCCCCAGTCGCCGAGATCTTCCAAGCCCTCTCAGGCGTATCGCTCAACTCTTCCGAATCGCCCTCCGAATCCCACGTATCCAATCTCACCGAATCCCTCGCCTCGTCAACAATATCCGATGTCGCCAGCACCGCCACAACCGGACGAGCCTTCAATCGCGGGCCTCAATCCCTTCGACCGAAGATCGTCCCTCACCAAGCCACCGTCCAAGCCGTCGCAACTGATTCCGGCGCCCTCTACGCAATGGAGAAACGCACCACGGCCGTAGTCAACGCCATTCGCGCCTTTACCCAAGCCAATCCCTCCGCCGAGGCCGCCTTGGCTCAAAGTACGCATCAAAAGGGCATTGCGATCCAAGTCCCCGATGCAACGACCCCGGTCATTATCCCTGCTCATGTTGCAACGACGGGGACCACGGATGAATTGGCCGGGCCGGGTGGAATTCTGGCCTTGCCAAAATTGCAGCGCATGCGGCGGCAGTGGATCAGTTTGAATCGAAAATACATTGGTCATGGGCATGGTGCCGGGCAGGGCTCGTTGGCTCCCGAGAAGGTCGGGGACGCGTTTGTGCGATTTTTGAACCATGAGTTTGGTGGATTGGAAAGTAACGAGGTGTGAAAAGAGCCTACTAGTATGCAATGTCCTGAATGAATTTCCATGGTAGAGTCACGACATTTCCTTCGAGTTGGGTGCGAATTGGAGAAGGTTTGAATTGATTCACTACCAGGGCTATCGTGCTGTTAAAACATGATATCAAGATCTATCACGAGACAATGAAATTATAATTGAGGCCCTTTTTGAGCCCATGAGGACCACTGACTGAATTCTGAACGGGTTTTTTTTGGTTTTAAATTTTTATTTTCTTCATTGAGATCAAAGTATGTTCAGTAATCGTGCAAAAACAAGACAATACTGCAAGTGAAACATAGCTAGAAAACCAACAGGATATCTATAACGCAGCGAGTTGACCCAGAAAGAAGGCCTCCTAATAATGAGCAAAAAGAGAACATATAAAAAGAACAGAATTTAAGGGAAAAAAAAAGAAGAAAACAACATCGCAAAGCACGTGATTCTGTCGTATGTACCCGCTGATCCAGAAGGTAGTGTAAACTCCATGGTGTCTTGGCCATGTGTTTTGTGCATCCTTCGCAGACGCGTACTGTTCCCAGTCCACCAGGGAACTGTGAGTGAGTTCACCCAGCCGAGGTTCAAGGGCCCTCGTGGAAGTTGCCCGCTGGAATCATCTTAGAATACAGATGTGATGACCCGACGAGGGACGAAGAAAACCAGCCAGACGATTGCGTTGCGCAAGAGTCTTGCTGTCCTTCACTGATCTGAGTTGCCGAAACCAATGGATCTGATCGCAGGGTCGATGGTGCCAATCATGTGACAGGACACCCAAGGCCTAGCCTATGAATTTCGTCAAAGGACAAGCGAATTTATCCGTGGTCGTGGTTTGGTCCAGTTTGTCGAAGGATAATAGGGTTGCTGGATTCGTGGAGATGGGTCTGCAAAAGGAATCGCATCCAACATAGATATCGAACAATGAAATTGGCTTCCTTAAGAGTCGCATCACACGGGCATTCCACTGGAAATCCGAGAAACGGCGTGTCCAGCCTCCAAATGGCGGTATTGCAGACCGAGGGTGTACAGTTCCTGCAAGCTGGCGTTCACCTTTTCGTGGAGGGAAATATCCTGAGGGGTGATCTTCGTCAACTCGTCTAGGAGTCGAGAGCGGCATTTGTAGTAGTTGCGCTCAGCGTTCTGGAGACGCTGGGCATTCTGAGCAGACGCCTGGGAGGCCTTGGCCGAGGTGGACTGGGAGTGAACCGAGCGGGTGCGCTTCATTGTCGGAGCAGGGGTGGCATCCGTCACTCCCCGACGCTTACGGCTCGATGATGACGAGTCCTTCTTCTTCGTTGGTACAGGGGGCACAACAGCTTCAGGAGAGCTAGGTTGCGAGCCAGCCTGAGAGGTAGGTTGTGATGATGGGCGCTCACATGAGACATAGTCGTGGACACGCTTCATGTGGTCATGGAGATTCCATCTACGGGGAAATCCGAATCCAGGGACCGATCGCTCGCATCCCTCGAACAGGCACAAATGAGGGCATTCCCCGTGGCCGTGCATTCCATGGGCTTCACGTTCGTGGCGGAAGAGACAGGCATTGGAAGAAAATCGTAGCATGTTGTCCACGCAGGAGGCATGCTTGCAACGGTAGGGCTTCAGGTGGGAGTCCAAGTATTTGCTATTACGGAATTAGCTTTTTTCTTGTCCATGTGCAATGAACGGAATGACCGTCAACAAGGTTTAAACTTACTGGTAAGCACACTTCTGAGTAGTGGGAGGGTGAGAACAGGGCTTTTCGCCAGAAGCGAAGGGGCAGTAGTATTTCCCATCATTTTGAGGGGCCAGATGGTAGAAGTGGTGGTCTCGGGGATTACGGGCCTCGACACTGTCCTTGGACTTGGGGCGAGTTGGCTCCCTGGCGGGCAGGGATGGGAAGAATTCCTGGTCGGACTTGACCTGAGATGGGCCAACTGGCAATGTTCCACGACGAGATGGCTTAGCCTGTCGAATTGTTCTATTTCAGAGTCGTTCGTTAGAATCAAAATGATCGAAAGTATTAGTCACGCGGGTAGACACCTACCGGTTGGGGTCCTTCTCGCTGAGAGGCGTTGAGATGGGGAACAGAGGTTCCGCTGGATTTAGTGGGTTTCCCATCGGGGACGTGGTGTATTCTCCCAGGAAGGAATCATCAGGGGCAAAGAAGGATGTGAATCCTGATTGCGAGCAAGCAGAAGTGATGGGGATATCATTACTAGCTTCCGTCAAGGGAGGGGAGACCGGCATGGTCTGGTAAAGATTGGCCGAAAGTTGATCCAGGGAATTTCCGGGGTATTGGCCATCAGCCATCATAGCATTCCATGACTCGTGGCCAGCGATGAAGTGACCGTCGTCAGTGTGGGCACTGAGCGCCACGGATTGAGCATCATCTGGAGTACTCGTTTGGCCACACACATCATTGTCCATGGAAGACAGATCCACAAAGCTGTAGAAGTCTCGGTGCATGTCGTGGTCTGAGACTGCTGGGAAGTCTACGCCCGCGTACATCACCTCACTTGGCCCGACAGTAGATGTCATGAGTTGTTGCGATAGAGAAAAAGAAAGCATTTGCACCTGTGGAGAATCCTTGGAAGACATGGCCTGTTCAATGGACTCTGATGAATTCATATTCCATTCTTTCAAGTCCGGAATGGTTCCTTGGGTTGAAGGCAAAGAGCACAGAGATGCAGTGTCTTGGCTCGAGAGATCATCATCCTGGAAAGTTCTGGGGGCCATTTGTGATAGTCCTGAGACCATGGAGGTCTGTCTGGGGTGTGTGAGAGAGACAAGCTCTTGGTCGTTGTTGATCCTTGGAGACATTGTGCATATGTGGATGTGATAGATTCAAGCTCTGCGAACAGTGGAAGGGCACCAAGTTAGTCAACCAAATCTTCACGGAGCGTAGGGAGCGAAATTTCAAGTATATGACAAAAGAAAACACAACTGAAAAAAAAAAAAAAAAAAAAAAAAAAAGAACAAAAAAAAGCAAGTAGTGCCGTGGAAGGGCCATTTGTCCATGGTGTGGTAGACCCCTAGACAATGTAAGCATTACGCCAAGTCAAGAGTCATTTTCCGTGTCAAGAGCGTCGACGCACCATTGTTATTGTTGACGGTTGGCAGATTTAGGGTCCAGAGATGAGTCCGTGGGGTTCGGGAATCCATTTGGGAAAGAAGTTGAAATTTGGTGAACATCCGGGGGCAAGTGAAGGAGAAAGCCGTGGTCGAGAGCTCAACGCTTCAGGGTCAACTTGTTCAAATCCATGCGGATTCCATATCTGGCAAGGTTTCAGTCACGCCAAGGCGTATTGAAAATAGCGAAAATCAACGAGGTTTCATCATGGGTAATCACGCTGCTATTGGCCAGACAGTCGAGTACTCGGGTGAGGAGGCCAGGGTTGTGATTACGCGAGACGGATGTCTCTAATTTCCATGGGGATAAGTGAGTAAGTCATTAATGCTCAGTTTCGAAGCATCCAGAAGGGTATCGACCAGATCCTCTAGCGAGGTCAGGCCAGACTTTAAGTTCCGGGGGAGAAAATGACAGTGATCCGATATGCGAGGGTTTGTCAGTCCAGGAAGATGGATGGCAGCAGTATTAACTAGCCCAGTACGGTCCATTGACTCTTGGTGCAGGCTTGGACCAAGAGAGCGTCAGATCCACAGGCAAGGGGGTCCTTGGTAAGAAAGAAATCCATTGGCAGTATAGAAAGGGTTTGGTGTGAAGAGTGTGCAACATTAAACAGCACTCAACACAGAGTCCATCCACTTAGCGGGCGCTAAGACATCCTTCGGGCAAAAGAATCATCATTCTTTTGTTCACTCCGCCGAGTCCGGCGAAGAGCGAGGCATGTACTTTTCCAGTACGGAGTTGAGATTTGTCCAGATTGAAAGAGTGTCCCAGGGAGATTGTTGTCCGTTTGAGTTCCAGGTGGTTTTCCCAGGAAAGCGATGAACAGCAAACAAAACAGTTGACAGCGATTGAAAAAAAAAATCAGAGAATCAACGCAGTGGAAGAAAGAAACTCGGTGGGTGACTACCTGTTGTTGGGCCGGCACAATGTGCGGACGGCGAAGAAGCCTGGGGCAAGCACAAAAACAAAACGAAAATCCAGTCCTGGGGATATGGGGCTTGATCCTCGGGTAATACTAAAAAACCAGGGCAGTTGGTTTCAGGTGATAGCTATCCAGAGTTCCAAGGAGAACTGATTGCTTGGTTGATGGCTGTTGTGGGTTGAGAAAGATATGTTGGATGCACTGAACACGGATTCAGCACAAGCGGAGCAATGGTGATTGTGGGTGGCAGTCGACGGATCAGATATCCACAGAGGTAGAAACACAAATAGTATATCTGTTAGAAGATATGTTGGGGAGAAAGTGAAAGAGAAATTAATCCCGAGGGGGGCAGCGCCTTTTTAGCCTGCCCAAAAAATGACCGTGCTTTTTATTGCTGCAATTTCTCCTCGACAATGCAAAGCGCAGGAGGGAGCCCTTGTCTGGCTGTTGTCGCTTCCACGCCAGCATGGCGCATGGCTATGCACTGATGCACTGTTAGCTTTGCTGCTGGCTCTGCTGGCACCAGTCAGAGACACTGCTGGGGACCTGCCAACAAGCGGTGATGACATCGGCCCCATTTGGTTTGCGAAATTGCAAAGGGTGGACACGGCGGATGCGCCCCGAGTGGATCGAAGTCCCGCGATTGTGACCAGCGGGAGGAGAATCGGTGCTTCGTTGAGTCCTCTCTCGGTTCACGATGAAAGTTTCAGCCTTCCAGCGGTGAGGCTAGCGCCGACCCCCCCCCCGGCCCTTGGCGGAGACACCATTCAGCACCTGGAACCCATGATTGGGTCCTACCACGGCACTGACGCTGCAGGATGATATCCAATTCGGACGATCGGCAGGTGCACCGTCACGTATTTGTGGACAGAACAGGGTGCGCTTGGTCGAGAGCTGCCCACGTTAGAGACGGGTCAAACAGTGCAATGCGCCTCGAGCGCCAGTCGACGTCTTTGAAGATGAGGCAGTCATCACCCAGACCTCGTTCGATCAGAGTGTCCTGTGAGTGCTGTCAGAACTCAGAAGAGCAGGTGGAAGGTTCATGTGATGGACCAGGGGAGGATTGCATGAAACGGCGTGATGACTCGATAGTCAATGGGTCAAATCAGGAAAAGATGGGGCATGGGCAGCCCCACGGTGAACTCTAAACTCGAAGTCAGGATTATCTCGGAGGAGAAGTTTTAGATGAAAGGGGGGAATAGATGGGGTAGACATGGTAGACAGCTAAATTACGCAAACGAGCATACGTATGTGTGTACAATGGGTGGCAGAGTGATAGACAGGGAAGAGCAAGGCCATGTACATTGACGACATTTGATTCCAGCAATTTACTAAATACGAAAAAGGGAGAAGCCATGATGGAGAATCGAGAAAGAAAGTTCTTTCCGTGGATCCAACACTGCGGGCCGTAGCGAACCACTTCGTTCCACGTTGGGCAGCAACGGAGAAAGGCAAGCAAAGCGAATGGAGCAGATGGGTGCCCGACCTCTCAAGCACCAGCGAAGCCCTCTGGGTGTTCAGCCCACGTGCCTCGCTGTCGGGGGGTTTGACAATGGTCTAGCCCAGACTTACTGAAGGACCAAAACATCCTGGAATTGGAATGGTCCTTGAGAGTCATGCGTCAAGGATATTGTCCCTGGATCATAAAGTCACTGGGCGCACCACGACTGTGTTCTGAACTCAACTCTGTTAGCTACGGAGTCATTTGGGACGGCAAGATTTGAAATGGGCAAATTCGGAGTGAATCAATGGATATCAGATAAGGTGAAAGATGGATCAAGGTTTTCGTTCAACAATCCGAAGATTTCAGGTGAACTATGCTTTGGTAGATTGGTTCATCATCCAGAGTAAGGGAGTGAAAAGGAATAGGGGTATTCGGCCACGCCGGACTTGTCCGCAAGGAGGGAAAAGCCCCGATTTGGCCGGATATTGCGGAGAGCAACAAAAAGCGAATGAAAGATGTCGAGTAAATCGCGTAATCAGGACAACACGAGCTTACCTGTGGTCTGCAACCCCTGAGGTCGACATCGGTTGCCGACTTCGGGGAAGTGAAGGACTTGTTTCGATTCAGACGAGGTCTCATCGAAGGGCACTCAAGTTGGAAAGGTCAATGCTCCTGACAAGCAGAAGTCACACTCCAAGGTCACATCATTGTTTTGTACAGAGGGATCCCTTGACCTGTCCTTTCGGATGGTTGGACAAAACAGTATTTTCGTGTGTGGTCGTAAAAGATTTTTGTGTGAGATACCACGTGATCTGTTTGCTTCATTTGCATATCTTGGCCTGAGGCTTCCGACTTCTCACCCTCACACCCGATGCAGGACTACACGTTTGGAGATCCACCTCAATACTGTAGTGGACGCCTGGACGGAAGACCGATCCTCCGCAACGGTGCCATTCCATGGTTCGATCCACTGGCTTAATCTTATCTAGGATCTTGAAATCCGACCAAGATGAATTGGACTGGTGGACAGCTCCACCGTCATTTGACCCGCCCGGGCAATCTGAGTCAAGCTCAAAAGCAGCACTTTTTCCAATCTCGACAGCAAAGTAGCGGTAACATCAGGCTTGATCAGGATCGCTTGAAGATTGGCCAGGACATCGATGACAGTCAACCCGGTGACACTGTCACACATGACCTTCATGATCCTGAGAGGGGCGGAACAGAAGAGTCAGTGATGTGGCTTTGAAAATGCACTGCAATTTACCTGGCATCTACACCACACATCAAGTTTCTTTTGCGGCCGCCATGTTTTTGAGGGCCCGCAGAACTTGAGTTCCAAAACAGGGCACTGACTTGTGAGGAAAATCAATGCAGGGTCATTAACGGCAAGTCCTCGTTACCGACGCGTTCCACTGATCCTCCTTTCACGGAGCGGCATGATCACCTAGAACGTTTGAAACGTCGACTCCTCGAAGACACTGACTGGGCGGTGGTCTCAGCCGCTCGTCCTCTACAAATCAAGTTTACCGTAGATCGCGAAATTGACCGTTTTGGAAAGCGCCGGAGGCTAAATGATACGGATCGACAGCGAATGTTAGATGCGAACACAGGCCAAGGCCATTCTACGCTGTTCACCACAACGGGCCGTCCTAGCAGGGCAAGAGCGAAATCTCCAGATCCAATTCGGATTAGGATCACTAAGCCCCCTTTCGATCCAAATACGCAGCTCGGAGACGGTAACCGTCGAAAGGTCAATGACGTCGGTGCTAGAAGATGTCCAGATACATGGGACACATCTGAGTCGAATTCACCAGCTCGAGCGCGTAACAAACGCTATTCTTCAGCCGATCAAAATATGCATCGCAGTGCTGGCTCAACCACACAGCTCAACCCTAGTCTACCTTCCCCGCTTCAGGATTCAATGATCTTGTGGGCGAAGCCCAGGTACTCAAAGTCGCGACAACCTCATCGAGCTCTTTCGGACGTCTCTTGCGCTCCTACCGAAATACTACCTGTCTCTTCAACGCTCATGCCGAGTGACTCTCTTTCCTCAGTTAATGTCCAAAGCTGGCTGCCGCACCCTGTGCGCCGTAAGTCCTTCAGCGGTCATGTCGCGATGCACGCAAGTGATCTCGAAAGCTCATCACATTTCCCACCTTGCTTCGAACCACATTACACTCCAGATTTCCAATTTCCTGAGTTGGCACAGGTACAGCCCTCCGTTCCAGTGGAAATTTTTGGTCAATTGGTACGAAACCGTAGCATCTCGATATCGGACACCTCACGATGCTAAGCGTGTTCCCTTTTTGGATCCTAAGTCTTAGAACTTACATCTTCCAACTCGTTGATCGTTCAAGTCTCGTGTTGCGGGAGGCATGCCGGTGGTTTGATGTTTTGTCAGCCTGTAAGTGATAACCTTGCTCCACCCTTATGCTGTTTCATTGTCTGTGAAATCTGTGATGAACCTACCATGGGCAAAGCTCTCATGTCGAGGAGTCATCACTATTGGGCTTCACAAGCAAGCAGTCCCTGGGATTTCAGTCACTCCAGTCACCATTTAGATCAGTATACGTATTAATTTCTAAGTGTCTTGCCACCTTTGCTCGATTCGACTCATGTCCATGTCCCAAATCTACCTGCGGAAATCTGCAAAAGTTGTAGATGATCGTGTTCCACGATGTCTACCTAATTACCAAGATTCACAGACTCGGAAAGTGTACTTTGTCTTGTTCTACCTAGCGTTTTTGAATCAATAATCGAGCCGGGTGTCACTCAGGGCAGATGCGGGCACGGCGTTGAGCGCAGGGCTCATTGATGGAGGTAAGGTCTGCGGTCCAGACTAGATATGACTTTCTAGCGGCCCCATGGATTTACATCAGGTACTTTGAAGTCGGAAGTTTTCCCTTGGCCGGGGGCAAAAATTCCGAAGTCGATTCATATACCAGCACTCCATGGTAGTTTAGTCAATTTCAGGTCAAAAAGATTAGATCATACACGTACAAGACACACCAACTTAGGGTTAGTGTACAAAGTCAGGTACTTAGGTAGACTGCAGGTGGGCAGTGAGGCGGTTGACTCGATCTTGTGAGACTTCCATGCGCCAAGCTCGACGATGGAGGTAGGTCGCCGAAATGTGGTGGATAAATAAATATCTGATGCATTCTCGTCCAGGTGCCTACGTAGGTAGTTATATACATGGGCATTGTCGACGTTAAAGGCCTGACTTAGCTTTGTGCTTTCAATTCCATGCCACTGTACAGTCTTACAGGAATAGAAAGGATGTGCAGTTTATCCTTGTCTTATTTGCTTCCAAAAGTAAGAAACTACGAAGCTCAGGGACAAAACCATTTGGATTGGGCGCTGCACAGTTCGAGTGTTCCAGATGACGTCACGTGCCGACATCGTCCATGCACATCGGCGACCGCCTCCGCTCCCTCACTGTAGCTCCTGTGTAGACTGTTCAAGAGTCACCCCAAGACCACCGTCACTATGCAACTTCTCACAGTCTGGGCTGGCTTGATAGCAGTCGCTGTCTCAGCATTCATCCACCGTTCATCAGTTTTAGAAGATGACGACACAACCCAGCTGCCTCTCGTTATCTGGCACGGGTTAGGCGACGACTTTGAGCGCGATGGCCTGAAACAAGTCGCTTCACTGGCCGAGTCCATCAACCCGGGCACATACGTACACATAATCAGACTAGCAGATACGGGTAGCGGTGACCGTCGCGCGACCTTTTTTGGCAACGTGACCGAACAGATCGAAACGGTCTGCGAGCAACTTGCAGCGAACCCGATCCTCAGCACCGCACCAGCTGTCAACGCTCTTGGCTTTTCGCAGGGAGGGCAGTTCCTCCGCGGCTATATCGAGCGATGTAATAGCCCACCGGTGCGGAACCTGGTCACATTCGGCAGTCAGCACAATGGCATTTCAGATTTCCAGTCCTGCTCGCTCGGCGACTGGCTATGTAATGGCGCAGAGGCACTGCTGCGATCCGGACGCTGGACCGACTTTGCGCAGGGGCGCGTAGTACCTGCGCAGTACTTCCGCGACCCGTCTGAATTAGATGCATATCTCGAAAAGAGTAACTTCCTGGCTGATATCAACAATGAGCGCGAACTGAAGAATGTGCAGTACAAGAAGAATCTGCAGTCTCTGAATGTCTTTGCCATGTACATGTTCGATGATGATACGGTCGTCGTACCAAAGGAGAGCGCCGTCTTTGCTGAGGTCAATTCGACTGATGGCACAGTGACTCCCTTGCAAGAGCGGCCTATTTACAAAGAAGATTGGTTGGGTCTGAAGGCGCTGGACGATCAGGGCAAACTCCATTTCAAATCCGCCCCCGGCCAACACATGGAACTGTCGGAGGAATTACTGCGGAAGACATTCAAGGAATACTTCGGTCCAGTCGAGGATGGGAAAGCGATCTCATCGCCCCGACTCGTTGCTCAACCGGGCTACTAACCATCCTCCACGCCTCGTCTCTCATAGCAAATGTATTTTTGTCGTCTTTTGAGATCTTCTTGCTTTTTTCTTTTTGGTTGTGACTCGTACAAAAGTGCTCAGTATTGTTGCATACCCATATGCGGTGCGTCGACTTTGCGTTAATGACTTGAGCCTGCTAACCTAGGTGGCCTCTCAGACGTCATGTGGTAGGCAGGAGAGATGCACATGTCCGTAGGCCAGATAAAACGAACGGGATCATGAAGGACAAAGTACCAACTATCAACTCTCCAGGCCTACAAGAAGAGTTACTGTCAATGGCGCCAGCCCGGTCGAGAAATCTAAAAACCACACGAGATCGCAGCGATTGTAGCATGAAGTTCTAAAAATATTTTGTATGAACAGTTTCGAAGAATAATAGTCATGAACGAGAGAACAAATGTGGACATGTGCATAAGCAAAGCTATCAGAAAAGGCAAGGCGGGTAGACTGTACTTCCCAGCGTTAATTATACAAAGACCGAGCAAGATGAAGAGAGGAGTTGGCAATAGATTAATACGGGGGTCGTCCCAAACCGCCCCCACTGACTTGCCGGCGACCTGAGTAAATGTCATTTGTGGAGGCCTGGGAGGGTGGTACGTCAGTTGGCAGTCGACTTCCATTGGGAAGAGCGGGACTGCTGGTGGTGAGAAAACCGTCAAGCAGCTTCTTGAGCTCGTCACGCCGTGCAAAGTCGAGAGGGGCCTCCGGACCAGAGAGTTCCACATCTCGATAACCGTCTGAATAGCCGAGCGCGATATTGTGACTTGATCGACTTTTGTTTCGGTCTAGGGTCTTGGGAGTTCGAGCCTTGCGGAAAGATTCTGATCTCGGAGCAGCCCCTGATGATGATTGAGAATTGTAAGGGGCAGTGGATGGTCGATTAGTGGATGTTAAGGACCGCTGTGAATCATTCGGGAAGCCTCCAGGAATAGGCAAAGCGCTTGGCGTAGGAAGAGGGGTCACGTCTTCAGAGAACTGGCCTTCATTTGTCGTGATTTCGCTTTCCGGGGGTCAACGGTAGCAATGAATGCCCGAGGTGTTTCAATGCCACTTTCTTCTGCAGGCTGACGAGTCTCATGATCCATTGTAGAGACGGCGTCTTGGCTCGCTTCCGAAATTGAATAAGCGCCGCTAGCCATGCTTTCACTCCCAGAAGACAATATACTGGCATTCGACGCACCGAGTTGGCCCCGCAAGGGACTGCGCCGACGGGAACTTAATTCAGCGGTCACGGAAAGTTCTCGCCGCAGATCATTGACGCGTACGGGTGATGCTCTGCCCGAATTGGTTTCTGGGCTGTAGGAAATGTCTGGAATACTTCGTGGAACATTGAGCGCAAGGGCCGAGCCAACGGGGGAGCCATTCAAATTCCCATTCAAGTGGCTGTTGCGGGTCATGGTGCCACCGCGAGAGCCGCTGATGGATGCAGTCCCGGCACTGTCTTTCTCGACCGCAGCAAGACATGACTCGCGCGACCAGGAAGACAGCAAGTTTTCCTTCACCGGGTTTGGCAGTCCTTTCTCTTGACTTGATAGCTGTGTGGCAAAGCCGTGACTCAAAACAGGGAATTCAAACCCATGGGACGCTGAAGTTTTGGGACTCTGTGGAGGAGATGCAAAAAACTGGCAATAAGCTTCTTCGATTCCTTCAGCCAGTCCGTCCACGCCGCTGAATGACGTGGGTAGGAAAGAGTCCAGTGACGTATCTGCCATGTGCTTTTCGTCGAGACTGATACAATCGAGACCTGCTGGTGGCAACTTGATCTTTGACAACCAATGCCCCTTACTCTGGCGGCTCTGGACCTCGGAGCGAACTTCGTTGCCCGCTGGTGTGGCCTCAAGGTTGAACTTCTCTATCACAGCAAGGAGATAGCCATAAATCAGACTTCCGACGTTGACGCGTGCTGTTGGAGAGCCCAGCTCGACAGACGTAGACAAGTCGTCCTGCAGTTTCAGGACCATTGGCAGCCCAAATTGGACTGCATTCACACCAAGATTCTCAACAAGACTTGCCAAAAGAAGATGCAGAACAAGTATTTCCGATGCCACCGTGGAGTTGTCCAGGGCAGCTTCGTAGATACCCAGGTGTATGAGACGCAGAAAGTTAGACTGTGCGATGTTGATGACACTTTCTCTGTGGTTTGCGGACGTGCTTCGTCGATTCGGTGTCTTGTCCGAACTGTCAGGGTCTCGTCGCAAACCTGCTTTTTGTGTTCGAAGACCGCTCACACGAGCTTTGAGATTTTGTTTTGTGGTCTCCAGCTGGAGCCAGGATAGGAATGCGTCAACGTAGGCATGGCGGACTTCCTGATCATTATCTCGAAGCAAACCTTGCGTTCCTTCCCAGACATGGATGCCGACTGGGTTTCTGGACTCTGAACCTTTGATAGAAGATGGTGTTCTAAGATTAGCCACGACGAGAATCGACTTTACAGCCCGAAGAGCAGTCAACTTGGCAGCCGGATATACAAAGATCTCGCCAGTAGCTTTCTCCGCGCTCGGCTGATCCACTTCTGACATTTCGTTGCCCTTCGAGCCAGCCCCAGTCTCGTGGACTGTGGCCAGAGAAGGTTGAGTTGCGTTTTCATGATTAAGAGGAGTTGTAAGCTGACGAAGAATGGTGCGCATCATGTCTGCGACTTGATCGCCATAGTAGTTATGCGTTGCGAGACTACCGATGCACTGCTCCAGAAGGGCGAGCATAGCTTTTTTCTTGGGCGGAATGGATCGTGAGGTATCGTTGTACTGGGCGTCTTTGTCGGCACCAGTGGACAAGGAAATCAGGTCAGACATGTACCGCATCAATCCGAGCAGAATGTCCATGACGCTCAAGCCAATCATGTTGATGGGCGATTTCAAAAGCCAATCGACAACCGAGAGCAGAGTGAATGACGGATCCATCGTATCTTCCTTCGACGGCATGTCGGCCAAGAGATCCATCGCTATGGTCAGAATAACGAATCGGACCTGGACCGGACACCAGGTCGCAACCAACTCGATGAGAGACGTCGCCCAGTTCCCTAGTGAATGGCTCGCCTGGCTGGGTGACTCTGAGTCCGTGATCTGCACAACGTGTTTGTCCGAAATGAACCGGAGTATTGCCGTGGCTGCTATGCGAATTTGACCGCGGCTACTGCCTGAAACAATAATTTGTTCTAGACAACGGAGAGCCATCAACCTTGAATCCATCTCCGCTCGCTTATCTGCGTCAGCTGTCGACTGTGCAGCCAGCGCAGGGTCCCTTTCTGCCGCATCAACTGTGTTGACCGTCGCAATGCTCGAGCGTCGAGGCAAAGATGCACCGTGGGTTTCTTGTTCGGCCTCCAGTAATCTGACTTTCAATGGTTCCAAGATATTTTCGTCAGGGGAGTAGAGGTTTTCAAGAATGACGGGTAGAAAGACGTGAAGAGTTGATCCTCCGTCTGCAGCCAAGCTTTCTGAGCTCACAATGCTCCTGATGGCGCGAAGTCCGGCATTGCGCCACCGTATTGCCAACGGAGGGCTCAGTTTAGTCAGGGAGTAATTGGGAGAGTGCGGATTCGCAAAACCGGCATACGTTTCGATCACTTGACGATACTTTTTGGCAAGCCCTTGATCTGCGGAAATGACCGCCGGATCTTGGTGACGACAGAAGGTATCAAATGTCGCAATCGAGTCCTCTACCATAGAAACATCGTTGGCTTGCAGAATGGTCTCGATGATCGACAAGACGTAACGGGCGTAAATCGGCAAATCGCGGGGGACTTTCTCGATGAGTGCTGTCAGGATATGAAGCGCGACTTGGACATTACTGTAAGATGGTGAGATGTTGTCAGCACGATTTGAGTCGTCACTTCCCAGAAATGAGAGTCTCTGTGTCAAGAGTAGTTTTCTCGCTTCGCTTACCCCAGTCGACGTCTCCAGACATCTTTGGCGACCCGTTTCTCCAAAAAAGCGCCCACTTTTGTCAATTTGCTGCGTCGCGTGCTGGCATAGTACAAGAGGTAGGAGAGTTCACTTGGATTCGGCTTCACTTCCGGCACGCCTTTTTGGAATTTGGGGTAGCATTTCAGAGTCAGAACTTGGTGCCGCGGCCGACACGATTGGCGTACAGACTCCATGAGAGCGAAAGTTGTGAGGCGGCTTCGGAATGCGGATCGCCGCAACGCAGGAGAGCAGTCTCAGGAGGGCCAACGGAGTGACGGGGAATCAATGGGACACGCGAGTGACTATGACGGCGTCGAAAGGGCCACAAAGTGAGAGAAAGAGGTCGGCAATCGGCGCGCGACTGGGGGCCTACGCAGTCCTCGTTCGATGAGAACGGGGGCGGTGCAATGAGGTAGTTGGCGGCCGATGATCCCCAGGGGGTGGGGTTCTGCACCAATTGACAGTTTGCCGCTCAAGTAGAGAAAAGCTTCCCTCTCACGGCTATCTGCTTGCCGATGTGTTGCTTGTAGAACAGACAGCAAACACCCAATTCAAGTTCGCTCCTCCGTCCGCCGCGCACACTTTCCCGAGATAGAAGATGGGGATAGGAGAAACACAAAAAGAGGGAGCAAGAGGTTCGGAACCGAAACCTCTAGACGCCGACAGTAAGGGTGCACGGCCCAGTATCAATCAATACCCTGCTATGTAATACCGTTGAATATCTTCGACTACATTTGAGAGCAACGGACAATAAGCGCATTATAGCGTGAGCAATGAAGACATGATCTGGCTGTTCTCATGTACTTTGATTCCGTCTATTTTACGTTCATGGCCTCGGTAGTGGCCACATGGGTGGACGCATGCGGCACGATCGTATTTATGGCTGATCCGCCTCGGACGATCTGTACCTATCCAGCGCCGTGGGAGAACCACCCTCGGTCCTCATCCGTGTCATGTTTAACAGGCGACTCCCACTATCGTCGATTGGTAGTGATTCCAGTCCAAAACTTCACTGTCTGGTTCATGAGGGTATTATCAACAGCCGACTCCGGGGATCGTCCTGAGTGCCCAAACTCTGGCCATCTTATTGCGGCTCGATCGACAGACTTCTGCGCTCTGCCGATCGGCGGGATGCCTCGGTCGCATATGATGCTTTGTCGAGCAGATGGCTGTCCTTGAATATATCTCCGCGCGCGCCGAAGTAGACCGAAGATGAGCATTCGCAACTTTCTTTCTTTCTCGATGGGGATTCTGAGAGAGAGGGAGGGAGGGAGGGAGGGAGAGAGCTATGTCATGAAAGCCATGGTGCGGTCGCAACGAGCAGGAGAGAAGCTGGAATCAGTTGCGCATAGCAGAACCATCCATCTGGCTTTATCATAGCATCAATCATGTGTGTGTCCCGTTCGCCTCTTCCCCATTCTCCCCCTGCTCTCCTTCCCTGGGCGGCTCATTCATTTGCGTATTACCAGCCAGACTCTCAATAACATGTGGCAGGATGATGTCGCGGCGAAATCGATCTTCTTGAAGCAATCGCAAGGCGCGCAGAGTTGGGCCCGGATGAGTGAGGAATTGCGCGTATTCGGGTCTTTTCCAGTATGAATAAAGGTAGGCTAGATATGCGGCAAATGCCTGTGCATCTGGCGCTGAGACTGACTCTTCATCCTCCTCGCTCTGGGCCACGCCAAGAAGGTTTGGATAGGTGACAGCCAGGTAAGACAGATAGTAAGGATTGGCAAGCGACGACACAAATTCCAGCTCGAGAGTGAACCGTAAATTGGATTTGGTAGGAGTGGGAGGGTCTTTTGCCGGCTCCATTCTCGCGACGAAGATATGAATGAGAGTGAGCGATTCGTGCGGGGCGCGCGAGTGAGGATCAGAAAAGACGAAGCTTGAAAGTAGGAAATGGAGCCCGCGACCACCGGCGAAGAGTGGCTCACATGAGATTGCCGCCTGAGGTGTCAAGCCTCGTGTCAAACCTATCGAGTCTCGATGCAAGCGTCGAGCAACCTTTGATCCTTCACTTATTTTGCTAGTGTTGTGTGTGACAAGCTCGGTGAAATGCTACCAATCGCTTTTTGTGTCCGGCTACTTGCCCGAAAGTTCAGGTCTCACGTTTTCTCTTCGTTGCCTGAATGCGCTCTCTGTGACCGATGAACCTGAATTTCGGGGTAGTTATGGGAGATGGGCATTCCTGAGGACCTACCACTCTATTTAGATCAACACTGCAGCCAGCGTTGCTGAATGTGGCAGAAGGTCTCCTTGACATCACATCAGGTCGATAGCATAGTGGTCCATTACTCGACAAGTACATTTTGATTTTTGAGGCAAGATCTGCTCACCAGTCTTCGAGTTCATGATTCGAGGACGGCGTCTTTTGGGTAGAGGTCATCATTTGCCGTTTTGGCAACGATCTCCTCCAGCGATCTCAAGCATTTCCAAGAATATTACTGCCCGTGCGAGACTCCCAAGTTCGAACGAGACCTCGAATGACTGGCAAGATGCAAGTGTCCCTTCAGAATTCTCTATACTCAAGATGCTACCGGCAAAGGTCTTAACAGAGCCAATCAGAACATACGAGTATATTCGCATTGACTTTCACCCCACAAGATCCACCTCCGGGGTTCCGGGCCTGTCATGCTTCTTTCATGCCATTATGAGACTTGATTCATGAATCCCCGAAAGCTGGTGCTTTCGGGGATCTCAGCAATGTAAGCTTGCGCTACCTCTTACACTACTTAATACACTTGTTCTCTCACCTTGTGGCCAGAGACATCATTAGCTTGATTTCTATGAGGTCCCCACGATCCGGCAAGGCAATCCCCACGTGAAGGTCACTCGACAATTCGAGGAGAATTGTCTTCGCAGGACCCGTTCACCTCCTGGGCCTTGTCTTTAGCGGACTGTCGGCTTTGAATCACACGATCCCAGTCCACGTCATGTAGCCAGGCATCTTGCCGGATGTGAATTCATCCGGAGAGAAAGAGTTTCATATGAGGATGATTGCTCTCAACAGATTTGGATATAAACCGGTTGAACAGCCGCTCAACTTCAAGGCTGATTAGTATGCATGTCTCGCATAATCGGACTTTCCAAGTACTCAGGTCATCATGCGGTTTCATGCGGCTTCGTGGCCGTCCATTTTGGCCGTCTCTGCCTCGGCTGGCACAGTCGCCGCTGCCTCCCTTGACGAAGTCTGCACGGTCAACTACATCAAGTCAAAACTTCCGGGCTCTCAATTCATTCAGGGCATTACTCTCGACTCCTCATCTGTCATTGCAAACATCGTCCGTAATGCGTCTGTGGGTCCCACAGAATCTTTCTATCCAGCAGCGACCTTCTCCTACTGCAACTTGACGCTGGCGTACTCGCATGATGCGCGCGCTGGTGACCGAGTCCTCGTTCAGTATTGGCTTCCCGAGCCAGCTCAGTTTCAGAATCGCTATCTCTCTTCGGGTGGTGGTGGATACGCTATCAACTCCGGAACCCAGTCTCTACCTGGTGGTGTCATGTATGGAGCTGTGGCTGGTCGAACCGATGGTGGATTTGGAGGCTTCTCGGTTCAGGCCGATGCTGCAATGCTTCTGGCCAACGGGACGCTGGACTATGAGACCCTGTACATGTTTGGATACAAAGCCCAATGGGAGCTTAGTCAGATTGGAAAACAGCTTACTCGAAAGTTTTTCGACATGAAGGACGGCACCAAGCTTTATTCCTACTATCAGGGTTGCTCCGAGGGTGGCCGTGAAGGCTGGAGTCAGATTCAGCGCTTCGGTGACGAATGGGATGGTGCCGCAATCGGTGCTCCTGCCTTTCGCTGGTCGTTTCAACAGACTCAACATCTGTACTCCAACATTGTGACGCAGACCCTGGGCTACTATCCACCTCCTTGCGAAATGGACAAGATCGTCAACGAGACGATCTCCGCTTGTGATGTCTTGGACGGATTGAAAGATGGGGTTGTCTCACGATCTGATCTGTGTCAACTACACTTTGATTTGTCCAGCGTGGTTGGCAAACCCTACTATTGCCCTGCTTCAGCGGGTGGATTTAGTTTCGGGATGCCCACAGCTCCTACTCCGGCGCAGAATGGGACGGTCAGTGAAGAGGCAGTGGAAGTCGCCAGGGAGGTGATTCGAGGCCTGCGAGACTCGCAAGGCCGACAGGTGTATCTGTCCTACCAGACCGGCGCCACCTTTGCAGATGTCAACACTGAATACAACTCGTCCAGTGACAAGTGGGAGCTCTCGGTCAACGGACTGGGTGCAGAGTTTATCGCTCTCCTACTTGACAAGAATGGCACAGATCTATCCAACCTCGACGGAGTGACCTACGACACCCTCAAGAACTGGATGATTGGCGGTATGCAAGAGTATTACTCCACTCTACAGACAACATGGCCAGACCTTACTCCCTTTCACCAAGCTGGGGGCAAAGTGATCCACTTTCACGGCGAGGCCGACAATAGCATTCCCACCGCCTCATCAGTTCGGTACTGGGAATCTGTGCGAAACATCATGTACCCTCATTTGTCTTACAAGGACGGTGCCAATGCTCTCAACGACTGGTACCAGCTGTATCTAGTTCCGGGCGCGGCTCATTGCGCAACCAACCCGCTCATGCCCAACGGACCGTTCCCGCAGACAAATCTGCAGGTGCTGATCGACTGGGTTGAAAAGGACGTCAAACCGGTCACGCTCAATGCGACTGTGTTGCAGGGAGATCATCTCGGTGAAAATCGGCAAATCTGCGCCTGGCCTTTACGTCCACTTTGGAAGCACGGGAACCTGCAATGTGAGTATGACCAGAAGTCGATTGATACTTGGCATTATGATTTGAAAGGCGTTCCAATGCCTGTATACTAGTGAAAGTATACAATAAAGGCTTCTTTATTTCGAAGCCTTGTGCTTCTTTCTTTCGAAGCCTTGTTCACAATGGTCTTTCGCGTCACGTATAAACGTTGAGCCTGCGAGGGTTCTCTCACTCATACACGAGCGTCGATTGACTCTTACAACACCAAGGGCCTTTGGGCAGCATTTGGTTGCCTCTATTCATCTTTGTAACTTGCCTTGATCGTGGGGTTCCCAGTAAATTTGAATTTAAAGACATCTACCATGCGAATCAGTGGCACGAGGCAGGTTTGTGGTTTCGGCAACGCATACCAACAGTGAGTTTTAGTCAGGTGACATAACGAAAAGCTACCCGACTCAGTAAGACCAAGATCCAGCTGGAAGCTACTTGGTAGCCAGCCCCGGCGGTAGCTCTCAAGTATTGGTGTACCAAGGAACATGAATCCTTTCGTTCTAGGCGCGTTGGAGCTCTTGCCTTTCAGCACACTGGGGACGCCTGTTTCCAGGCCACCGACATCGACCTTGTCCGCGTGTGGTGGAAGGGGAGAGGCTCAAGCTGAACCGGCGCTGAGGTCCAGTGGTTCAGTACGTGTATCGCCGCCGACTAAGATCCCCTTTCAACATAATGCAAGCGTGCCAGTCACTAAATTTTTGCAGAAAAACCGCACTCAAGTGTACCAATCTTGGTTCCAGAGCTCCCAAAGAAACTGGATCTACTCGACGTGGTGAGACATTGAGTATGTGCGCAGCGCCTTTGCCGCTAAGAACCCAAAAGAGTCAAGAGGCTGGGTCGATTATTGGAGAGGTTCGAGATCTGGAAGCACAATACATGATATCCTGAAAGCTGGGGCCGTGACTCCATGAATTAGGCGAGAGCCATAGAGGGCCGGACACTCTCACATGGTAAGTGTGGAGTGGTTTGGAATTGGAGACGGTTCTCGTGATGTCGTCATGAAGGTCAAAGTTGTTGTGGAAGAAGCAGCGCGTTTTGCTCCGTTGCTGGATCGACTCACATGCTTTTCCGCGCCGACGGATACCTGTACGTTCCAAAGCTGGATATGTGGAGTGGAAAATCGGGGAGTCATGGACTCGATCAGCTGTACGAGTCAAACGGCCAGAGATGTAAGAGGTGTTCCTGGACTGACAAGCCGAAAGCAGGACCGTTCTCAAGAGATCCTTGGCCCAGGCTTGATTGGTATTCCCCGGATCGGATCGCACATCGACGTTATCCATGTCCGTTATCGAGGTAGTTGGGCACTGGGCACAGTGCGGTACTTTCACATTCCACATCCTCGCTCAAATGACATCAATCTACAGACGAGCAAGTAAAATGTGGAATGTCAACGTCATTGCTCACATCTGAGACCTTGTGCTACAATCATGCTGGGGCAGGACTCGAGCACATGGGTTGCACCTCAGGCAGTTCTGGGAATTGGTATCGGGCTGGTTGCCGTGAACCTTCCAGAGATTCAAGCTGACCGGAAGTCTATTAATAGACTAAGAGAGTTGTGGCGCTTTGACCACGAATTTCCATCCCAATCCAACCCAACCACACTCTCACTGGGAAGGCTGGTGGTTCGGATATGCTGTCCCGAGTGAGATGGATAGAAGGAGGAACCTAGTCCTACCTCACAAGATAACCTTATGTATGGATGTATGTATTATGTAGTAATCGAGGAGTAGTAGTACGGTAGCTGTGATCACAGGCCAGACCCTGATCACATTACTCTGCGCGATTGTCGTGAATGCCGATTACCGACTTATACCCAATTACCTTAGGTCCTGATGCATATTGTAATATAATTTAGATATCCAGTAAGATCACCGTGATAGGAGCCTCGAAGGAGCCCTTTCAATTTCTTTGAGAAAAGCGAGTGGAGACCTGTCAATCTGAGACTCGACGTCGCTCGATAGACCCCAGAGCGTCCGCTCACATCTCGCCTTTTCTTGGCGGTGTGTACTGCTACCTTTCACCTACTTACATACAGTCGGTAGTTAGCTGATAAGTGACTCTACCCTTGCCGTTGTGGTGCCGTTTGTGATCGGCAGGCACCGTAGTGCAGGTGTCTAGGCCGGACCTTACAAGCAGATAGTTTTGGAAGGATGGGTGAACTCGCCCTTACGAGCAGTTTGGTCACATCGCGGGACATAAGAGAGCGTCATGATCATGTGATGAGCTTGGGAGACGAGCTGAGCGAACGATGGCCTCCCTCATTGGAGTCAACCTATTTTGCATTTGGTTTGGAAGTTTTTTGACGACAAACTCGAATCGGTGCTTGACCAAGTTGAACTATCGGGCAGCAGCATCAACCTTAAGTCCAACAGGGGATGAAGGAGGCGGGAAAAGGGGAAGATTTGTCTCCGGGGTTGGGTCTCTTGGCGAACTATGAATAAAGTTGCTCGGAGTCAATCTCCGAATAACTTTGTCGTTCACAAGTGAATGGGGTGATTTGTCAGTCAGGTTTTGAGCATCAGTTTGAAAGTCATGGATACAGATGCTTGACGCACCTAAAAGTATCTTGTAAATAGTGTGAAACCTAAAGAAGCATGGGGTAAGGTTGAGCCTCGATCGGTACCTGCAGTTGTTTTTCCCCCTGTAATCTTCCACACACATCAAGGGCCTTGTATGTTGTGTAAACATGTAAGGATTAGAAACCCATGTGCTCAACGGTCATTGTAGTACTAACTAGTCAAGTTAAGGTAGTGTATCTGGATATAACTTTGAAGTTTACTATTCCTGTCACACATGCGGACCCAAAGTAGAAAGCCTTACCCAACTTCCTGGCATCACACACGACATCTCTCTCACCTTCCGACCTGGTACAATACTCGAGTTCTGCTTGGTGGTGGTCCGGTTCGCGCACCTACTTAATTGCCCCACGCAGACTCGTAGTCTCGTAGATGAGCGATACCCCCGTATGATTGACGACGACGCCTCATCTTCTGTGAACCGTGGCCCGCGGTGGGTTCCTGACCCTCTTGCATCTCAATAGGAGGGAAGGTGATCATCTGATGATCTGTCTACGTTGAGCTGGGAATCAACTCTAATCTTGCCGTCACGTTGGAGTGACCCCTCCGGCCTCCGATCATGATAATCATAGTCGCCATCTGAATGTGTATGGGACATAATGCTCCAGGGTTGGCTATTGGTCTTGAGGTCTGGTAATTATCCACCGTCTGTACATACCCGACTCCGCCAGGCCGCGTCCGCATGGGGTGGTCGAAGTGCCGACTGATTCGTAATGAGTCTTCAGGCACCGGGTCCTGAACCAGGGGTTGATATCCTCCGTAGTTTCTACTAGGCAGATACTACTATAATACTAAGTTAGCACTCTTTTGCTCAAGTTGTTTCTGTTTCTCCTGATAGAGTTTACCTTGGTACCTTCCAAGAGAAATCAGTTAGTGACCTGACGTTACTTCAAGTAGTTGATTCCTCGCACAGTATTGAGTATTTACTATGTACCGTCGTAGTTGTGCAAATGTACTCTATCGTCTCCACACCTGACTCGAGTCCACACGCACTTCCTCTCTCTCTTGCCTGTCGCCTTTACACCTCCTCCTCCACCCGCTTCTTCGCCTTCCTCTTTCCGCCTCCCAAAGTGGCAATTCCAGTTCCAGAATGGTATCCGCTTTCCCCTAATTATTATTCCGTCAATATTTCCTCAACCCTCGGTTTCCTTTTCGGTCCCCCTCCCCCTTCTCTTCACCCTTTCTTCCTGCTCGTCAATCGTCTCTCCATCAAGGGAGCTTCTCTTTTCTCCTTCTCGCATCACCCCTCTTCACATTCTCTATCTCTCAATCTCTCTACCTTCCATCCCCGTTCATCACTTCGATAAACTCGCGGGCTCGTTTGGATCGCCGCTGCCCAACTGACCGTCTCCACCCTCGTCACCACCCTTTTCTATCCCACCCTCTCCCCATCTCGTTGGTTGCGCGGCCATATTGCGATAGTCCTGCTTGCGCTCCCACCGCACCCCGAAGCGCGCTCTCTCCACTTGATCTGTTTCAGCTTCGTACCGCAATGAATGCCCCCCAAGCGCTCGGGTACCCGCCCAGCGCATCGTTGCAGCAGCGAGGTGCGTATCTCCTGGTGTTTCTGGCCACTTCTTGTTTCTATCCGCCCCCCCCCCCCGCCTGCCCCTGATCGCTCCGGTCCAGACTCCTGTCGCTGGCGTGTCATTACTTGGTTCAAGATCTTCTTGCTTCAGGTGGCCCTTGCGACGCATTGGAGAAGACACTGGATCGCCGCGAAGCACTCACTTCACTGGCCTGTCCGGACGGCCCCCTTGTCTATCACTTCTTACATTCAACTGGCCTATCTGAAACCGCTTCCTGCCATTGTCCACGACGCACTAACATGGACCACCACTACAAATTAGACCAGATGTCGTCAACCGGCCCCAACTTTGGCTCCAACAACCCCTTCCGAAATCGCGCTCTCTCTCCTGACACAGGCGCACCATCTGCCAACCCTCGCCCGGAACGTCCCCGGTCAACGAATCCTTTCTTGGATGATTCAGAGGCGACGTCACCACGATCCGGCCCCGGTATGGCAGGTGCCACTAACATCTTTTCGCCGGTCGAGAAGCACGATATGACCACCAACACACGAGAGCTCTTTGTACGTCTGCCCTCATGGTTGATTAGTTGGAGGCGGTGGATCTGGTTGCCAATGCCGAGATCAAGTCGAGATGATGAAGCTAACACGTTCGCAGGAGAACCTCTCGATCAAGCCCGGTACTCAAGGGCCCCCTCGTTCCGGCCCTGACGCCGGTCACCGCGGCAGCGGTAGCGGTAGCCGACCTAGACCCCCGCGAGAGCGTCCAGAGCGACGACCGGTAGATGGTCGATTGGACGGACGGTTCAAGGACCCCAAGGATCCTTTCGATATCTTCGCAGACCCTCCTGGCAAGGCATCTGGGTCCGGCTCACGGGATTATTCCAGTCGTCGCCCGCGGCGAAACTCAGAGTCTTCGGTCATGGATCGGGCACCCCGGCTCTTGGACGATGATGATGAGAAACGTCGTCGAGAGCGGCGTCGTGAGCGCGAGGCTCGTCACCGAGAAGGGCGGGATAGCAAATCCCGCCCGACTCGCAAGGATCGTCGCTTGGACATCATCGACAAGTTGGACGTGACGAGCATCTACGGAACTGGAAGTGAGTACAAAATTCGGTGAACTGTAGCATATCCGAAGGGATGCCGAGGTGTCTTTTTATCTCTTTCTCGTCCATGATACTAACGAAACCGATTTATCGACAGTGTTCCATCATGACGGTCCGTTTGATGCCTGCAACCCTCATCGCAACCGCAAGGGCGCCCGTACAGCGCCAATGCAAGCTTTCCCCAAGGACTCTAGCAATATGGCTTTGGGAGGGGCCGGTCCCAACAATTCCAACATTGATCTGAATTTGTTCCATGGCCGAATGGAGGAAGCTCATAACGATTTCTCGTTCCCTGTTGCTGCTCCAAAGGTCACCGCTGATACCGTTCCTTTCGATTCTGCTGCTCGCATTGATCCCGTTCACGGCCAAGAAAGTATGGGTCTGGGCACCAGCACGTTCCTGGACGGTGCGCCTGCTAGTCGGTCCGCGATTGCTCGTCGTCAAAGTGAGCATGATGACACAGGTGCCGGTGGTCTGCAGCGCAAGAAGAGTCTGGCTCAGCGACTCCGTGGTAAAAGTGGGACCGGTCGTCCATCGCTCTCGTCTCCCACACGCAACGGTTTGCCATCGCCCAACCCGGCTCCCATAAACTCCAGTCACTCGGCTTCCTCTCGCGTCGGCGAACGCAACCCCTTCTTCCAGGACTACGACGAAGAGTATGATAAGAAGGCCGCGCGGATCCATGAGGCACGACTCGAGGACGACGGTGGCCGCGAGCGCTCATCCAGCAGTCCCAAGCAACCCACCAACTTGGAGCGCAAAACCACCAATGACCGAGGCTACGATGAGACCAAGCTAAGTGCCGGCGGAGGCGGGTTCTTGAACCGAATGAAGAGCTTGCGCAAACCACGGCCTGTGCGTCGCACTAGCGACTGAGGTGCTGGTGAAAAAGCTCTCCCAAGGGGACGCGGTTGGAACAATGGCTAGGGCTTCCAGTGTCGAAATGAAGAATTCCTTCGTGACCACAACTTGGCTTCAATGGTTGGAACGACCCTGCAAGGCCCCAATCTCGAGCGGACGCATACCTGCTCATCAGGGTATTGCTCATGATCCTGGTCTCGATTGACCTATGCACATGCGGTGCAGGCACCACGACAGAGCGAGGCAAATACTGCCCTTGCTAAGAGAACTCTGTCACCTGGATGGTGCTTTGCTATTCCTGTTTCATTTTTATTCTTCGTCTGTTTGCTCCTTTATTCTTGTTATGGGATGCAAAATGTAATACCCTTTATAGCCCCGACACTTGCAAAGCTGGCAATTTGTGTTGTGGTGAACATCAGGGCCGAGCGAACAGGGTTCGATCACTTCCCCAATAAGGGATATCCATGCGCGAAACAGTTCTAGTTTCAGATGGTCTTTATCATGACTTTTTGCTTCTTTCTTCAACATTGCACCTTTCGTGTCAAGGTTAGCTCGAGGCGCTTCTTGCCCTTTTTTTCCCGAGCCGTGTAACTGGACCAGCGTCTTTGCTTTGCAAATCCAATTGCACACTTCCGATTGAATCCTGAATGTAGACGTAAAGACCTCGTTGTTTCTGTTCCGATAAAGCGCCACCTGCCCAAACATCCAACGCATTGATCTGAAACATGCTTCATGCGTGTCAGGACCCACATTTGTCCGTCAGACTTGATCGCTGGAAGGAGAGGGTCATGACTTCTAAGTTTGATGGTATGCATTGGTACCTCTCCGCTCTAACCATAGCAGGTCTGGACCCGGTGACGGCTCCACGTGCTCGATTGATAGTTGACAGACAGCATGCGTGATTTGGATTTCTACCCGATGCGCCATGGATCTATCTAAGTTACTGGGTGATGAACAACATGTACTATCACGTTAACACCATACGGGATCATTTAAGAGATAACATTTGATCCATTCATTAGATCGTGGCCCAGCCAGCAGGGACCTCCTTAACATGGAGATATGTATATGGCCCACGGAGCCCTTCAACAATTGGCACACACAAAAGAAAACAAATCACAGACGCCTCCCAAACCAGATGCAAACATTGATGGTATTTAGAACCTGCCCAAGAACCCAAAACTCCCGTGACTAAGCAGTGAACATGCCTCTAAGTCTACTTAGTGAACGCCAGGAGTGGAGCGTGGCAGATGAGGGTTAGGCACTGCGAGACCCGCGCGGCGCTTAGATTGTGGCTTAGGTCGAGCAAGAGTATACCTAAACATGATAGACATGGCGTTAGAGACTGTTGCTATTGGCGGGGAGGAAGAGGGGGGTTCACATACTTCGCAAAAGCGCGCGACAGAGCCTTTTTGCAGCTGACTTTCTGGCTGCCAATGAAGGATTCGACGGTGACCGCGATCGCACGGTCAATGTCCTGGGAGGAACAGTACTCAGAAAGACGCATCTTGCAGAAGGCCTCGGCAATACGCATGATGGCTTCTAAATGACGGACCTAGAGTACAGTGGTTAGTGTATGGTGAGGTAGAACAGTGCCTTTGACTGAATTGCCACCTACAGTAATGGGATAGGCTCCTGTGGCCAGAGACTCACGACGCATGTCTGCAAACAGACGAGCGACCTTGTCCTGGTCAATCTGGTAAAGCTTGGGATGGCAGCGCTCCCGAGCGTACAAAATGTACTTTCGGAGCAATTCTTGAGGAATCTCTCCCTCCTTCTCCTCGTCCGCCTTTTTCTGCTCAGCCGCCCGACGCTCAAGCTCCTCCTCGTTTGGAGGGAGACGACGGCCCTCTCGATCGATGCGGTAGCCTTCAATATCGATGAGATGCCCGTACGTATCAACCAAATCCCCCTGGTCGTTACGGAGTGGCTTGGCCGGGTTGGCACGGTGGTGAGACTCAATCACAAAGTTTGCCAGTCGCTCGTCCTCTGAAGGCTCGACGAGATCACGCACCACGCACAGAATATCGAAACGCGACAAAATGGGATCAGTCAACTCGACGTTTTCAGAAAAAGACTTGGTGCTGTTGTAGCGACCGCCAATGGGGTTGGCAGCGGCGACAACTGCACAGCGAGCCTGCAGTGTGGTGACAATACCAGCCTTTGAAATGGAGATAGTCTGCTGCTCCATGGCTTCGTGAATAGACGTCCGGTCTTGATCGTTCATCTTGTCGAACTCATCGATCAGACAAGTGCCGCGGTCAGCCAAGACTAATGCACCACCCTCGAGGGTCCATTCACTCGTCAAAGGGTCGCGACGGACACTAGCAGTCAAACCGACAGCGCTGGCACCTTGACCAGTGGCAAAGACGGCTCGATGAGCAGATTTCTCGACGTATTTCAGCACCTGTGACTTGGCGGTACCTGGATCGCCGAGAAGCAGAACGTTAATGTCACCACGAATAGACATCTTTCCTTGAGCCTGCTTGCTGACACCCCCGAAGAGCGAAAGGGCAACCGCAGTCTTGACATCTTGGTGACCGTAGATACTGGGTGCGATGGAGCGAACAATCTTGTCGACAATTTCTGGGTCCCTGGAAAGCGCACGGATCTCGCGCTCATCCTCCTCAGTCAGGTTGAAGCCAGCGAGCTGATCATGAGACTTAACCACGTGATTGGCTTCAATAACAGTGGCAAAGACAGGGAATCCGTTCTTGTTGTTCAGCTGGGCATCATAGCTGTTGCGATAGATACCAGTGACTTCCACTTCGTCACCCGGCTTGGCGGTATCGATCAAATCAGCCAACAGAACGACTTCACGTTGACGAGGGAGACGACCAGCAGGGACAGAGCCTGGTGACTCCTGGAGGGTCAATTTCTGGTAATTGCGGTAGACAGTTTTCTCAGAGTTCACAGTGAAGGGACCGCGCGATTGGCAGTTCTGGCAGAACGAGATCTTGACCTCGGTATTGGCCTCCTGTTGGAAAGGTCCCAGTGTGATACCGCACTTCTGGCAGAGGAACATGACATAGTTCAACTGGGGGAAAACGCCAGTCCGGCGAGTCACTACACCACTAACGCGTACCAAACAGTTTAGGTGGGATTGTCGCAGTTGACGCAGAGTGTAAATGATGGGCACGTCAGTGATGCGGACGTGAATCTCGTTGTGGATGTCGTGGTATTGAGGGTAGTGGAACAAGGTGACATCGAGAGCCACTTGATCAAAAACCTTCAAGACCTCGGTGGGCTCATTTGCGAGGAAATAAGAGAGCGCGGCTTTGGTTTCGCTCAAGTGGGCGTAGGACACCTCCAGTGAGGCAGAGTTGATCTCACCCAAAGTCTTGATTCGGTTGCCGTAGACGGATTGACCCGAAGGATCGATGAACTCTGTGAGGAAGGCCTTGAACTCTCTGTAGATGGAACGGAGCACTTGCGGTTGCGTGACCCAATCTGTGATGTTGGAGGCCTTGACGTCAGCCAATTCCTCCAGGGACAACTCCTCCATGCCCTCGTCTGCCATATCGATATCCTCTCGCTCTTCATCGTAGTGATGGCGGCGACGACGTGGCTGGCGCGACAGATCAAGATCCATATCATCGTCGTCCTGAAGGAAAGCGGCGGGCATGCGGCGCCGGCGTGCAAGCTCGCGATCTCTCTTGTTCATTCGGGCGTCCAAATCCCGGCGGGCTGAGGCATCAAGCTCATCGTGCTCTTCCTCATCATCGATGTACGCTTCATTCACGTACTGATCGTCTTCTGCGGCGCGATAGTCTCGTTCAAAGTTGTCGCCAAACAGATCAATTCCATCCTCATCTTCAGCCAGCTCGTCTACATCGTCAATGTCGGGGATCATTTCAGTTTCTTCCTCATTATCTTCTTCAGCGTCATCGAAAGGGGGCATGGGGGGAGGTGATGATGCCAATGCCGCAGCTATTCGCGGTTTGTTAGCCCAAGATTGCGACCGCAGATTTTTTGGAGGGGTCGCCCGGGGGACGATGGGCAACACATACGACTAGACGGAGGCAATTGCCCAGGCGAGGACATATCTTCCGGCTCACGATCACGCTTTCGAGTGTTTGTTCTCGGGCCGCGGTTCGCGGCCGAGTCGCTAGGCTGGAGGGGACTGTACATGGGTGTCAATGCGGTTGTTGCGAAGCGACGAAAAGGGTCGTCAAGATATCGATCGATGGGAATACTGACTCCATGCTGTGCGGGCGGGCGTGCGTTCGTGAGTATGTATTACGCAGTCAACCCAAGTTCTGATTCTTCAAGGCGATGGAATGGGAAGGGCGAAAAAGGGTGGAGGGGTGGAGAGAGTGAAGAAGGCTTGTCAATTTCTTGCGGGCGCCCAAAGAAGAAAGAGGAGTAAGAAGAGGAGCATTCAAGGCGGGAAAAAGCACGGGCCCGACGCGTTGCTGAGGCCCAAAACGGCAAAATCCGACGCGTCGCGTGTGGGATCTTTCAATTAAGCCCCAATTAGGACTAGCCCGAGAGAGCTTCTGGATATGGCGATGACCCCATCTCGCAGTCCAAGCTGGTGTAGATAGTAGATTACTAGATACTCGAAATCCAGTAAGGCTTTGACGTGCAGCTTGGAGTGGGTCTACTCTAGTATATGTCAAAGAGACGATGGGGAGGAGGTGAAGGCTCACCCCTCGATCAGCATGTGACGTGCTGTGCTAAAGTCTGCGCGACAACACGGTAATCACCATGGATTGCTCATTTAGGATCCGATCCTGGTCATTCTGTAAGTGTCATGACTCAACCTCAGAAATCGTGATACATAGCAAGAATGGATAATAAAAGTCATCTTCACTACTACTTCAATCGCAAATACTTTCTCCCATTGAAGTGTTGGCAGAAGTCTACTAGGTATCGTTAGAGACAACAGGCCGATGCGGACTTAATTCACACCGCCCGCATATCGCGTTCGCGCCTGCTCGTCACGTTTCCTGACAACGTCAAACATGCTACAGCAGTAGCACTACCAGACTGCAGACTCCTTGGCATAGTATTGCTTATCCCAGTGTAAACGCTTTCTGAGCTGCGATGGAAGCCCCTGACGGAGTTCCATTGAAGGCTGAAGTTGCCCGACGGGAGAGCCTCGGATCGCAGAACTCCCAGACAGCGAAAGAGTACGAATGGCCGTCCAGGTCCCCCTCACGGTGTCTTTGAATTGAAGATAAATTAACAAATTCTGCGCTAGGTTCACTGATTCCCAGATACGTCTCGAGGCCGACGCTCGAGAGATTCTGCCATACGTAAGGCCCCCTACTTCCAGCAAAGAGCTTCCCTGTTTCACAGCGACAGGCGTTGACCAAGTACCTAGTCTTTCGACTCTTGCACCTATGAACTCGGTCCCCTGCGCCAGAGTCTCTTCGCTTGCTTAACTTGCAACCCACCCCCAGCCAAGCCTGACGAGGAGTTCACACCCGCCGGTGTCTGCTACTCCTGTTCAATTGCTTGCCATGGCGAACACACCCTAGTTGAACTGTTCAACAAGCGCAACTTTGTCTGTGACTGTGGAACTACACGTATGCCCTCCACATCTCCTTGTACCTTGCGCGAAGATCCCGAAACCGGTCGAAAGGGTGTTCACTCTCAACAAGCCGCCCCGGGAAACAAATACAACCATAACTTTCGAAACCAGTTCTGCGGATGTGGCGAGAAATATGATCCATATTCAGAGAAAGGAACCATGTTCCAATGCCTTGGCCTGGGTAGCGTCGAAACTGGTGGCTGTGGTGAAGACTGGTGGCACCCTGAGTGTCTGATTGGCTTACCACGCGATTGGCACAAGAAGCCTGAGCATGAAAAGTCCATCTCTGCAGGTGGCACAGATGGCGCCGGCGATGGTGCGGGTGATGGTGCGGGTGATGGTGCGGGTGATGGTGCGGGTGATGGTGCGGGTGATGGTGCGGTCGACGACGAGGAAACGCCACTTCCTCCCGGGTTCCCTGCCGAAGACGATTTTGACCAGTTCATCTGCTACAAGTGTGTCGAGTCTGTACCATGGCTCAAGCGTTATGCAGGGACCTCGGGCTTTCTGCCGGCAGTTTATCGCAAAGGTGGAATGAACGATCCTCAAGAGTCTTTGGAGGAGCCCGGTGATTCAAAAACCTCAGATTCAGAGGACAAGTCCAAGAAGCGTAAGGCCGAGGATAGTGAACCAGAAGTACCGGAGCGTGTCGCAAAGAAGTCTCGAGAGAACGAATCTGATGCGACGAAGGAAGCCCAGCCTGAAGTCTCCTTTTCAGAACCTGTGGAGGAGGAGGCTGAATCTCTCAGTCGATCGAAAACACTACAAGAATCGAATACCGCCGACAAGACTTCAGTGCCCGACTCCACCGGGGCCAAGCCGAAGCACGCCCTCCTCCCGCCCACCACCCCTCAAGCATCTTTCTCTCTCTTCCTTCTCGAAAATTTCCAAGATGGTCTCTGCCGCTGTGCAGAGTGCTACCCCCAGTTAGCACCCTATCCCCAACTGCGCGAGGAAGAAGATACATACGAGCCACCTTTGTCCGATGACGGCGAGAACGGAAATGGGGCTCGCAGCGCAGGAACGGGTAGCCTCCTTGAGCGCGGCGAAGCGGCGCTCAGCAACATTGATCGTGTGCGCGCCATCGAGGGCGCTATGATCTACAATCATCTCCGTGACAAGGTGAAGGATTTCCTCAAGCCATTCGCCGTGAGTGGCCAGGCCGTGAGCGCAGAGGATATCAAAGGTTACTTTGAAAAATTGCGGGGTGATGAGCAGGGTATTAAAGATGCTGCTGACGGTGCCTCCGCTGAGGGGAAAGGCAACGGTGGTGATGACAGTCACCGCGACGAGCAGCCTAGTAAGTTCACTGGTCTTTGAAAATTTGACTGTCACGGCCGATGCTCATACCTTTCAGGTCATTAAAATACGCAGATACCGGGTTCACCTTTGCGGAGTCGATGGATGGGCGGCGTAAAATTTGAGTCTGTTTTGTGACAGGGGCGGAATTAAGTTTATGGTGTTCGGATTAGGACAGGCCGAAAGGCACATTAGGAGACAACATTTACAGAGTATTCACTAGGCGCAAAGGAGGCAGGAAATGAAATCAACTTTGTCAAAGTGCGGGATGGTATCTAGATGAGAAAGGCAGGAAAAGAAAAGAGAACGAGAGAAAGACAAGAGTCCCCGGGCAGCTGGCCGTGAAACCCGAGTTTGAGCTCATCAAATTACTCCTTGAGCCGTTTCGCAGCTCTCAAGAGCGAGTCGTCTGGAAGCCCACTGCGCTTCGTGCCAGACAAGCTACCGGTGCGCATGTCGGTGTCATCTTGCGTGACGCGGCGATGAGGATACTTGTGTTCGATTCCGCTGAAGCAGTCCCCACTGATCGGGCCACCATTGGTAAAATACGGATGTTCTAGGGCCTCCTGGGCCGTGATACGTCTTGTTGGATCGTATTCCAGCATGCGTGAGAGAAGGTCAAATCCGTCTGACCCAGGGGATCCGGCCTTTGATGACGAGGAATATGCACCATTCTTCAAGCAACTTTGATACCAGCTTTCGAGACTATGACCGCGATGGAAATGCGCTGGCTGCCGATGTAGAGCCAGAGACTGCAATTGGTTGTATTCCGGCATAGCCACAAGACCAGGCCATGTTTCTTTCCGGGGCAGCCCAAGAATTTCGACAATCTTCATCATTTGATTCCGCTGAAACGGGACAGTCTTCTTGCTATCCATCTTGACCTCTTCTCCCTTGAAGATGGGCCGCAACGACAAGAGCTCTGCGAAGATACAGCCCACTGCCCACATATCGACGGCCGGTGTGTAATGGCGGCTCCCGAGAAGCAGTTCCGGTGCGCGATACCATATTGTCACAACCACTTTATCCCCGGAGAACAGCGAATTGAGTGGTTTATAAAACAAGCGAGCGAGACCCAGATCGCCGATTCGAATGGCACCGCTGGACGTGACCAGAATGTTCGCCGGTTTCAGATCACGATGCAAGACCCAATTGGTGTGCAGATAAAGCAAGCCGTTCAGTAGCTGGAATAGAATTGAACGGATCATCGAGGCTGGTATAGCATGCCGCTGGGGCTGCGTATGGTGATGAATGATCTGGAGCAGATCGTGCTCTGTGTACTCAAACACCATGAAAATGCACTTGTCTTCGAGAATAATTTCCTCAAGCTGAACGACGTTGGCGTGGGACAATTCGGTGCAAAGGGCCATTTCACGAATCGCAGATTGAGAAAGACCGGTGTACTGGATCGTTTCACCCTCCTTGTCGGGCTTGAATCTGAATGACTTGCTTTAGTCTCCGGTCTGTGTCGCCTCACGCAATCGTAGTCCCAAGGCGTACTCCTGACATACTTTTTGATCGCAAATACCCCCTCTTTGCCATGTTGACCGGTCGCTTTGTACACTCGGCCGTAGGTACCGCTGCTGATGAAGCCCACGATTCGATATCGGTCGCGCACTCGGACTTTGGTTGTATAACCGGCGGGTCGGCGACTCTCTAGTGCCTCTGTTTGCAACATTGCGCCAAGTATTAGCCAACTGTCCCTGTCACACTATCAAGGCTCCCCGTACAGTAGCTGCGTAGACCGTAACCTCGGGAGAATGTGACGAGTGGGCAGAGAGAGAAGAGGAGGGGAAAGAGACGAGTCAAGAGGGAGCAAGCGAATTCCAGGCAAATCCCAAGGCAGGACACAAGCGTAAGCCAATGACGGACATCCTCCTCTTTGATCATTCTTTCCCTTCTCTCCACCCAGCACCTGAATCTTGAATGACCCGTCAGCTGCTTGTGACTAGGAAAAGTATTACCCCGGGGATAGAAGCCTCCAGCAGAATTGAGGAACGGAAAGTTCTTTCCAAACATTGCGCAGATCAACAGGAACGACAAATCTCAGATCGCAGATTTCAGCGCAGGGATGATGATCGAACGATGTCAGGAATGTAAAAGTAGTTATTCATTACCATCGACGGTGGCCTGCAGACTCCGCTTGAGGTTCTGGCCGACGGTCTTGGCTCGTGCATGAATCGAACCGGACGAGGAAGGCGGATTCGTCAGACTCATCGGAATTTGGCACTTTCCATATGCGAGGTCTGAGGAGGGGGGGAGAGGTAATGGAAGCCACCAGCACAAGCAATTGGCCTTGCGAGGATGATCCGGCTCTCAAATGATGGGGCGACCTGGAAGTGCGGAATTGCGGAGATGCGATTGTCCGATGACCCGAGAAGGTTTAAGTAATCCGGGAGGTGGACGACAAAAGACTCGTTCTTCTCCACTACTGCTCCGGCATACGCGGGGGCATGGGCATGGGTTGGTCGAGGGTACACCTACTACTGAATACTCCGGTGTCCCAAGGCCGCGCGGATGATGACATGACTGGTGGATTCGCACCTTAGATGTAACTAGTGTTCTGACATCGACCTGTGACCATCAACTGGGGAATGAGAGCACCTGGAATCAAATGCCGTTTCTGCGGACTAGCGTAACGAAACTACCAGCGCTATCAGCGTGCACCACCAGTATGAAGGGATTCTCACCTACCGTCAGTAGACAGTACTCAGTACTAGAAAATTGCCTCAACGCTCACCTTTCATAAAATAGTAGATTATTGCAGATTGGTCATTTCTCAAATGTACCAGATGGCGACGCGATAGATACATAGTTAGATCCCGTGCGTTGCAAGCATGTTCTTACAATTTCACACAGAGATGCGAATCGAACCTGATATGACAATACTGGGATCGACAGATGTGACTCTCTATCATGGACTCAAAACAAGATGGCTTTCAGCTGACATCTACCTCATCATGACTTTGATATCTTCTATTTGAGATTGAGTTTCCCCACGCCACAACAACTGAATGAATGGGTGTGACTAAGAACTCAAAGAGGGGGCGGAAGAGATGCAGGGGCGCACCTCCGAGGCGGAGTCGCAAGATCTTGGACACTACCTAAATACCTACCTCCCGCCTGCGACTGAGGTGGAGATGGCAAGGCCACGCTTTTTTTGATAACAAGATTGTCACCAGGAGCCTCAGTAGCCAGGGTAAAGAAAATAGCCATTACCTCGTCTCCCTGTCATCGACAAAGTCTGGCAGAAGGGAACCTTGCGTGTTACTTTGTCCTGAACGGACGAAGATACACTCCTCAATCCAGGGTTCGTTTGACCCTCGTCTTCATGCTACAATCATCAAGACCGCCAAGCTTTACAGAACCTAGCTATCGGCCAGCTCGCAACTTGACAACCCACTCTGGGAGTTGAATCTCTGCATAAAGATGGCGGACAGTCAGTCTCATCGGTGGCGGATCACACCGTATCTGATCTATTCAGTCTTCATTGCGACGCTGGGGCCGCTCCAATTTGGCTATCATCTCGTGAGTGCCTTGCCCCCCTCCCCTTCATTGCGATGACTCATTGCGATGACCATCAGTCCAATACGTGAGATAACACTACAATAGGCTGAGCTCAATGCTCCTCAAGCTGTCATCAGCTGTGACATGAAGAATGTACATTCGACCGTGGTCAGAGCGAATGGCTTACCACAGTGCATCCCCATGGGACCCTCTCAATTTGGCCTCGTTTCATCCATCTACACGCTTGGTGGCTTGGTGGGAGCTCTGCTGGCAGGTCCCGTGGCCACCAAGTATGGGCGACGGGTAGCCCTCTTTGCAACCACTGTCTTTTTCATCACAGGGCCCATCGCAGAGACGTTGGCACCCGCTGTTCCCGTACTAACCCTGGGCAGGTTCCTTTCCGGCGTGGGATCAGGCGCGGCAATTGTTGTTGGCCCTATCTATGTATCAGAAATTGCACCGCCAGAATCCAAGGGTCTCTTTGGTGCTTTCACGCAAATCATGACCAATGTCGGCATCTTGTTGACTCAAACTCTGGGCTACTTCTGGAGTCATGACAGTCTCTGGAGATTGATCCTCGCTGTGGCAGGAATCATCGGTGCAATCCAGTTTCTGGGCCTCTGGGTGGTCTCCGAGACGCCAACCTGGCTCGCCGAGCACCAATCTGCCAGTCAGGCATGCCAGGTATTGCAGCGAATCCGTGGCAAAGATGCAGACATTGAGACAGAGGCTCACGCTTGGGCAGTCGCTAGTGCTCCGGAAGAAGAGTCCCTGCTTGCTCCGTCGGGGGCTTCGGTAACCCCTCAGAAGGAAGCTGTGACAATTCTGCAGGCCATCCGTGATCCATTCTACCGGCCTGCTATTATCGCCGTTGTGGGAGTAATGATCGCTCAGCAGTTGACCGGAGTCAATAGTATCATCATGTATAGTGTGTCCTTACTGCAGAGTATTCTTCCGACTGCGGCGGCCTTGCTGAGTGTCCTGATCTCTGCGATCAACCTCATCATGACGCTGGCTTGCTCTCCTTTGCCCGACCGCATTGGTCGGAAGACGTGTCTCCTCATTAGTATCGCCGGTATGGGCGGAAGCTCCATCCTCCTGGCACTCGGCATCTACTTTGGCCAGCAAGTGGTGTCGGCAATGGCCGCCTTACTCTTCGTCGCGTCATTCGCGGTCGGCCTCGGTCCTGTGCCATTTATTTTAGCTTCTGAGCTGGTCGGCCCTGAAGCAGTTGGCGCTGCTCAGAGTTGTGCATTGGCCGCCAACTGGACGGCTACATTTGTGGTCGCTCAATTCTTCCCCATTTTGAACGACGCTCTGGGAGGGCGCGGCAAGATCTACTGGTTGTTTGCAGGCATGGCGATCCTATTTGGCTTGTTCATCTACCGCTGGGTTCCCGAGACCAAAGGCAAAGCCAACGCCGACGAAGTTTGGGGCCGAGCAGACCGTCGAGAGGACTGAGAGAGAAAGCTTTGAGTCTGAGTGGTGCGGTGCAATGAGTCGATCCATTTGAGCGACGTGACGGGGTCACTGAATGTTTTCTCGTTTATTGATGCCGGGCTCGTTGCCATCGGATCGAGCACGAGTCCTTCATTGGAGATGTTGAATTCCGTATACAGTACTTTCGATATATGGATTGCCGTTCGACATGGACTGAATCCATGTTCTACATGTCCGCTCGCGGGATCCTACAGATCTAATACAATTCGTAGCGTTCTTATTCACGTACCTGGGCGCTGCCCTAGGTACAGGGTTAAATGAATGTCCTTTGTCCCACCTGTCGATTCCTTAGCTTCCGAGTTCGTGGTAGGCACTGTAGTCTCGGCGCCAAAGGACGGTGATGTCACGCCTCGGAATCATCAAGAAGACAGCGGGCCATGCAAAGACGCTGTATCTGCCAGCGGAAGCAGTGCGTCTCATCTGCATGTCTCATGCTTTCCCATATGCTGTGCCTCGGACCCGAAGTGATTCGTCACCTTGTCAGATGTGCATGACGAGCGCCAAGAAACTGAATCCGTGCATGGGCCTGGTGTCTCGGGAGGCTCAAGCCAAATTTGAACTACGATCAATTCCATCCTTGCAAATCCCTGAGTTCCTTGAGTCCTTTGCGTCTTTGAAGCTCTGTGTTTTGATCCTTGTTCCAGGCTCACTCCTTTTTAGACGACCTGCGGCCATCCCATCTCCGCCCTCATGGATGAGTGAGGGGTAGTCGTCTGCACGGTCGCTGCGTCAGCCACCTCCTGGGCCAAAGAAATCGTCTATCGTCGCATGAGCGAGCAGGGACCAGACTGGATACGGTGGATCGAGTCAGTAGTTTGGCCTTTGGAGCATGACGTTCGTGGGCCACCTCATTTGCAAAGCGGTCCATACCTCCGTATGCCATCGGCCCCCACTGCGCGATAGCACGTTCACTTTCGTGGAATTCATGACACTGTACGGTAGAGATGAAAGAAGAAAGATGGAAATAGATGATCAAAGTCCTCGGCACGAGTTATGAACTGCACCCTGTGCAGTATCTTTTTTACATGCCTCGGTCTAGTCTGTTCCATATCACACTGCGCGTCAGGTACGACAATAATGGTTGTTTGGAACTCCCATGCGGTGTCAATGAGACGACGAAGCATAGTCCTGACTCCCGAGAGTCCCGACCACTGATTGAGGGGGAGTTTTTATTCTACAGTAGATGCCTGACGCGGCCTATAAGGACCATATCCATGTAGTGAAACTACAGTAACTAATTCTTCAATCTTACAATAGAGATGAGAGTATCTCCGTAGTGACTCTATCACTCTAGTGAGTAGTACCTAGTGAGCACTGAGTACCCGCTTTAGTGAGTTAGTGACTTGTAACTTCAATTGTTAGTGTTACTACTACTTAACTTACTGCCGTCCTACTGTTCCGGTATTCCCACTTGCCAACATTGAGCACAATGAGCAGTCGCCCCCCCCTTGAGAGTGGAGAGAATTGTAAGCGCTCAACCGCGATCCGAGTTAATGCGGACGAGTTCTCAGTCGGACTTTACCCAGCATCTGTTGGCTGTTTGCCCCAAGTGGAGTCGGCCGAGCCAGCCTGACGTTGTGAGGTTTCTTGGGGCTCTGGTCGTTGGTACCGTCACGGCTCCTGAGTCCTGAGTCCTGACTCCTGATCGGGAGTGGTGATATCCAGGCCCTGATGCTCTTGAGCTCCCCCAGCTCTAGTATACCACCTAACAGTCCCTCGGTCAGTCGTTTCCTTCCATCAAGGAACCAAAGAGGCAAGACCACCCTCCTGAATCGCGAGTCTTGGGAACCACCGCCAGCAAACACCACCAACAGACTGACAGAGAAATCTGGGGCTGTAGTAGAACGCAAGTGGGCCACCCTTTGCGATTACGGTGCGGCCTCCGGAGTGCTCGGGATTCGCCTGCCCGTGAGTTCAGGTCTGGCTCTGCACTGGGGCCCTGGCGCAAAATAGGCATCTATGTTCTGCGCTCCGTTGAAGACGGGTCTGTCCCAAGTTCCAACTGGTCGTGTGGGGTGGACTACTGTTGACTCGTTGAGTGTTGACTACTAACCTGACTGTGTCAGACTTCTCTGTCAGACTACTCTGTCAGACTACTCCTGTGGCATTGCTGGCCTTTCCACCTGCTCGCCAACTCGGTCACTGTACCGACTGGACATTGCCTAAAATCCTTCTTTCCTTCGAGGTACAGCACAGAGCCAAAACGCATTTTCCAACAACAACTCCCCTACTGTCAGCTCTGTAATCTCGAACGGCGACTGTTGATTTGCACTTTGCAGCACGCCTGACCCTGATTGCACCGGCTGTGTGGCCCATTGCCTAACTGGGGCCGTTGTTCTCCTTCGGCTCGACTCGACTGGGACCTTCTTTGGGTCGAGTGGCCCCCGTCCGCAGGCTTGGCTTTGCGCTCTTGTGGGATCGACCCGAGCAACAGAGCAGATCACAGATCCACGGCCTGGGGCGTCTTTCGCAGAGTCCAAGCCACCGTCGGACAATTTCAACTGCCAACTTCTTCTCTTGAGAGAGAAGTTTGGGATCAGGGGCCTTTTCATTTGATCCGACGGTCACCAAGTACTCATCCTCGGTCCCCATTGCGCTCCAAGTCACCTCGGCCGCCTACCAAACCTCTCCTCTTCCTGCCACCTGTCTCTCATTGACCTGGTGTGGTGTGCTCCGTGTATCAATCACCACCACCTTTTCCCTTCTTCTTCTTCTTCTCATTGTTCCCTTCATCTGTCTTCTCAGCGGTCTGAAACCCCATCTACCACAACACCCTTCTCCCCCCACTAGCCACACTTCCCGCCATGGTCCGGCTGCCAATCCCCCAGCGTCTCAGCTCGCATCTAAGCGCCAGGAGCGCTAGCACAACCCCAGGACAGAGCCGCAGCGTCAGTCCGACGCGCTCGGTGGACCCTAGGCCGCAATTGTTGCTGAAGGTGACGGTCATCAAGGTTCGTCGACAGAGCTCTTTCTTACCCCCCTGCAGTGGATGGATACTGGACGGGGTTACCCCGCGTCCAATGTTGATTTCGGGCTGACCGAAGACGGGATGTTGTACAGGGACGAAATCTCGCCGCAAAGGATCGCAATGGCACGAGTGATCCGGTAAGCGATCATGCGACCTAAAAAAACACACCCCCTCCCTCCTCCTCGGCTCTTCAATCTCCGTGACAGCAGGGACGAGCACTGATCAACAATCGGTCCACAGTACCTCGTGGTGACGCTGGGCGACTCGCGGCAATCGACGCCGACGATATCGAAGACCTTGAATCCCGAGTGGAACGTGTCCTTCGACATGCCCATCGCGGGTGTGCCCCTACTCGAATTTATTTGCTGGGATCATGATCGATTTGGCAAGGATTACATGGGGGAGATCGACATTGCATTGGAGGATATCTTTGCCGACGGACAAATCGCACAGGAGGTGAGTTCGTACTCGGCGAGCCAAGAAGGTACCACCCTTTCGAGAATGGCAAGTGAATGCTCATAACATGCTCAGCCTACATGGTACACGTTGAAGTCGAAACGCGGGTCCAATCGGCCCGAGCACAAGAAGAAAAAGCGTGAGAAGAAGGACAGTAACGTGTCCGGCGAGATCCTGCTTCAATTCTCCCTCGTCGATCCGGCAACTCCGACCCCGCCCCCCGCCGATATCTACCGGAAGTTCAGGAGCCTGGTGCGCGCAGGAGAGGAGGATGATTCGTCGCCCGATGAGCAATTACAGCAACTCGACCTGGATGATGACCTCGACCAGGAGACCTCGGATGAGACAGATGACCCCTCACGACCCGAGGTCGTGGAGACGCGCCGGCGCCGTCATCGTTTGGCTCGCTTGAGGAAGAGATCTCTGGCCGCTCGCGCATATCAATTCTCGGGCTCGGGCACTGGTGTTCAAGGTATTGTGTTCATTGAAGTCGTTCGGGTCAGAGATCTGCCACCTGAGCACAATGGTAAGACACTCCCCCGCTTCACCTGGGTCTCCCTGTTCGATCATCTTCTTGTCCTTTCATTGCTCGACGTGCTTGGCTGATGATGCTTATCCCAGTGACTCGCACGTCCTTTGATATGGACCCCTTCGTCGTGACTTCATTAGGACGCAAGACTCTTCGAACGCCGGTCATCCGACATAATCTCAACCCGGTCTACCATGAAAAGATGGTTTTCCAAGTCATGAAGCACGAGCAGATGTACACCATCAGCTTCACCGTCATGGACCGGGACAAATTCTCAGGCAACGACTTTGTTGCATCCGCCAGCTTCCCACTTCAGAAACTCATCGCGTCGGCCCCGGAGGCGGACCCGAACTCTGGCTTATATCACTTTGTGGAACTTGACGCTCCCGATCCAAATAAATCGAGTCCACGCCTGGCAGTCAGCCCGTCACCATCATCTACGAACTTCTTCACAGGAGCCAGGCCCATCCTCCGGTCCCAGAATTCCGCGACCTCGGTGTCGTCTCAGTCCATTCTCGAAATGGCCAATCGTGCTTCGTCAGCCCCGAACTCGTCAGAGAATGTCCTCGATATTGATACTAGTAGCTCTACATTGCAAGTTCCGGCGCCCGATGCAAAGGATCCTGCAGCCATGGACAGTTCCGATTCGCTCGTCATCCCTGAAGTGGACGACGAAGGCCTACGGGAGTACCGGATTCCCTTGATTCTCAAGAATCGAGAGCGATGGGAAGCAAAGCATTCCCCGGAGTTGTTCATAAAGGCTAAATACCTGCCGTACAGTGCTTTACGTCAACAGTTTTGGCGCCTGATGCTGAAGCAGTACGATGCCGATGAGAGCGGTCGGATCGACAAGGTGGAAATGATCACTATGCTTGATACCCTCGGATCCACACTGAAGGAATCAACTGTCGATGGTTTCTTCAAACGCTTCAGTAGCCCAGATGAGTCTGAAGCCGCTGATCTGAGTTTCGATGAATGTGTAATTTGCCTAGAAGATACGCTGCGCGCTTTGCAGAAAAAAGGCTCCCAACCTCCGGCCCTTACAGCCTCTCTACATGGTCGACCGGGGGTGGGAGGATCGCCTACCGCAAGCCAAGAAAGTGAGCGCTCAACCATCGGCCACAGCGACGATTGGGACCCCACATACCAAAAAATCAATGCTAATTCTATCAACGCAGCGGTTCCCACTATCAGCAGTGACGAGAAATCAAGCTCGAGCGACGGAGATCACCCTGATGACCTGGCGGATGAGCGTGGCGAGGAGCATGTTGTTGAAATTCGCGAGTGTCCTCTATGCCATCAGCCACGCCTTTCGAAACGGTCAGATGCAGACATCATCACACATATCGCAACTTGTGCCAGTCGTGACTGGCGTCAGGTCGACAACCTGGTGATGGGCGGGTTCGTGACATCCAGTCAAGCACAGCGGAAATGGTACTCTAAAGTCATCACCAAGCTGTCGTACGGCGGATACAAATTGGGAGCCAATTCGGCCAATATCCTCGTTCAGGATCGGATCACGGGTCAGATCAATGAAGAGCGCATGAGTGTGTATGTTCGTCTTGGTATTCGACTGCTGTACAAAGGTATCAAGAGCAAAGATATGGAAAAGAAAAGAAGTACGTTTGCCCTGTGCTGTCTTGCAGTCTTTTACCCGCCCCATGGTGCATCCTAGCTGACCTCCTCCCACAGTTCGCCGTGTCTTGAAATCGCTGAGTATCAAGCAAGGCCGCAAGTACGATGATCCAGCGTCTGCCAGCCAGATTCGGGATTTCATCAACTTCCATCGGCTTGACATGTCCGAGGTTCTTCTGCCACTGGATCAATTCCGCACTTTCAACGAGTTCTTCTACCGCGCATTGAAACCTGGAGCGCGTCCCTGCTCAGCACCCGATGAGCCTAGGGTGGTTGTATCGCCTGCTGATTGTCGTTCCGTGGTCTTTGACCGTATGAGTGAGGCCACCGGCATCTGGGTCAAGGGACGTGAGTTCTCAGTGGAAAGGTTACTGGGGAACGCCTACCCCGAGGATGCTGCTCGATACAAGAATGGCGCGCTCGGTGTCTTCCGACTCGCTCCGCAAGATTATCACCGTTTCCACATTCCGGTGGATGGCGTGATGGGTGAGCCCAAAACGATTGAAGGGGAGTACTACACTGTGAATCCCATGGCTATCCGATCCGCATTGGATGTCTACGGTGAAAATGTGCGCGTGCTCGTTCCAATTGACTCCGTGGCTCACGGCCGTGTCATGGTGGTCTGCGTCGGAGCCATGATGGTCGGCAGCACTGTCATAACTCGCAATGCGGGCGAGAACGTATCTCGAGCGGAGGAGTTGGGATACTTCAAGTTCGGTGGCAGCACAATTCTTCTCTTGTTCGAGGAAGGGAAAATCAATTTCGATTCAGACTTGGTGGACAACTCGAAGGGTGCCTTGGAGACACTGGTACGTATATGCGTGATGCTCATTGAAAACAGACTTTACCTTTACTAAAACTCTTTCTAGATCCGAGTCGGCATGTCGGTCGCCCACGCCCCTGATGTTCCCCAACACGAACCAGACATGCCAAAGAGAGCTGAGGATGTCACACAAGATGAACTTCAGGCCGCCCAGCGCCGTATTGCAGGGAGTCTTGAGTCCCCAGCAAATCCCGAAATACTGGCGGCGTCGGCAATGTAATCACAGTTTCAAAGAAAGAAGATCTTAAGACGGGCCATATGCACCCTCTTCATCGGACATATTAACTCGAAAAAGCTTAGACTTTGAGCACTAGCCTCCATTATCTAGCTAGTAGCACTTGAATGTTCATTCGCGATTCACATGAGTCATCAAGAGGATAACCACTGGTAGTCGGCAGGGGAAGCCTGTCTGGTCGGATCTGTATGAAAATTGGAGTATAGTCTGGATCAGGCATCTCGATTTTATGAGTTGATTTCAGTCAATGACAGTCGCTGAGTAGTCGGACCGTACTTTGCTCTATATGCATTGTTCCTTAGTGCAATACCAGAGAAGGCAAGAGTGTGCCCAGTAAGGCTGGCATGAATATTGTTGGTACCTTAACACGATGGTTATCTTCAACGATCCAGGACATGATGGGACGTACTTGGGTCACAGGTAGATGGGGGGGGCTTCCGAAAAAGGACTAGCGCCCCGCGCCCTCCGACCAAAACAACCGCGTGCCCGAATCCCTCTAACCAACCCACCTTTCAGCGCATCCTTGCCGCCCGCAGCTTCTTTCGCATTGCGGGCGTGATCCACGAGTCTACCAGTTCTTCTTGCTCTTCGGCACACGTGACAACTTTTAAATCAAGGGCTCGAGAGACCCAGACACGAGCGCTGACTGTTCGGGGCAACGTTGGCGGTGGACGCGAGCTCGAATCGCAAAGACGACGCGAAACCCGAATACCCGGCGACGGAGTCACGTTCGAGCTCCTCACGAAGTCATAAAGTCGACTCTTGGAAGAAAGCGACCAAGTCCTTTAAACGCGGACAATTTCCAATTGCAAAGATCGATGCTCTGCGACGGTGGATAATTTGAACCCAAAGAAGCTTGTCCCCGTTGTTGTCTTTGACATGACCATCGCGGTCGTGACGACATCGACAACCAAAACAAAGCGCCGTGAACCGCTGCTCACTCTCGGCATGGCGGCTACGCAAGCGCATTCGCGCTCTGGTGGATCGTCAGGTGGAACGAGTAAAAGCGGACTCGAGCGAAGAGGAACGCAGCTGAGCGCGAACAAGCAGGGGCTCGAAAAGCTCTCACACCACGAGACAAAACGAAAAGCGGGTGAGTGATTCTCTTCCGCCGCTTTTATAGGGAATTTGATGCAATGGTTTGCGCGAATAAGGACCTGAGCGCTAACCGAGGCGCAAATGGGTTGGTGCGATTTGCAGATTATGACGACGACGCGGACGGGTTTGAGTTCTCAATTTTGCCTTCAAAGAAGACCAAACCAATGACGGCGCAGCCGGCTTCACATTTTGCGCGATTAGAAGCGGATAATTCCACCTTCCAGCCTTCACCGCGAAGAGGGCGACCACCGAAGAAACGACCAGGAGAAGGCACAGGGGAAAATGCAGGGTCTGCAAAGGGGCAGGTCACGAATGAGCGACCCTCAAAACGACCGACGAGAGCATCTTTGAGATCATCAGATTTAGGTTCGGAATTGCGCTCAGAAGCTACAACGCATACACATCGAAATCGCGACCGCGTGGAAGAACCCCCATCCGAAACGAAGAAGAAGAGGGGGAGGCCTCCTAAAGCGAAGCCACAGGAAACAAATGGGTATCATTCTCCTGCGCAACCACCGGTCGGAGTCAAGGTATCTCTGCCAACAGCGGATACACCCGTTATTCAAAGGAACAAAGAGTTCAGGGGAGCGAAATCAAAAGGAGGGCGCCGGAGCAGTCTGCAGATGCGGGGACGCAGAGCAAGTGATTTGATAGATTCAGGAACCTCCAATGGTAAGTTTGGGTCTGGAACGAGCCGTTGTCAACCATGTCCGCAAGATTGGAACTAACACGGCACTCATTAGCTTTGCCTCATCGAGAAGTCAGTACGGCAGATTTCTATAAGCATATTGCAGACGAAGGTCTCCCAGAACCCAGGCGCATGCGACAGTTGCTGATCTGGTGCGCAACGCGCGCTCTGCCCCACAAACCATCAGGATCTCACTCTGATGACATTAGTGCCCGCCTAGCAGGTGAGTGTTTTGCCTATTTTCATGATCTTCTATTGAGGGATTTCTCTGACAATTGATGGTTTTCAGCGCGTGCAATACAAGAGGAGATCTTGAAGGAATTCTCGTCCAATTCCGATCTTTCCAACTGGTTCAGCCGGGAGGAGGTAGGCCCCGCGAAAGTGGTGGTGAAGAAGCCGAACCCGAGGAACGTGCAAAATACAGAGAAGATCAAGGAGCTGGAAGGGCAAATACAAAAGTATGGCGATCTACATTGAGGAAGAACGAAAGGAATGCGCGGGTGGCAGAGACGTGAGCTAACGGACTGATTCTGCGCAGGCTCCAAAGAGAGAGGCAGGCCTTGAATGCGCTGCTCAAGCAGCCAGCACTCCCTCGGATCGATCTCGATTCTCCCATCAAATCCCCAAGGAAGCCACCCGGATCGAAGCAACAACCCACTACCGACATCGACATCAACATCTCCCTTCTCGACCCAACGCAGCGATCGCTTTACACCACCCTCTACACACCACCGACCTCCAGCTCCTCCAATTCCTCACGACCTAATACAACCGACCGCACAACACCCCAGCCTCCAATGGCACCTGCAGTCGTTTCAGCTCGTCTCTCCAAAATCACCACCCGTATTGCGCCGACGCTGGATACGCTGGCCGCAGGGATCCATGATATTGAACTATATCGCTCAACCGCAGACGCTGTGTCGTCTCGAGTGCTGCGTATCTGCGCCCAGCGTCTGGAAGAGCGGGACGCTCGAAATACTCAGCAGCGGCTTGCTATCGAGGGAGAAGAAAGTGAGCAAGGCTCGGTGGACATATCAAGCGGCGGGGCTCGCGGGGACCTGGGCCTTATACTCGGTGCTCTCAGTCGGTTAGAAAGGCGATAGGGATAATTCGTGCAATATGTTGACCCAGATTTGATCAACTGCTCAAGGTTGGCTTGCAATAGCTTCAATTCAAATGTCCCGCTTCCCATCTGGAATCTGGCCCTGTGTGGCTCGGGTCCACCATTGCACTTCAAGGTTTCTCCTGCTTGATGGGTCAATTGGGAATTGGGCATCGGGCATCGGGCATCTGATTACCCACTATGAGGTGGAGATATGGCAGGAGATACCTGCATTTCTTCCATTCTTTCCGTCGGTTTTTCTCTATCTTTTTTGCATCTCTTTGGCCAGGCAAGCATGGAGTTCTAGGTGTGACTGATTTTCAATATACCACAAGGCAAGAAACATCGCGTTCTATTCAAATTTCGCGAGTCTCCGCTTGTTTTGTTTTAAGATAATTTGTTTTCAAAGCCAGATCACGTGTATATACTCTCCCTTTCTCTCTCTTGACGCGAAATGGACCTGGCGAGGTTACGATGGGTTGCGACTTGGAGCAATGTCCAACAATTATTGTCATTGAGAATGGTTTGTCAATTAGTTCGATATCAGACTGTTGGGGTTCTTCCTTTACGATTAAGCTACAGTCCCTGCGGCGCCAGGAATTTGCGTAAAGACAGGACAGAAAGCGACGAGAAGCGTCTCGGGTCCGAAGGTACCCCGCTGTCTAGGTAAGTATTGACTTGTTATGCACTGCTGCGGATCATTGATAGGTCATCAAATTCATATTTCCTAGGTCTACTGGAAGGCCATTCTATAGAGGGCATATTCCGTATGAACAGGTCTCCCCAATACACCATTGTCAGCTTCTCAACATGAAATGAAGTGGGCACGATGCTTGCTGAACAGCTTGTTCGGTTCGAAGTACCGTAACCCCGATCAAGCCTCGATAGACCCTTGCATGTGTCGCCCGCTTGCATCCATGGTTCGTGTTCCGCAAAGGTACCATCAATCAACTTACAGTATACCACCGACCTTCCCAAAGAGGAAAGTGTAAACAAGTCACTTTGAGAGAATGAGCACCTAGAATCGTCTGGATGAGAAACGATCTAGATTACGATTCTGGTCCCACACCCGTCGAAGCCAGTGAGTTCCATGGGCGTGCTGATCCGTTCATGTGAGTGCACCACCTGCATGACTACACAAAAATCACCATCTTTTTGATAGGTCTGGAAGGTGGAAGGGAGGCTGCTGTACGACACCGAGGCAGGGGTAGTGGGTGACATGGTGCGGTAAGACAGTCGTATCTCTTGGTTCGACAGATGGTGAATGTGTATGTAAGAGCGGTGGATAGTAGAAGAGCAGCGATCGCATGAAACTCGTCAGTTACTGGTTAGAAATCAAAATAAAAACAAATCATCTACCGTTGTTGATAATCTTGCGGAGGCGGCTTGCAATGCATGTTAGTTGGCAGCTTAGAGAGAGGCGCAGGTGGATGCCCATTGACATATCTGGGCTCTGACCTTATCGACAGGGTTCATGCGAGCAAATACGAAGGTTGAGCAGATTTCCAGAGCTGTCATTTGACGAGTCGTTGTGTTTCCTCGATCGGCTAGATCTGCGTGCTTTCTTCATCCATGATCCGAATGCAAAACCAGCAGCACAGAACGTACTCCACGACTCGGGATGCCATCATGTTTTTGTCGCAAGGGTACACAGAATTTTCATTCATGCACCTACTCGGTGTAGGTCAGTTGCATCTTCGCTGTGACCCTCGACGGTTCATCGTAGGTGGAGCTCTGGGGGTGGGTGACACAATGACGCGCTGGGCTTGACTTGACATCATGAGGGAAGGATGGGAACATTTGAGTCGAGTTTTTACTCAATTCCAGACACATGTTCCCATGCTCATGGGCAGAGTACTCAGTGCATTTCCAATGTGTGTTGGGGTATGCTCCGGCTTGAGTTCCATACAGTCATGCGGTAAACGCCAGACGGGACTTCCATTGCGTGGGAAAACTAGAGGTAGAATGCCCTCGAATAACCTTGTCAATAGAGCTCTACCAGTGGGTTTTCATGGCGAAGCTGTCAATTCTTCGACGGGTTGATAAGAGCACCTTACACTTACATTTACAGGGTTGATCGTTCAGAACACGTTTAGCAACAGAACAAGCACTACTGTCCCTTTGGATTTGTCATTTGTGTGACCAGTCCAATCGCCTTGACCGAGTCAGAACGACTTGTCAACGTCCGGCTAGTCTGCAAAGAATCAGTTCCAGACCCCATTCGAGCCTTTTTTAGTCAATTTGATGTGTAGATTCTTATTCAAGTGAGGTGGGTCTCGCGGCTCGGTTGATCAACGGGCGGCTGAGGATAGGTGCGTCCGCGACAAAATGGGGGAAAAGGATAATCAAAAAAAGTCAAAAGTAAATGAAAACAGAGTTCACTACTGATTCAAGAGGAAGTTGCTAAGGTCATCTCCAAAGTACCTTTTGGCCGCCAGACGCTGGGCCGAAAGGTTATTCAAACAGATGGTCCCCGGTGCAGGTGGGTGCACGATCTGTCCTGTGCAGCAGACATGCAGACGAAGATTCTCGACCAGGTAGAACCCAATCATTTTGAAGACTGTTGACTGAGCATGGGATGCCAAGGTTGCAATGCTCACATCGAGGACGAGTGGACCTATCTAAGTGTGATTACGCACTGGCAAGCTTGATATCCGGTTCGACCAAATGTAGACATATTGACCATGTCAACAAACCCTAACTATCTATACATGCCCTCCCGCACTCATAATACAAGTCATCCTGCCTGCTGCCTTTATTCCACTTGGAACTTTATATGAGAAAGACATTTTCAACAATGCTGACGATGATCTCATGGTGAAAGCGTCCCCAAACTCCATCCATCTCAACAGTCCGGCTTAACTCATTTAGAATAAGGAAGGGGTGTCACAGCATCTGGTATTGATGACCACATCACAGGCGCCGCAGTACCGACCAACAAGGACCTCAAGCGTCTGAATAACTTTTCTTTTTCTGTTTTGGGCCTGCCACATATTAGGATTCGGCTTGCTCCGCTCCCCAAATTCTTGCAGTCATCGGATTCAAAAGCATCACTGGTCCTGGTGACATGTGGTGCCTCCCTCTGTGGAACCTAAACCGGAAACCGGAAGCTGCTGCTGTCAGTTCCTTTGGCAATTTCGATCCAAGGGCGACGGCATCACAAAGAGATCCATATCATTCTGAGAGAGTCCCGATTGGGAGATGCACTCGTCTTTCTCCACCTCTGCCCTGAGAATGGAGAGCTCCAAGACTGAGAGAAAGCGGGTATCGTTTGTTGTTGTCTGCCGTGCTCAACAGGACCCAATGAGTCCGGGTATCCTGGAGTACTTTGCTAGCTGATCACTTACTCTGCGGCGTATATTGACTGTTTCTTGGCGCAATCGTATCACGTCTTCCACGTGAAATACTGCAGATTTCCACTACTCGGTGATGGGTGCAATGTGCTTGAGACAGGATTGTCAAACAAATGAATACTCTGGCGCGTTCCCCGGCTGCTTCATTCACAGGAAAAAATCGACGGAGTAAAAAGTCCCCAACCCGCCGCACATCGAAAGCACCAGCGGACCAATTGACCGACGCGTGCGAGTAGTCTCGTAAAAGGCCAAATTTCTGAAAAGGATGGAAGCTTCACGTTTTGTACATCTTCTCTCCGTAGGTGTGGCCCGTGTAAAGGCCCAGTCCATCGGCACGGCAGCAGCCCTGAATTGGAGTCTGCTTCTAACCGTGTGAAGAGTCCAGGGAGTCACGAAAATGGCATAATAAAACCCCGAAGTGGGAGTCGTGCTCCAAGGACGAATCTGTGCTAAGCACAACCTTCCTCCATCTCCCTCCCTCTCAACCGATCTTGCTATCTTCACCTCTTGCTCCCGAAATATAATCCGACGTGTCCGATCTATCACTCTCGCTCACCGTGTCCTCGTGCCCTACTTGGTCTGTACCCAGCTGCTAATTCCCCTCGATACACAACCAATATCAGCCTTTTAACGAGGATCCTCGGCCCATCATCGCTTGTCCCACCCTTTCATGACATGATCTTGGGCAACGACCTCTGTGACATCGTTTGGAATTCTTCACAGCGGGGGCCCTCCCCAATCAACGGCGTGAACCCATTTCACATCTAGGGAAAGCTTTTGCGCGCCACTCAGACGAAGAATCTTCTGCACGGTGGCCAAGGGCCTTGGACTGCTCTAATCAATTTCATTCGCCTTGGAAAGTTCCATTTCCAATGATAGTATTTTAGGTCAGTACCTCTGAGGACTTGACTTTCTAAGAGAAGTCTGCAATCTCATTCATATGAAAGGCCCATTTCAGTACGGGGATGCTTACTCCGTGATGCATTAAACTTGATCGTAGGCTGATATTGAGATACCAGTTGAGGCATCTGCTTCTGTGGTCCAGTCTCCTATTGTTCATTCACAACGAGATCCATCGTCTGAATAAAGCAATTGTGCGAAGCAGCGATATCGCTCATCAGGATAGTTGAAGACTCCATCAGCATTCAGATTGGCCCAAGGGTTTGCAGCGGGCCTTCAGTTGCATGCATACGCACCACTAGACCACTACGCGTCAAGAAGAATGGCCAGGAGACCCAGCAATTTTCCTGTCTATTTTCCACCGTGCAGTCCAAATGCCGCAGCAAGACTCACAGATGTCCTTCATTTCTCCAACTCACTCTCTGCATGTGATGGAGAGGGAGACTGCTCTCCCCCAATTTTAAAGCCACAAAATGACGTGGACATGCATCAAGGTCATTGGAATGCTGATACCACTGTCGACAGCGCCAGTCGCGTCAAGTTTGTCGTAGAGGGGTCAGCTTCGAGGCAGCTTCCACCTCCGACAGTGCTGGAAGCGCACCGATTGGGCCATCAAGAGAGCTCTCAGCTCCCTCAAAGGCCGGCGCCCGCCGCCAACATTCCAGTCATCCAGGGAAGTAGGGCCAGCCAGCGCCCCCTCCAGAGGCCCTCGGGGGAGGACGAGTCACCACACGCGTCAGTCGATGTCACTGGCTTGAAGATCAGCCGTTTCACTCCTCCTTCATCGACTGAATGGAATAGCAATCGGATCGTCTACGGCGCCACAGCTAAATGGAACGGCAAGGGGCGATCAAGATGTTACGCGCGGCAGAGAGCAAAGCGATTGATATCCCTTCTTCGGCGGCCTCGTAGAAACTCAAAGTCGAACTTTTATCGAGAAAACTTAGCCACTGCCTTCGATTCTCCATCATCCAGAACCTTGGTCTCCGTGGGAGCTTGCAATGAATCGACTGTGATCGGAAGCGACGTGCAGCGACTCAATTTCGACAACTCGAGCGTGGCAAGCTTGTCGCTGGCTGATGTAAAGGCACAGGAGCATTCTACCGGTCGATGCTGTTTCCGCTCTGCGATGCCTGGTAACTACGTATCATCAATGTTTTCACACGAGTTCAACCCATTTGCCAGTAGTGGGGGCAATCGATCTGCGTCTCCCGACTCGCTGTCCGGTCATGTCTCCCCAACCCTGCAGGGTCGGGACTCGGACAGCTCTTTTGAGCGGCCTCGGCAGTTTCGAAATGGCATTCTCTCGTCAATACTCAAACTGCATGATCAGACTCGACGAAACTCGTCCTCTACTCGAGACCTGCTGGGGGACTCTCGCAACAGTAGCGTCTCTGACGGCTCCAGCACTCGGGCAGGCTCGTTGGATTCCACATGGAAGCCACAGCGACCAAAGAAATGGTATGAAAAGCCTCCAAGTCGGTCCAGCGGCTCTTTCTCCGGCTCTAGTAAGCTACCATCACCCTTGAACCTCTTGCGACGGTCTCCCAGCAGTGGCGCTACTGCTGCCACGGGGTCTGGACCTCGTCGATGGGCAAAACCTCGACTTGAAGATGAGATTCGCATCACCATTCATATCGCAGAGCTTCTCTCGCGGCAACGTTATCTGGTCAAACTATGTCGAGCATTGATGAAGTATGGTGCGCCAACGCATCGTCTGGAAGAATCGATGCGGATGACAGCCCGTGTGCTGGAGATTGATGCCCAATTCTTGTACATCCCGGATTGTATGATCATTTCGTTCGATGATGCCTCGACACATACCACAGAGGTCAAGGTTGTGCGCTCAGCCCAAGGAATTGATCTTGGCAGGTTGGCCGACATCCACGAGATCTATAAGGAGGTGATTCACGACGTCATCGGCGTGGAGGAAGCTATCCAGCGGCTTGACGCAACAATGAAGCGCCACAACAAATTTCACACGCTATTCTTGATCTTCATACATGGATGTGCCAGTGCCTCAGTTGGCCCATTCGCCTTTGGTGCGCGGCCGATCGACATGCCTATCGCCTTCGTGCTGGGTTGTCTTCTCGGCGTCCTTCAGCTCGTCTTGTACCCGAAATCCAGCCTTTACTCCAACGTCTTCGAAATTTCGGCCGCAGTCTTGACATCCTTTCTTGCGCGGGCATTCGGAAGCATTCGGTATCAGGGCGAGCCGGTGTTCTGTTTCTCGGCGCTGGCGCAGTCTTCCATCGCGCTGATCCTTCCCGGCTACACTGTTCTCTGTGCCAGCCTCGAGCTCCAATCTCGAAGCCTTGTTGCGGGCTCTGTTCGCATGGTCTATGCCATCATCTACTCCATGTTCCTTGGCTTTGGTGTCACTATCGGCACAGCTGTCTATGGTCTCCTCGATTCCGAAGCGACAACAGAGTACACATGCCCCCCGAGTCCCATTACGAACGAGTACCTGCAACGCTTCCCATTCGTGCTTTGCTTCACCGTCTGTCTGGCTCTCGTGAATCACTCCAAATGGAAACAGCTCCCGGTCATGCTTATCATTTCATTATCGGGTTACGTGGTGAGCTACTTCAGTTCCAAGAGATTCATCTCCAATACTCAGGTGTCCAATGCCCTGGGTGCATTCGTCATCGGGGTCCTGGGCAACGTCTACAGCCGAGTCCGCCATGGCCTTGCAGCAGCTGCCATGCTTCCCGCCATCTTCGTACTGGTTCCATCCGGTCTTGCAGCCAGTGGCTCTCTCATCTCCGGCATCACATCTGCAGAGGGTATGACTGGGGCACCGTACGGTGTTATTTCAAATGGCACGCAGGGATTCATGGACGCCGCAAGGAACATGACTATCACTCAAACCCGTAATCAGAACTATGGCGTGGCCTTTGATATCGGCTACGGCATGATACAAGTGGCGATTGGTACATCCGTGGGGCTCTTTCTGGCCGCACTCATGGTCTACCCCTTGGGTAAGAAACGCAGCGGGTTATTCAGTTTCTAGCCATGATTCCGCTCTTTGAGTTGGTGAATTACGGAGCGGGAGGAAAACCTCCGTATCCTCTATCCTCAAGACAAATCAGCCTCCGTATCACACCCTCTCTGGTTCTCCCCAATCCCTTCTTCAGTCCGATTTACCCATCTCTACTTGACACCACCACGACCGGGTCAAAAACACGGACGCTTCCCATCTCCGCTGGCAAAGCGTATAAAAAAAAGGCCACGATTCCTACGAGCTACGACAATCTCCACCAACAAATCTTTTGATCGATTTTAATCACTACAGTTGCACAATCCGAAATCTAGCCACCATTTATTGATCTTCATTTGTCCCGCATGCCGTTTTCGTCTCGACAAGATGTTTGTTTGTTTTTTGGTTTGTTTTTTTTCCTTTTCTAAGCGCTCGATGATTCATCAAGTTCATAGCATTACCATTGTTCTGTTTTTGGGTCTTTTGTTTACGGCAGCTCAGCCTTGTCTTTGATTATCAGCGTGATACTGAGTGTATATACCTATAGGTAGGGTACTAATTCGGAAAGGAATTCATACCTCTCGAATGCTGAGCTGGACTTGAATCAATACGGCTTCCAAGTTCAAGGAATGAATATTTTCCCAAAGCGTCGAAATCGACCAGCAACTTGCAGCCAACTAGGTATATCTTCAAAACTCCCACGGATTGTCATCAAGCTCGGGCATGCTGTTGCGCATTGAAGGCTGGGGCAGCCGCACGAGTTCGTGTATTGCTCCCGTCTAGGGCAGATTAGTGGTTGCGAGACTATGGGCTTGCAACTACTCTCATTGATGCGATTGATAGGATTGAATTGATATTTCTGAGTGCACAAAATCCCTAATCGATTTGGATTATATCGGATGCTCTGACAATACAATAAGACTACGACGACAAAAAGAGAAGTATCGGCAGCAGAGGTATGCATTGGTCGATTGCACTCAAAAAGCCTATGATGGTGGCCGCTGGGATAGACGGTCTGTACATAACCGGATGTACTTCGGGACCCTATTAATAAAAAAAGGAGAGACTGCAAATCGGAGCGGCAAATCTAGCAAAGCTCGGATCTGCGGGCAGAGGCCCTCTGGACAATGATCATTGCAAACTTGCCAGCTCTGATCTCAAAGAGAACGCAAAACAAAGCACAGCCGATTAAGGCAAGAAGTCTTGTCCTGTCGAACGAGAAATGCTGGCAATGAACAACACAATGACGTGCGCCGACGAACAAAGCATGATCTGTGTCACTCGCTAGCATAGCCCAGTTGGAATAGTCGACTGAGAAGTGCAGCAAAAAAGAATGGAGAGCGAGCCCGACTCAAGGACTTCACCGTCCTGGGCCACATTGAATGGAAAGTCGTGGGGCGCCTTGTCAAAGGAGAGTAAAAGAAAAATAGAAACAAGCATGCGGAGCGCGGATAAGAGTCATAGATCACTGTCACATGATGAGGGCGGCATTACACGAATGGAGTCTTGCGCTTTTCAGCGCTGGATAACACGAGCATTGGCGTCTTTCGACGTTCGTTTGCTTGCGTGGCGTTTCCCTGACCGGCAACGATGGCAGCCACAGAGGGCGAGGTGGTACCAGAATTTGGCGATGAGACTGCATCCGACAGCCTGGAACCAAAGTAGCCGTCTTCGCTTCCAGTTGGGGTGGCGCTGAGGAAAGGACTATCCGGAGACTTGCGCTCTCGGCCATTCTTCTCCTTTCGCTCGGACCCAATCGCTCCATTGGCAACAGCACGAAGACTGCCTAGGCTGGGTTTGCTAGACAGGCTCCCACTTCGGACAGTTGCGTCATCGCCATCCGAAAAAGCAAATTCCTTTTCACTCGCAGGGGTATTGGTACCGCCGCTGCTATAGCCGAAGCTACGGGTATCGCCACGACGTTCAATACCAGCGCGTACAAGGCTGTGAACAGCGCGTCGCCGCTGGCGGGTGGCGAAGTTTTTACTTCCTTCGTGCTTAGACGTAGGCTTGGCAACAAGTTCCTCGAGCCCAGGTGGCCCACGTGGTTGGCGAGTAGGATGCTCACCCGCACGAGCTTGGCCGGGGCCGAAAGTCCCAGTGGCAGGGGTAGGTGGGAAGGCTGCAGACCGTGGACCGTTTCCAACGCTGTTATTAGCCTTGGTTGTATCGATGGTAGACTTCAGCACCGAGTTAAATAGCGGGCCCTTGCGGTTGTTACGACGGAAGGCAGTGGAGTCAGTGGGAGGCGATGGGGTACCAGTAGGCGGAGAGACCGGCGGAAGAGACTGGACTGGCGAAGTAATAGGCTCGGCTGGAGGAGAAATCTCAGCACGGAATTGAGGCACCTGCTGCGCGGTCGAGTAGTTGTCTGCATAGCTGGGGCTCTCCTCCTGATAGCTGTTATCCATGACGTAGCTCTGCTGGCCGGTGAGAGGGTTGTACACCGAAAACCAACCAGGCTGTCCAGGAACAGGCTGAACCACGGGCTGGACACCCTGTTGAAGCTGTTGCTGGTAGAATCCCATACCAGACCCCATGTTCAGCCCAGACATAGGCTGTTGTTGAGCGCGATTCGCTCCACCCAGTGTCAATCCTTGGAATTGCTGTGCGGCGGCAGTAACACTGATCAATTGCTGTTGAAGGCGTTGTTGTTGAGCGGCCAAGAAAAGGTTGGTAGACATCAGTTCAGCGTACAGGTTCTCGTCGATACCATTGTCGCCACCCACATCAAGAGTGGGAGGGGCTAGAACCTGCTCCGGGGTCGTGTACATAGGCCGGCCATGATGCGAGTTTGAAGCCTGAGATTGAGCGAACGTGTGCTGCGGGAATCCGGCTCCCGTGGCAGTCTGCGGCACACGATCGGTTCCGCGAACATTGTGGCTTGTGTAGCGAGGAATGTCTGCGCCGTTCCGCTGTTGTTGGTGGTGATATCGATACTGCTGCTGCTGCGGCTGCGCCTGGTGCTGCTGCTGCAACTGGTGTGACGGGAGGGTAGCAGAGCGGGGCGCGGTTCTCAGGCCGGCCAGAAGGTGAGAGCGACTCGTGCGAGGGGTTGCCAAGGACGCCGAGGCCTGTGATTCATCAATAGTAGCGATATTAGGAGGTACGCTTAGGCGCTTGATGTGCGAGCCTTTGCCTCGAGATGCAAACCCGGAACCAGGCACACCAAGGGAGGTGTTGCTGTTGAAGTTGTTGTTGAAGTTCATTTGAGACAGACCGCCTGCGTCCATTCTCGCGATTTCGTGGTGTGTCGAAAGTGAGATGGCGAATTGAGAATATTATGTGCAATGAACCAGACGAAGAAGCGTGAAGTGACCGTTGAAAGCTCACCGAGAAAGGAATAGATGCAAGTTTTCGGGATCAACCACAAAACTTTGGACTCGCTTTTCACGGTGAGGTAATTAGGAGATATTCAGGTTGTACGTCCGGATCGCAATTAGCGTCAACGATTGGTGACCAAGGTGAAAGGAAAATGTCTGTCCGGGTGAAGTAGGAAGTCTCTGCGGATTGATTCGGAGTTAGCGTGTAATTAGTAGCGGAGTTGCAGGAAAGATAGTCATCCGCATACCACGAAGAACGACAAGCAGTGCTGCGGAGAATTGAGAATGAATCCAACAAACAGCAAGGCAAGAACACGATTGCGGTCAGGCTGTACAGGTTGAAAATGGTGACTCTTCCAACAACACTTGTGGAATGAGACTGCGAGAATCAGGGTTGGGGTAACGATGCAGTTCGGTGGCCACAAAACAGAAGTGGACATGCAAGAGCAGTCGAACCACAACGGAAATTATCAATACCTCACACACAAAGTCCACTGGCACAGGCACAGCGTTTCCTGTCTTTGGTGTTGCTCCGCAACTTCCAAGTAAATCGATCGGACTTCGCGCGACTGACGAACTGAAATCACCGGATGTAATAGATGAGGTGGATCACCCGAGTGGAAGGGCAGAACAGAGATGGACAGGTTGAAAAGACGGCGAACGGTTCACAACAAAAAGTGGAGTCTTCTAGATGACGCCAGGCGTAAGGTTCAGGGAAAAAGGCCGGGGGTTTGATGAGCTGGCGAAGTCAAGGATGACCGAAAGTTGGGTATCGAGATTTCGGATGTCGGCCAGACGCGAGCAACCTTTTCTCTTGGGGGTCTCTCAGGGGGACGGAACGAATCGAAGTGGCTATTTGCAATATCTTCTTGAGAGGAACGGGCTTTCAGAAAACTCTCCAATCGACACAAGCTGCTTTGAAAGAATGCAGGGGAAAGAAAAGAAAAAAGCGAAGATTAGAGATCCCGGAGGGGAGATGAGAAGGATGGGGGAGAGGAAGGAAAAGAGGAAGAGCGAAGGCACACCCGGTAAATGGCAGGCGTTTGTCGAAGTGCGCGTGTGGGGAAAAGGCTATTGATGCCTTTGTGCCTTACAGCCTTGTTGCCTGGGTCATGTCTGAGGCTCGGCACTCTCTCATCTGTGCGCTGATGCGCTCTATACCTGGAACGTTAAATGATAAAACAAATGGGGAACTGTACGCGCTTCACAAGTTCACTTATTATATTTGGTGGTAATTTAGGTGCACCTCTTCCATTGTCTGTCTTGTTTATGTCTAGCAGTAGTCCATGGATAGGTACTCTACTCTTCACGATATCCAGTAAGGGAGAAGGCATACCTTCGCGCACTGGATGAGGCCGAGGCGCTTGTCGTTCATGCCGATAGGTTCCAGTCATTTCAAGGCCTATTTCTTCAAACCTAAAGTCATGAAGACTCCTTATGTCGATAGAGAGGACAAATACATTGCCCTTACCCAGCCATATCCCGTCATAAAGAAAGTACCTGAAAAATCCATGATGCTCATCTGGAAGTTCCCGCCAAATCTGTCCCGCAGGCAATCGATGTATAACTTTGACCTTACCCCATGGTTATTCCCCATAAATAGTCTGACTCAGAAGTCTTCTGTCGCCTTGACTAGATTTGGCGTTATTGTAAATTGCCTCATCCATGCCCTAATCAAGTAGCAACAAAGACGGGGAAGCTCAATGCCCGGAGACTAGAAATTATTCATGGTTGAGGGCTTTGAACGGTCGTGGCGTTAGTGAAGAAGATGGTACTTTCTCTGCCCGTTGGACCAATAACCCGTCGTTAGCGCCCGGCGGCTGCACAGGCTTCCAGTCTCGTCACATCTTTCGGTCAATTATTGGATGTTGCTTCTTACTGGCTACAGTTTTCTGTGGAATACTCTCGTGGGTGTTCCAGTCGACTGAGCAAATCATTGATCAGGATTTAGTTACAGCCGAGCGTCTCACTGTACTGTCCTCTAAGTCACTCAGCGGATTTCAGCGAGATCGCCACTTACCTCTCGTGCTGGAAATGGAATCGATGCACGGGTAGTCTAGTAGTAGCTTCTCGGGTACATCTGGAATCTTGAACGCAATGATATCACATGACAGTCAGCTTTCATCAATGAGCGTTCAGCAGGCTCCGACCGACAATCTCGAAAGAAACCCCTCGTGTGCACAGCTACATACGCAGACGTGCAGATCCTGTTTTCACATATGGTATGTATGCTGAAGTTGGTGGAAGCGCAGAAGACCTTCGCTTATCTCCTCACACCCTTACATCATGGCCATAGGAACTACCTATGCCTCATTCAAATCGAGCACATTTGGGTATCAAGATGTGCTTGTGGCACATGCGCTTCCACCTACGCGCCTTCATGTCACAGAAGCGACCTCTTATGCCGAGGAACAGAGTAGAGTAAGATGGGCTTTACATTCCGTAGGTGATGTACTTAATCATTTTCTTTGGATGGATTGTTGAAGCTACCTAGTTGTGCGACCTAGTTGTGCGACCTAGTTGTGCGTATGGAAATTGAGGAGCTCGCCCATTGTCCTTCAACTTGAAAAATTGTCTGTCACAACAGAGTCCGCGAATGCATCGGGCGAGAAATGACGAAATCAGAAAGATCAAAACAGAGGGGTATCTGGTGAAGACGAAAACGTGTGAAGTGGACCAAGAGAAGTTGTGTGTGCCACGAACCGGAAAGGTCGTCAACAATGTATGCAGAGACCGCAAATAAAGGGTCGTGCATCGCTTGGTCCATTGGGAGGAGAAAGATGGGAAAAAGATGACCCATCGCGTGTGGCTGAGAAAAAAATGGCCTCCGACCTACGCTCAACCACGAAGAAAGGCGGTAGGGCCTAGTGATTCTCTGGGGGAATGACTTTGTCGTCAGATCCCACAGGAGAGGCTTCGCCATTCGCGCGATCGAATTCCAGAAATTCAGCCAGGTCAGCAGCCATGGGATCCAGATCCTCTTCCTTCAGATCGGTAGCCAAAGCAACAAGTTTTCTGTGTACGTCGAACTTGGTGCTCACGCCGGCGTCAGCGGTCTGTTGCGCCAGATTCTTTACTGCGCTATGGCGTTCAACCGCCTCGGTCGCAAGTCGGCAGATGAGCTCAACACGCTCTGCCAGCACCTCCTCGCTGATTTGTGTTGGCACGATACCGTCCTCGCGAAGCTGCTGGCAAAACTTTTCCACGTAGTCCGTGATAAGGAGGAGCTGACGATGCTCGTGCAATGACTCAAAACAGACCCGTACCCTTTCAAAGCGGCTGTGTTGAGTTTCATGGTCCTCTTGCTTAGCTTCCTTAGCCATAAGAACAGCAATACGTCTCTTGATTTTCTCCCGGTCTGACTCAAGTTGCCCATAAAGTGCCTCTGGCTTGGCCACATCATCGGAAGCTTGCTCATTCCCATTGGAATTTCCGTAGGTCGATGTAAGCTGGCTGTGCGCCTCTGACACAATTGCGCCAATCTTAGGAAGCAGCTCAGTTGTGAGAGCAGGGTTGATAAGTGTACCAATCGAAGCGTTATCGGAAGGCATTTGATCAGCTCCGGGTCCATCCGGTTGTTCATTGGCCATGGTCACAGAGGACGGGGCTGGTGGGATATCGTGGTCAGGTTGGTGCGAGTTGGCCGCGATTTCGTACATAATGCGGGAGGCTGTCTCTCCCCTCTTGTTCATAAGGTCACCAGCTCGAGGACAGTGAGCGAGTAACATGTTGGCGACCTTGGATGCGCCGTTTCGTGAAGCTACCAAGACAGCTGTGTCGCCATTGTTGTCCTGGCAGCATAAGAGAACCTCAATATCCTCCTGTGAGCAGACTTTGCGCAGCTTGTGAAGGGTAACCTCACAATAATATTTGGCGCTTTTCCATTTGCCCTTGCTTTTAGTGGTCTGCGCAATATGATGGAACAATGTCGCTCCAAACCAGTCGCGAAAGACAGCAGTATCCATGAGCATATCCAGCACGGCTGGAAATGTTCGTTTCTCGTAGTTATTCACGAACAAAACCGCTCGGATAAGTGGAGTCTCGTCGTGAGATGACACAGCGCTCGCGTTGGCGCCTCGTCGAAGAAGATCTTGAATGATCTCCAAGTCACCCATCGAACAAGCCCAGTGAAGGGCGGTGTTGTTGTAGCTGTCAATTGGGCGGTCGACCTGAAAATTGGGAGGTGGACTGGGGCGGGCAACCTCAGAATAAGAGGCATCAGCCTTGAAAACAAAATAATCTAGCAACTGGTCGCCATAGATGATGTGTGCCTTATCCGTCTCCGACAGCACGGTGTACCCATCAACTCGCTTGCGCTTTCGACTTTCGTGCTGAGACTGCTGAAGCGTGTCCTCAACAGCCATCATTGACGAAGAGTCGATTGTCGCCTGCTCGATGGACTCATTATCATCAAATGTGATATTCATGTCGTCGTGATCATGAGGTAAGCTTGGAGGTGGCATGCTGCGCTGGGGCTGAGTTGACTTGAAGTTCTCCGTGGGCGCCGTGGTACGGTTTGTGGATTTCCGGGGAGCTCGTGGCTTCGAGGAAGCAGTTGTGTGTTTTGGTGCAGGAGGAGGGCTGCGGTCCCCGGCCACGTACTCAAAGATCGGAGCGATTTTGGCGTAAACAAGATGGCGCTCAGCTAAGGTGCGTCCATCCGCCAAAGGGATCCAGGTTCCTGTAATAAGCCGCTTGATCAGCGACATGTGCCAATACACCATACGCAAAGGCATCATTCATTATACCACATACCCTGGTACTTGCCATAGCCACCCTGGATTTTCTCATGGACTCCCTTTTGGACATCACGCTCCAGGATTCTTGTGCGCGCAGGCTTATCAAAGCCCGCTGCTTTCAAAATGTGCGTAGCGTTTACCCAGTCATCTGCCCTCCGTCGCATCACGCTTTCACCTGCAATTTTCAGCTCGTACACGGGTACCTGAAATGAGATAATAGTTAGACATCGAATCAAAGTAACCATCACAGCAGCATTATCTCTTCCATTATTTCAACTCGGACCAAGCCAGACCATGGGGCAAACTTACGCTGCTGTAAGTCGCAGAGTAAATAGGTACCTGCTCGGCCATGGCGATGTGAAGCCGAGGCCTCGCAGCAACCCGGAAATGTTCGAAGATGCAACTGCAACTAAAGCGTTTGGATAGACACCAAGAGGTGTCTGGCAAGTGTGAAGCTTGCCACTATTCAGTGACCAAGCTTCGAAGATTTTTCAAACGTATCAGGGTCCGTAGCTACTCGTAAGCCGAGGAAATCCCTCGTTTCTCATGCGGACCTTGCTTGTATGCGGAGAAAGATGTGCGCGCAAGATGTTTACACGCGTAAAACACGACCTTAGCGCGTAAAGTGGAATTTGGGGTCTAAGCTATTTCCGGCTAGCGGCTCTCGTGATCCATACTGGGTCTGACTATCCATCGTTCACGTGATCTTTGTCGGGAAGGAGTCGGACCATCACCAGTCGAGACAAGACGGTTGTCTACGCTGCATGTTATTGTGAAACCTTGGCCCCCCAGCTCTTCTAATTTCAACGTTCTCCAGAATGACTGTCACTGAGTCTGTCAAGAACCTTGTTGGTCTTGGGGAAGCTTCAGGTATGATTGAGCTGTCACGATCAAGATACCCGTCGATGATTTTCAAAAGCTAACTGCCTATGGCGCAGCGACTCGCAAAGAGATGTCAGAGGCTCGTTTGCCTATGCAGTACCGCGACTCTTGCGCTCATCTTCTCATTCCTCTCAACCGCTGCCGGCAAGCTGAGTACTATCTACCGTGGAAATGCGAGGTATGTACCCTGACGATTCTATTACTCCCTTTGCGACCAGCCTTTGCTCGCTCACTGACTTACCTCCCAAACTTGTCTCATTCTCTAGACCGAACGTCACTCATACGAAAAGTGCCAATATGACGAGTTCAAGAAGCGCGTGGCGAAGATGGACGAACTCCGTGCCGCTAAAGACGGCGCCCGCAGCAACTAAATGTTGACCTTGCGTTGTTCTTTCATACCTTCCTCCTCAATAAGTACTGCTGAGACAAAAACAGCAGATCATGTACATAACCAATACGACGAAGCTGCTCATGGAGCACCCTTTCCACGGCAGGAATTACATGTACTCGTACCTGCCTTTCCGAGGAGACGCTGCGACTGATCGCTTTCCATGCTGCTGCAGCTTTGGCTCAGTCGATGCCGGGTACGCAGAGCAGCTTTCAGGGAGTCTATCCAATTACACTCAGTCATACGAGCCTACCTTGATGCTGTCAACCAAGCTGGCCATCCGTCAAACAATGCAAATGCACGCAGGGTCGCACTAGCACTGCTTTGACATGGCAAGTATGCTACCTATGCTAGAATTGGCATATTCCGAAGTATGGATTGCTGTACCCTTAATTGCTTGGCTCTAGCCGTCGGAAAATTCAAAGGATCGTCACCCGAAGCTGGTCATATATTCACTAAAGCTCTGGTTCTAGCGCCACAAATACCGACGATAGGTCAGCGCTCAACTGTCTTTGTCAATAGGTCACATGCGTGCCAATAGTGGCAATCCTGGAAGTCCACTTCTTCTGCAAGCAGCGTCACGACTCTTTGACATGGCTCATTCTCAGCCTTAAAGCGACGGACGCAAAGACCGCGATCTTGATGGTTCTTCCCCTATAAGTAGCCTTGGGTAATGCAAACGATTTGGAGGGATCGTGGAGAAGCTTTGGGACATGACTTGAACGGAATTCACTTTGACACAATACCGCCGAAGCCATGATAACCTGAAATTTTTCCTTTGGACTTAGAAGCTCGGTGCTTCAATCTCCTCCATCTTGTGAGGCAATGCTTAGACCTCAAGGCCAGCCTATCTTACAGCGTCTCTTGCAATCAAGACCATAGAGGAGTCGGGCACGAGACACCTGGCAGACACATATTCAACCGCGGTGCAGTGCCACATCAAGGTGGCGCTCGCGGAGCTAAATAGACAGGTAGATAAGTGATGATCATCGATAATTGACCGGAATTGAATGAACAACCGGTCCTTCCAGCGCTCCGCCGAGGATAGTTGCATACATGCCCGGTGTTTGTCTCTCGCACGACTGTCCACGTAGCGCTAAGGTTGTGAGGGCCTATACATCGAGGACTGATGTTTGTTGCTGTATAGAAATCCTGGGAAAGGTGTGATCTCTCAATGGCGTAAGTTGACAGAGGTAGTTCCCTGGGACTTTGGTCTTTACGGTATCTGGGCCCTACCCTATGCAGTACCACGGCGACCTACTACTATAGTACTAGTTACCTAAGTGGTCATCTCGCTTATGTCATGTTTTTGACCACAACCTGGCCATGAGAGCTGGGAACCGTCGTGCAGAACTGCTCCATGTATATATACACATATCCCCGTGAATCAGTCAGTGCTTGACATCGCATCATATGCAGGTCCGTATCTACTATTTCTGCATTGCATGTCTCAGGCCCCAATTGGCAAAGCTCATGTGTGGGAGTACCCTCACCATAGTAGTCACTGGACGAGTACTTTCGAATTGTACGTCCTTTACCTATTTTGCTCTTGTATCCCCAAAGCGGAAAAGCTGCGATTAGCTCCCCGGCATCACCTGATTGCTTAGAAATCCGACTGTCCTTATCGCCGTAATCAAGTCCCGATGCCCCGCCGAGATGCGTCGAAGAATCTACTAATAATTCCCCCTCCATGCGAGAAATGAAGTGATCTGACAGAACACGGGTACTGTGCGTGGTCCAAGTCCTTCTTCGTTGAGACTCTCCAAGGTCTCAGTGACAGTTTCAACTGCCCTCCTGTTCTCCTGCGCGTGTTGCTTGTCTGGAATTTTCACCAGAAACTTTCGCCGCATCCACATCTGCCAGTCTGTGATTGGGCAACTGGAGGATTACTTGAGAACACAGCTCCGATTCAATTGCGTATACTTGATCAGGACAATGGGTCTCTTGTACGTGCTGAATTCTGCTCACTTGTTCCATCGAGGCATGGAAAAATGACTTTGATATTCTAACTTGCCGATTGAAGAGCGTTAGGAACTGCCTTGGAGTGGCCCGATGCCAGACTGAAAGCCGACCAAGTCCGACAATGGGGCATAGAGGTATGGACTTGAGATGCGCGGAACTCACTGGATCTAGACTGCTCCAGCTTTCTGCAAGCACGTTCGACTTACCGATACGATAGCAACTACTTGCAAACTGGCGCCGAGCGAAGGGCAAAGAACGAGATGCTCTTCTCTGGGGCGATGAGGTGGGTTCCAACTTATGACGCCTTCACGCTTACGGTCTGGAATAGCCTATCCTGATTGATGTCGTGTTGGATTTTTAGGTGGAATACCTTGTCGTGGCGCTCGATGACGCCGCGCGGAAGGCGCGCTTATCTCTTGCCCAGGCCGACATTTTGAAATCTCTCGCTCACGATGAAGCTCTCTGGACGGCCGATTCCGCTGCCGGTGGACAGCACCCGGGCCAGTGAGTCGATCAAATTCCCATTGGGATCTCTCTAGCTTCTGACACATCCCTTCAATTAGTGAGGAAGAAAAGCCACCGCATTTTCACCCTGAATTTGGCCGTTTTATGCTCGAGGCTACGCCCGGAGAACCGTGGGGTATTGGCTTCAAAGATCTTCTGAAAGTTGAATCGAATATGAAATGGCGACGAGAAGTCGCAAAGGCACACATGGCTCCCAATGAGTCACCCATCACCCTTACGACATTTCCACGACTGGGCACAAAAGATGATTACATTCAGCCTTATTATCCTCCATCTGGACCGGCACTGCGCTCTCAATTCGTACCTGACGAGATCGCCAACCCTCACATCAGATTTCCCACGCTCGCAGCTAATATTCGATCACGAAGAGGGCGTAAAGTCGAGCTCAATGTGCCAGTTTTCAAGGACGTCAATACACCGTCGCCGTTCAAGGATCCCACCGTCGATTATGACCTCCACCTATGGCCTGAAGATGCCGATGTAAGAAATGGTGCTGCCAAAGACGACCATGTGTACATGGACGCCATGGCCTTTGGAATGGGCAGCTGTTGTTTGCAGATTACCTTCCAAGCGAAGAATATGACGGAGGGTCGGAAACTCTATGACCAACTTAGTCCCTTGGGACCTATTCTTCTTGCTCTTACGGCGGCCACTCCAATTTACAAGGGTTTCCTGGTTGATACAGATGTGCGGTGGAATCAGATCAGTGCCGCCGTGGATGACAGGACTCCCGAGGAATTAGGAGAAGCTGTATGTGTCCGGTTTGATGATGTTTCTTTCATGAATCCTTCCACTGACATTCCCCCTAGCCTCTGAAACATGATCGTTGGAGAATTCCAAAATCTCGATATGCATCGAACTCGACATACATCTCTCAAGATCCGAGACTGCGTAAGGAGTATCTGGATCCGGATCTTGTCGTGGACGAGCAGATTAAAAAACGACTGATGGACGGCGGAATGGATGAATTGCTCGCTACGCATTTTGCGCATTTGTTCATTCGCGACCCTCTCGTGATCTTCTCGGAAGATTTGAAGGAACTCGACCTTCAAAAGGGTGATCATTTTGAGAATCTCCAATCTACGAATTGGCAGCACATGCGGTTCAAGCCTCCACCTTCCGAGAAAGACGATATTGGTTGGCGGGTTGAGTTCAGATCCATGGAAATCCAGATGACCGATTTCGAGAACGCTGCTTTCAGCATCTTCATTGTGCTCATCACGAGAGCTATTCTGAGTTTTGATCTCAATTTCTACCTGCCCATCCCTCGCACGACCGAGAACATGGAGACAGCACATGAGCGCAATGCGGTCCTCGAGAGCAAGTTCTACTTCCGCAAAGATCCCTTTGGACGCCGCGCACCCCGACATGCAGGGCCTCATTCATCTCACGGGAGCACCTTCTCTTCTACCACGTCATCGGCGGTTAACACACCTCCACCGTCGCCGCCCCTTGGCCCTGTCGAATCCGAATACGAGCTGATGACCATCAATGAGATCGTCAATGGATGCTCTGATGGATTCCCTGGCTTGATTCCTCTCGTGGAGTCTTACCTTAATAGTGTCAATGTCGATGTCGAAACGCGCTGCTTCCTTGCCAGCTATCTCGACCTGATTCGCAAACGCGCCGATGGTCGTCTTTGGACGGGTGCCAAATGGATCCGCGAATTCGTGGCGCGGCATCCGAGCTACAAGCATGATAGTGTTGTCTCTGAAGAAATCACCTACGATTTAATCAAAGCAGTGGAAGAGGTGACAGCCAAGGAAGGCAAAAATGGAAGCATTGGATGGGAGCTGTTGCGAGGGAAAAAGGAATAGGCTGAGGCAGATCTATCGTTCGAGTGCTCCGCAAAGGGTCTGATTTGACACAATAGACTGGCTTTTCTGCAAACGCCAGAGGTACAGTGGCATATTTGTGACCTAGTTGCACATTCACAACATTTGGAATGGCACCCTTTGTATTATCACGTACTCAGCCAAAGCTCACAGGTATCCGTAGCTTATCATTGTCACTGTGTCCTTCTACCCAGCCTTTTGACTCCTTGCGGCATGTTGAGATCTTTAACAACCGGTCCCTAGACTGGTCCCGCCTCCTTCTGGAATTTTTTCGGCAGAATGTGCTCGGTTCGACGGAAGAGGGCATCTGCGACCTGCATCTCGGGTGTTCTCCGAGTGTCTCACCGATCACACCACTACTGGTGCTGTCCCTCAAGTCCCTTCGACATCAAGATGGATGATCTTCAGCATCCTTGGATTCCATCCGAGTATTCTTGAAAGAATCCTATCAACATCCTCGATTCCATTGCCGATCCCTTCTTTTGTCTTGAGTAGTACTGATCAAATCACGCAATTGACCCCGCACAGTCCGCACTTTGTTGGAATTTCCTACTGCCCGAGGCTTGTCTGCGTCCTGCAGTGTAAGCTGCATCAGCTCCTTTCCACGAATGTCGTCTTTTTATCCTGCCCGTGGCGGACGTGTTCCGTGAATCACCGTGGGTAACGATGTGAGGATCAGCGCCTCCAGCAGCAAGACTCCGGATTTTGAACTCGCAAAGAGCCAGTGAGAGCGACTGCTTAAGGGCAGGATTCTGATGACTTCCCCGCGTTGGCATCTCATCCGTCGAGTTTCACCAGAAATGGGGTTCTCCCCCGCAAACTCCACACTATTCTTCATCTACAGCGGGACGATAGGAAGCCATGTGCGGTGAAGTCGAGCGAGCTGTTTTTTCTCGGGTATGTGGACAAGCGCACTAATGGCAAGGAAGGGTCCTCAACGACTCATACAAGCATATCTCGGGGCACCAAGGACACCCTCCCTTCCGGTTGAAGAAGCGCGGAGCCACACTTCCAGGATGCAGCGATTTATCCTTGCGGACTTTTGCCCGAAAAAGGCGCTGATCATGGACAGATCAAGCAAGCGTGGTACACTCAACACCCCGCATCAAGGCCTGACAGACACGTTTGGTTAATTTTGGTTGAGTGAGTATAAAAGCCGTCGTGGATGGCCAGTTGATTTGTGGTGTCGCAATCAGCTGAAGCAGGATCGACCGGCAGCATTTGTGAAAGATGCTCGCCATTGCGACTAGTTATCTCGCTCTTTGGGCAGGAGTAGCTCATGCGGCTCCCAGTGGTACATGCGCCCCCATGGCTCATGTCGCCAATGGAACGTACACCGGAGTTCACAGCACAAGTTATAATCAAGACTTCTTCCTGGGTGTTCCGTATGCCCAGCAGCCCGTCGGTAATCTTCGATTCAAGGTTCCGCAGTCCTTGAACGAGAGCTGGAGTGGGGCGCGCGACGCTAAACAATATTCAGATGCTTGCGTTGGTTATGGAGTGGGTGATATCAGCAAGGTCCCTGTTTGTCAGTCGAATTGACTCTAACAATTTTCGGTAGTCGGACTCAATATGGTACCCCAACTCAGAAGCGTGCTTGACTCTCAACATCGTTCGGGATTCGACTGTCAAGCAAGGGTCCAAGCTCCCAGTGGCAGTCTGGATCCATGGAGGCGGCTTCTACATGGGATCTGGGCGAGATGAGCGGTACAACATGTCGACTCTTGTCCAAAATGCTCATAAGATAGGTCAGTCGCCTCCCTCCTCTGAGATCCTTTCCTGTGGGGTGATAAGTTTTCTAGGCTAATCTCACATTATCAGGAAAACCTTTCATCGCGGTGACACTCAACTACCGACTCTCCACCTGGGGTTTCATCGGCTCGAGTGAGATTGCTGGGAGTGGAAACACAAATCTTGGGCTGCGAGATCAACGATTGGCTCTGCACTGGGTCAAGGAGAACATCGCCGCCTTTGGTGGTGACCCGGAGAAGGTCACGATCTGGGGTGAATCATCCGGTGCCATGTCGGTAGGCTATCAGTTGACTGCATACGGAGGTCGCGATGACAAACTCTTCAGAGCCGGTATCATGGAGTCGGGAGGTTCAATCAACCCGAACTTTGCCCAGACTGCCAATGTTTCGTCCTTTCAGACAATGTATGACAATCTCACTGCCACTGTCAACTGCTCTGGGGTGGCAGACACTCTTCAATGCCTGCGGGAAGTCCCCTTTGACACGCTCAATTCTGTTCTGAACGGAACTGGTGGTCTTCCGGCATACGGCTTCTTGCCGGTCGTCGATGGAGACATTCTGCAAAAGTTTGGCAGTGTACAGCTTAAGAATCATGAGTTTGTCAAGGTACCGATCATCTCTGGAACAAACACAGATGAAGGTACTGGATTTGGGCCCGTTGGCATTAACACAACCGAGCAATGGTATCAGTATTTGACTGGTAAGCTCCACGCCGTCTAAGTCTGACTGGACATCTCAGATCTCTGCCTCTGACTCTTTCAATCAGGTCCCGATGGCCAGCACATCCCACCTCCACTTGCCCGGCGGATCTTGGAACTTTATCCGGACGATCCATCTCAGGGTATTCCCGCTTATCTTGGAGACCAACGTGTACCAGAAAAGGGATATGAATGGCGGCGGACCAGTGCATTTGCAGGTGATGTTACGATGCATGCGAACCGACGGCGGCAATGCGAAGCATGGGCGGAGGTTTCAGCGCCAGCCTACTGCTACCGATTCAACGTCCACCCTGCTGATGTGCCACTTCTTTCGGGGGCGACTCATTTCATGGAGGTTGCGTTCGTATTCAACAATATTGCAGGGCGCGGCTACCACTACGGAAAGCCATTCGCGGGCGTGCCGCAATCTTATATCGACCTCAGTGATATGATGTCGACTATGTGGATCTCATTCATCCATGACCTCGATCCCAACTCCCACGCCGTAAAACAAGACGTCCATTGGGAGAAATATGGGGAAAAGAAGCCTGTTGACCTGGTCTTTAGCGCAAACGTGACCAGTTACATGGAGCCGGACACTTGGCGCAAGGACGGGATTGACTTTATCAATTCCATTGCGAGGGCGCTCTGGCGTTGAGTACGGGCGGTGCATCTGCCATTTGCATAATCCTCCTAATTGAATAGTGAATGAGATGACCTACCGCTGGAGAGTGTAAAGACGGTCTAGTCTTCCAAAGGTGTACCGCATCTCTTGCATGAGACGTCTCTCCTCGGTAAGGATACTTCCTAATAGGTTTCTTGCCTTTCAAGTACTTGATCGATCTTCTAGGGAAGTGAAATCAATGTCACATGAGTGCTGTTCCAGCTCACATGCATATACGGGCAACTTGGTGTCTTCTGTACACTATCAACCCGTTCGAGTCACGAGCAGTCTGAACTCATAAATTTGGTGACGTCGCTTCCATCGGTATCTTCACGCAATCTTGACTATTCCAAGCTCAGTACACTCACTGCAGTGATGCGAAGTCCGTGCCTCGCTTTAGAGTTCTCCATTCCTAATGGAGCAAAAAGCCCGTCTCCGACTCCAATGGGGAGACATAATGCGACCGGCTCGATTTCCACCATCGAAAAGTCAATTGGACTATAGTACCACGACCGCAATCGCGGGATCTCGAAACGAAATCACCGACTCGGCCGGATCGATCTGATTTCCAGCCCCAAATTGCCAACCAATGGAGACGAGTGGCTTTGGTGGTGTTTGTCGGGGATAGATCGAGACGGGGCGTTCCGTCGCATCCGACGGGGCCGAATCAACGCCGTACAGTAGGTTCTAGATCGCTTCGCTTCTGTTACTGCGTCCTGTGGTTCGGGGAAGACATCCGCAAGATCGTGAAGATGCTGAGATCCCTATAGGTAAGTCTGTTACGAAGGCTCGGCGATGCAGAATTACGCCACCTACTCGGCTTAATCTTTGGTTCCCTGTCGAGTAGTTTTTTTATTATCCCCCGAGATTGGAGAACTTGGCGTGGCGTCAACCGAAGTCGCCATCAATAAAGCGCCGGCGGCGTTGGACGCTGCTTTTTGAGACTACGAGTACCGGACTTCAGTGGGCATAATAGGTTCGATATTGCATGTGCAATGCGGGCCCGTGATTGGGAAGATGTCGATTGGAAAATTGGGACGATTGAACCGAGTAACGCTGCGTCGTGTTTCTAAACTTGATGGACCTGGATGATGTATTCCCATAGATTGATGCAGCTATGTATGTAAGGGAATAGTGCAACCGTGCAACGTCGCCACGTCTTACGTTTTCTTGTGGTTATTAGAAGTTCCAATGCAGTAAGTGTGCCAATTATTGCCCGCAGGGGCAAGCCATCTTGACAGTGAAGTACCCGAGAAGGGGTGCCGATGCCAAAGTTGTGTGAAACTGCGTACCCGAGCTCAAAGAATGTCTCATGAGAATGACAGAATTTCATTCTTTATGAAATATGCTCATGCTCAGAACTTGCTCTCTCTGGGACAGAGGGCAGAAAAGTATAGTGAACCCGGCAGGCAAGCAGATATCCTAGTATTGTACGAAAAGCCATCGAGCGACTATCCTGATGGGCAGATACCGCAAGTGAGGGGGTTTTCACATAGGCAGCCTAAACAAAAGTGAAAGGGCATGATGAGACAATTGCCCTGTGATCGAAAGAGGCTCTACCAAAGCCAAGCGGACTGGCAGAATCACATGCTGGATGCCAAACAATAACATCACTCGAGCTACCCGGTAGTCAATCGACTTTCGGAATTGGAGTTATCGGGCTTCATCACCTATTCTATGTCCGTGCTTTTGGTCTGATGTTACGTTACAGCTCACCGTATACTTCGGTTGTCAAGCCGAGGTTGTGCTAAGGAGTCGATTCACGATTAAAGAAAATACGTGCGTAGCCCACAATGTTCTCCTCCGTCATTGCAAGGAAGAGCACCAGGGTTGACAAAGGTCTAAAAAACGGTCGCCAAACCTGATCCAAGATGTGCTCCAAATCTAATCACGCCCATTAAATCTAGTACTTGATCTATTGAGATCAAGCATTGATCTGAAATTCATCCCTGGCGGCAACGGTTGGTAGAACCTAGGTCAAAGTGTATCTTGCAGGAGCAATCTTGATCTGGCACATTGCCCGGGGCTTGTTGATCGGAGAGCATTCAATCGATTGTTGCAGTGGTCAAGACTCTTGGGGCATTCCTGCAGGTATGAAGCCTGATTTGTGCGAATCATTGAGGCAGTAAACCTGATGCTTAAATCAAGGAATCTGCGTGCCTGTTCTGGGTAGAAGAGCAATGCACGAACAAGCCTTGCAAGTCTCGAAGTGCCAATGAGTGGTCATCTGGGAAGGAATTCCATAATTCAAGACTGGCAGCTGTCATATGCCATGGTGAAACAATCTACCAGTGGTCATGCACAGTTACTTGATATGGAGATGTGAGTGGACCCTGCCCAATTAACGACAGCCTGACTCGTGTTCAAACAACGAAGAAAGAATGTTGTGCTTGTTTCGCTTGACCAATCAGGCTGAAATTGGAGTTGAGGCTCCTCGCGTACAGCAGACGCTCCCATGATCGTGGCTACGGATACCAGGACATACATTTCCAGATCGACACTGCCACGCGAGCTTCAACACTTTTCAAGGCACTCGCGGGTGCCCCTTTCTGACGGAGAAGCTCGGAGGAAATGTATCACCATTGGTTCGATTGGCAGTTATCTCGCTTATGCATACTTGAACCCCATGGCCCCCTGTGGCCCAAACTGGACAGGTCACGTCCCGAAATGGCCGTTGGAATGCACGTAGATTACCATCACGCAATCAACGCTTTGTATAAACGAGCAGTAGAACTTGACTGGCTGCCCCAGCTTTTGCGACATCGGCAGTGACTGCCTCACAGAAGGTGTCGTCATTTCAAATCCTGGATCTCGCCCCTGAGCCTCAAATGCCAGATACGCCGTGCCGGTACTACAGTGTATTGATTGTTCAAGGCACTCTGATACAGGTCTGCATGGGTTCAGGCCAAATTTCCAGATTCCTCTCACCGATGTCCCGAGGCCTGTGACTCAATGCAGACTTGGCTATGCGGTCAGACCCATGACGGTGCTACCTTGGCAGGTATAACTGGCGTGGGTGGCATGTACTGTAGAGTCGACGTGCTCTTGACACGATCCGTTCAGATGCCCCGAACATGTCCGCTCGAGATTTGGAATGCGAAACAGGGATACAGCCGAAGACGACGGCGCGTCTCGATCGAGACGGCCACATTTGTTTGTGGACTTGACACTGAGAAAGGTTCCCAGCAGCCTCATCGGACAGTCTTCGGCAAAGTCCGATCGTCTTGAGCTCCTTTTCTGAAGAGCCAATTGGGAAGCGTATGGACATGTATGGAGCATTACGTGACTACTCAGGCGTATTACATAGTTTGTAGTCGAGTACGACCATGGACGTGGTGAGGGCAGCTAGAAAGGATGTCCTCCAGCAAATGTGGGGACCCGTGAGAGCTGCAGATATGATCATGTCCGATTGGTGATCTCGCAACAACAGCATGTACCTGCCCGACTATACCTGGATGCACCGAGGGGTACTGCGGGCTCAGATGCTGATTCCTGTCGATCGACAACAGGTGAAACAAACCGACGCCGATCATGCTGCAGCACTGATAAGTGGGAGAACCAAAGAAAGAAAGAAAGCAACTACAGTAGTGTGTACTGTGTAATGAAGGGCGACTCGGTGCACTCAGATCTCAGTAAACGCATTGGTTGATCTCAAGCGCAGCATTACCTAGGGCACGTACCACTGGCGACGTTTCGGTAGTTGATACCAGACCACATGGCAGGTTGCAAGAAAGCCGGTCAACAAGCGGCGAGGATGATGACGGGTACGATGTGTCACCCATGACGTTTAAGCGATCGCACCTGATTACCTCTAAACATACTTACTGATACTTACTGCAATCTAGGAAACTAAGAACTGGCTCTTTCGCTGCCGAAGAATTTCACTCCTCGCCCTTGCTATTGCATTTGTGCTACGTTAGTACGTAGTACGTACAGGGTCCGATTCGATGGAACCATCCCCTTGGACTGATCTAGAGCGGTCGCATTATTTTCTCGCTAGGGCGGAAAGGCCTCATTCTGAGAAGCGGAGAACACGAGGAGTTGGAAACCGCTTGTATTTGCGGGGTGAGTGGTCGAGAGGCTGCGATCGATCGATCCAAGGGCTATACACCTGTCACCTACCTTACCTGCGTACTGTACTACATAGAACTCAGAAGCAGTAGCTGCAGTACATTGCGTGCAAGAAATGAAGTAACCTATTGTACAATTTACGCATAAACATTGAACACAACTACACATTAAGGGGGCGGACGGAATTAGGAGTTGGCACTTGTACAGATTACTGACTACACTATACTCGAGATTGAATTTATATCTAGATTTCTAGTCACAACGTAAAGAATCAGGTATAGTAGTATGCCCAACTACATAGTACATACTACATCCAGTATGGTGATTGGGTCTCAGACAGAGTCTTGTATTTCATCATTGCTTGAGCATCCGGAGAGATCGCGTGTGTCTCAATATTGACGCCCAGGCAATAGTTCAACGTTTGTGCCTTGTAATTTATACATACATACATATGTAGGTGCTGTAAATTACACTCTACAGTTGCAAAATGCAATTTGCCAGTTGCAACAAATGTATGTTCCCGACGCCCTCGTGATCAGCCAAGGTCGTACATGCTTAACGTGTAACGGGCTTGACCATTCAGCGCTGGTTCCATACTTGCCAGAGCAGGAGAGAGCCCCACCGATCTCGATCGGGCCGTAGATCTCGATCGGTCTCTGCATAGTATGGCTGCCTGATTTGGCCTAGGTCCCCACCTGACTGATTCAGTCATGGCTGCTCTCTAGCGTGTTTACTGTACATACCAGCAAATGAAGCCATGCTACTGCTTAACACTACTATTCCATTAGCCAATCATATGACATGAGTGGGCCGAGACATCGAGTTTTGCTCAAGGTAAGAGGTTCAGTAGCCCAAATTCTATTCCCTCGTCACTCCGTCGTCAGCTGTAGGCTTGCAGTGCCGTGTCCTGAGCCCCTTTTTTGAGTCTTATGGATGAGACACTCACCCGCACTCTCGGGTCGGACCCTGCCCTCTCCTTGCCCGGTTGGGCGACTAGGCGGATCACTTGTTTCCAGCCAATCAAACACAGGAATTTCTGTGAAGATACAGACCACCAAGCAGTACAACGATCCAAGATCTTAATCTTGGTCTATAATCTTGTCATGTGTCCGATCCCTTGGGAGAATACATCTCATCGGTTGCTTATATTCTGTGCTCTTGAACCATAGCAACTGCATTGAATAAGCATGGTCGATCCAGACGACCCACCTGCCCGACTTTGTCAACTCCGAAAGCCCTGGGTCTTCCTCGGTCAACTTCGGGAGAGATCTGCATCGCAAAGCGAGCTTAATCTCCACGACACGCCGGATACTTTACATCTACCGTGGTTGTAGTCAATGATATGCCGCCAGGGACGCTGACGCTACCGAAAATATCTAAGGTCAACGGGGATCAAACTCCTTGGTACGTATGACAGGCCAACACTCAGTAGAAGTTAAATACCCAAAAGAGATGTTCCTCACTCACAGTATTCTTGCCATTATCACAAGGTTCGAGACCCTGTAAGCAAAGCACATCCGGCAGCATCATAGGCTTAACATTCCGGACCAATTTCGCCATGGCTGATTTGTTCCTCCCTAATTTTCTCCTTTTTGCGTCTGAACCTGCAACGTCCCGTTGCTTCTCCCGCGGAGATTCGAGATCGAGGTACGACCATAGGCCCACTCAACAAGGGAATAACCATTAGTTTGATCCCAACATCCCCACAAGTTAGCTAGCCACAATGTCAAGATTCCACAAAGAAAGTATTTTCTACATCACGGAGGATGTCAAATCCCCGATCGCAAATTTCAGAGAAGGAGCCATTAGGCTCTAATTGTTGGGGATGGAAACAATGTTATGCCACAGGGCGCAACTCCACCGTCCACAGCACACTCATTAGGTCATGTATGAGTTGGATTGGGTAGCTTTTCTCTTCCGCTATCTGATTCCCCTTTCACCTCTGGTTTTCATCGACCGTCTGGATTGAGGTACTGCACTGATGTGGGGATTGTGATGGTAGGCTGTACAATATTGGAGATTGACAACTTAAAATCTGATTGAAGCTTAAGTTGCATATACGACGATGCATGTCTAGAATCCACAGTACATGGCAAGCCTTACACGCCTTACACCACTAGAGCATGTTCTTGGACCGACCGTGCTGTAGCCAAAGGTCAATGCGCGAACCGGCGGTCAAGCTGAGACGAGTGGAGCAGCCTCCGCCCGATCGCGATTCAAGACGAACCGCATAAGCAAGACACGATCGATTATTAGCGCCACATCGGGCGTACCGATCGCAGCTCGGACCACCACATTGACATTTTACACATACACTACTGTACAAGTGTACTTACATATTAGAACAAAGCATCTGCATTCCCCAGGATGGTATGTTCGAGAGGCTGATCCGGTACAGTACCGAATATGCTGCGCGACAAGCTGGATGCTAATCATGCAGTACAAACTAGGAAATAGATCTTCATGGCGTACTATGTCCCTGGAAAAAGAGATGCAAGGTTACACGAGCAGTGCCTCGTCCACTCGCAGAGCTGTATAAGCCTATAAGGCAATTTGCCGTACAATACGGGGTCGAGTACTGTACTCTGTACTCGGTAGTCTGTACTCTGTACAGACTAACAGATTAAACCCATACATACACCCTGGATTTTCTAAGCTAAATTCGTCATCAGAATGTCGCCCATGTGAGCCTCATTTGAGCATCTCATTTCCCGGCATGTAATAGTGGATCTGAAACGCCAGGTTATTGAAGTATGGACTATTCGACGGGACGTGCACACGAACAGATGGAGCCTGTAATTCGAGTCATGAATACCCGGCCGCTTCTGACTTTGTTCTCAGTGCTGGGTTGATGAATGTCGTCCTGGAACTTTCCTCGTCATCCCATGGTCGACACCTCGTTTCGGATGTCATTGTGGAACTGTAATGAGCTAGGAACTGAGCTCAATACTGTAGTGTACAGCGTATACTGTAGTGTATGATGGATCCATTTGTCCTTGTAGTCGTTGTGTGTTTTGCGGTTCCAAAGCAGTATGTATAGTCAACTTTGTGAAGGCAGGTATGTATGATCCAATGAAAACCAAGACTGGAGACAGGCTCGACACATTAAAGTGTCTAGTCTACAGAACAATGAGCAGACTGAAAATTAGAAAGTGTATGCCCTACAGCCTACAATATTGAAGTGGCTGAACTAGAAAGGTATTGTACTACTTACATGGTGAACAGTAACATTGAACATTGATGAGCGAACACCTCATCCAGCAAGACACACGATGACTTCGAATCCAGGCAACCTGTCAATCGCTGGAAATCATCTACGGTCACCGGCCGTGCAGATATACATACAGATGTACATGCCTCTCTGCTGATATTTCCGGTCTGAAATGCCTCACGCGGCTGAGTCAGCCACAGACGATCTCGATAAGAACCAAACTCTATCGAACGGAGTGGACCGGTCGGGATCCTTTCTCCTCCCGAGGACATACCCGAATCGAAGAGAGTTTTTCTGACAAATTCCAACGCGGTTCCTCTGCTTTTAGCGGGAGTAATTTTTGATCAGCAGGTAGTAGATGCTAGGTAGTAGGTACTAGGTGGTAAATTCCCAGGTTTAGCGCAATCTGTACCACTACCATATGAGTATACAAATTCGCCGCCGGGCTCCGGTCATTTCGGCCGCGAGGCTCGCAGCCTCGCACAGCCCATCGAGGGCGAGCCCGAAGCGGAAAAGCAAAGAAGCGAAACCTACCCATACTTTCAAGGAGATTCAAGAATTTCCGTGCGGCACGGTCGGCTCCGTTGGCCACGCTGATGGAACCAGAGATGATGCTTCCACTTCCAGTATAGTGAAAAGGGGAGACAAATAAGGGGATGGGGTGCAAACCTGACGATCCACGGGTGAAGGTGGAATGAGTGGCTCATGGTGAAGGTGCATGTCAGATGGGTCTTTCACATGACCTTAGACCTTCATCCACTTTTTACAAAATGGGTTTCCAATCTTACTGTAAACGGACGGCATGGTCCGGAGTGTATTTAGTATGTACCAGGTCAGTCCAATCTGAATAATAATCCTCTGTTGAAGATTAGGAATTGCTAAATTCCACGGAAAGTGTCAAAGCGATAGGGTGGAAGGCTCGCGGCTGATGATTTCATCGTCTCGAGGTTTCTATGGTATTCGCCTGTCTCCTGTCCCGGCAGGCGTGTTTTTTTTTTTTTTTCCTTCTTCCCACGTTTCTCTTTGGTTCTTGTTGCTCCTCTTGTAGGTTCTCGGTTGGCACGAGATTGCAGGCAAGCCCCAATATACCGTGGATGCCATCGGCTGACCCGTATGACTGTATGAGGGTGCCACACCGTCAAAGTATCCGCTAAAGTCCGATGTCTAGTCAAAGCATGGGCCTGGCTGGATCTGACGTTTCGTGGCGATAACAACCTCATTCGTGCCTGTTCGCAATAGAAGAGGATCAATATCGCCATCAACGAGGCTACCGACGACATTGGCGAGCCCACCGAGAGTGGACTGATCACGAACGGCATCGGAGAAAAGTCACTGCGTGTTGGAAGGAAAAGGAGTTTCTCGCCCTTGGAGATACTATATTTAGTATGCACTAACGTAGTGACTATGTACTATGCCCCTCTGGATCTGCTAGATGGCAAGATGGTCCTCTAGAATATGAACATCATGCCGTAACCACTGTGACGGACGTAACACATTGCGGACAAAATAGGGCGCTCCGTCACGATTCATTGTACCTAACACGTACATCGAACGTGGTTAGTATCTTCTATACACAATAACTTAGATAACACGCTACCATCGTCTTTACGCATTTAGGCAGGGTTGACTAAGAATCCCTTCCACATTACGTCCATGTCCCGTACATTACGAGGGGGAAATCGACCCGACAGAGTGGTACAGCCAGTGTAGATTCGATTCCAGATCGTTGCGTAATTACATTGTGTGGGACGCTCACATGATTCACATATCGTCAAGCAGGTAGTCTCCCACGCACACGCCCCCAGGGTAACAAAACATAAAAAGAAGATGATGAACATGTGCCAAAAAAAATAGCAAAATCTCATTCTCGGTCAAAGCTGGTACATAATTGAAACAATTGATCGAGGAAGAACGCAACTCCACACGAGCCGGATGAGTCCACGGAAAGGAATCACCAATGAAGCGGACCCAAGGGTTTGTCAGAAGGAACGTCTATGCTTTGAGACTTGATTTGGCCAGAGCTGCAGAGGGTATTATGAGAACGGTTGCCGTGACAAAAAAGAGCAAACATGACTGCTTGGTGATGGACCGAAGAAAGCTGTTCAGGGGGAAGAGTGCCATCATCGAGAAGGGGAGCAAAATTTCGTACTCATCACGTGTCTGGCGAAGAGAAAAGGAGAAGAAAACGATCCAGGTGGGGGACTCAGCAGTGACACCAGTAGGGGCCCAGAGATAGAAGAGACAACAAGAACAAAATCATATGTGAATGGTGCAAGACGAAAGGAAGAGATGGACTGAGCTACGCTATACTCCTTTTGAAATCCGTGTGTATGAGTTCGCCCCTGTACCAAGAGTAATAAAGTCTTCCGTGTGTTCTTTTTCTTTGGTTTCTGAAATCCTCTGCCCGAACGCCCGAAGAAGTGACAGAAATGGCAGAATTAGCGGGAAATTGGCGAGGCAATTTCATGGGCCACCTTGGGCTTCAGGTTGGATCCCATGGCAGCCGCTTTGTTGGCACCCATCTTGCGTGTCAACTTGGCGTAATGAAGACCGCAGGCATTGCAAAGCGTTCGGGCACCATCAGGGCCCCGACGCCACTCTGGAGTCTCGGCTCGGTTACAGCTGTGGCAACGGCCAGGGGGAGCCGCTTTCTGTGAGCCGTCGAAAAGATCTTGTTAGCCATTGGAAATCTAGCACCATGTGGAGAGTTGGGCAAACAAAACATCGGTATTATACCGGGATGCAGGTCAGGTGTAAAATAAGAAAATCACTCTGCTGATGGGGACAGATAAACTTACACCACGCCGTTTTTTATTGTCTCCGCCCGCGAAGCCTCCAGATCCTTTGTAGTCTTCATGATACAGAGTCATGTGCTCGTCTTCCCCAGACTTGTAGGGTTTGCGTTGCGCCATTTGCTCGGCCATTGCCTGTTCTTGATTGACCACTGCGGTCCGAATCCGGATCAGAGCATCTTGATTTCGACGCTGCAAGTGGAGAATTTCCTCGACCTCGTTCAACGTGGGCAGGGAACCCAGAACAGGCCCTCCACGTTGCGTTTGGTGCGCGAGCGCAGCGTAACGTCGGGAGAAATCCAAGGTTCGATTACTAAATTCAGAGATCTGTGCAAGTCACACATGTCAGCTACGCAATTTTCACCCGTGTCCACAACGAGGAGGGCTCGGCCAACCCTGATACCACGGGTTGACAGGGAAAAAATTTCGGCCCGCCAATGGACCCTGCACAACAGCGAATCCCAGCGGCCACACGTGTAGGGCACGCTGAATGACATGGCCATGTTATGCGAGAGAAGAACCAAGTGGTAGGTGCGGACAGACACCCGAGGGCTCCATGAGCTTCATCCTGGCCCGAGTGGTTCAGTGAAATGGTGAAATGTTCTTACCTCGTTGAGTGATGTCTCCACATCATAGACGTCGAGATGTCTCTTGACCGATTCTGAATGGGGTTGAGGCGGATGCGATCTGGTTGCGAATCCACCTTTTACATCTTCCATTCGAGGCCCGGTCCCGTAGGCACGGTTGTCGTAGTGTGACGGATGGTAAGCTGGGCCACCCGGTAGCTGTGCCGACGGGTGGTGGTGTGGTTGTGACGGGTTGAAGGAGTAGTTTGGTGGGAAGTGGCCGTGGCCTACTGGGGAAGCAACACTACCGGCCGAGGGTGGAGCAGTGTAGTCATACGCGGATGAGGTTTGCGAGCCTGCGATCGAGGTCATGGGCGTCTTGGAACTTTGCGTGGGGGAGCGACCCGTGCTGAGCGACTGCAGGGATGCGACGCGGGTATCTTGCGTATTCACCGAGGGAAGACTGGTGCGAGATGATGTTTCGGTCTGAAGCTGAGAAGGATGCGCAGGATATGCCGCCTCCCGCATGAGTGAGGCTGAGGCAGGACCGTTGGAGAAGGGATTGGGGGGTCCGGACGGTCCTTCGGCGCCCGCCCGAGCGATCAGATGAGAGGAGGAAGGATGTTGTGGTGGTGGAGGTTGCGACGCGGAGTGTCCCGATTGTGAGGGTGGTGCGGACGCGGACGAAGGATACGGCAAGTGATTATCCTTCCCGAGGGCCTCATGAATCGAGGGTAAGGATTGGCGACCGGCGGACTTCTCCATTTCATCGTCCACCAGCCGGCGCGGTTCTGAGGAGGAGAGATACCCTGGTTGTGACGGCGCGGTGGTGGGTGGAGGGTAGGAATAGGAATGAGACTGGGTGGTATACATGTTGCTGGAGGAATGAGAAAGATTGGGAGAAGCAGCGTGGGGCGAGTGTTTGGGAGTATATCCTCCCAGGTTGTTGTCTTTGTGAAGGAAACCGATGGCGGGCAGAGGGTCTCTGTTAGCGGGTGCGAGCGCACCAGATTAGCATTGTGATCGAGACCGGTTGCGAAGTCAACTGGATTAGATTGTTCAACGCCGGGGCAGATGCGACGACCAGCTTACCTGTGCCGAGACACGGCTTCCAAAGACCCCATGGTGACGGATCGGCGATTTGGGAGGGGAGGGAATAGAAGGAGAAGAAAAGCAGGATCAGGTCGACTACCGGGTTGGTGAAATGATAAGACCAGTGTTGTTGGTCTGGAGTAAGCCAAGAGATGGGAGGCGGTCGGCGGAGGAGAGGGCGTCAGTCACGACAATGTTCCTGACCTCATCCACCAGAGATCGTAGCGCGGGCACCGATCCGATCGTGCATCCAAGATCCCGACGAGATCGCAGTCAGCTGCACTCGAATGTCTCGACCGCCTAGAACTCCTCAGACGAATTACTGGCACAACCCTCCAGACAGCCGGGCACCGCGGGAAATAATTGATATACAATGGGACCAACTTGGGTCGCGCAGCACTTGAGCAGTTGAAGGAGGTGTTGAAGGGGGGGGGGGGGGGGAGAGAGGGGGAAAGAAGAAGAAAGAAAATCCAGAAAATCAAAATAAACGGGTATAATGGGGAATTAGAAGAGGAATAATAAATCCGTTTGGAGAGCGCTCGTGCGACTGCTGTTTACCATGGAATAGGGAAGCGTTCGATTGCGGCGATGGAGAAGAGGGGAGACAAGGAAAAGGGTCCCCCGGGTGGCGGCGAGTTCGGGGAGGGGAGCGATGCCGTCACAGTTGAGGGAAGACAGTGACACCGCTGAACAAGTCACGACTGGTATTGTAAGGAGTAACGAGTCTAACGCCTGTTGCGACTCTACCGAGTAACAGGTCGACGTCCCGAGATCGTGTTTTTTTGTTTTTTTTCGGGGTCTTTTTTGGCTTTGGGGGAGAAGAGGGGACCCAGATTGGGTGGCGTTTAGACCGCGAATGAGAGATGTGACACGACCGGGGCCGAGATGCGAATGGGTTCTGGTCCTGGCGCAGGAGGAGGATAGTTTACCACGAAAGCCACGTCTGTCAAAGATGCCAACCGAGTGGGTGCGGTTCACGAAAAGTTTAAAAGCACGGAGAGTGAGAGGACAATCGAAAGCCTGCACGAGAGGAAAACGGGTTGAGGTTGAACGGTTGATGGATTGCTAAAAGTCCAGCAACATGCCGTTGTGAAGAGAAAGCAGGGAAGTGTTCAAATCGCGGGAAGAGGGGGATTGGTGGATTATGGATTCTGGATTCTGGACAGAAAAGAAACCCGTCGATATGGTCCAGCAAAGTCTCAGACCAGAATAAAAATGGATCAGATGAAGGTCCGAAGAGATCTGAGCTGAATTGGGATTTTTTTCGGCTTTTCTGATTTAGCTGGATCACCTCGATTGAAGTGGGTTTGAATTTTTTTTTAATTTTCTTTTGTTTTCGTGCCCTGATCGGGAGTAGTCGATCTATTCAATTTCGGGTCCGTTGATACTCCCGATTATTTTTTTGTCATTTTTTGTCATTTTCCGTTCGTTCTCACCCTTCTTTTTTTCGCTGTTTTTCTTTTTCTGTTTTCTTTTTTCTTTTGAGGGGTCCGAGTTCTCCCTTCCGAGATTAGATCCGCATGTGAAGAGCAACTTGAATCATGAAGAATTGTGTATGCAAGGGACTCCGTCAGTCGAAAGGGTATGACCGGCGGAGATACTCGGGGCTCACGTGGTCCGACGGGAGCAAGCGCTCGAGAAATGAAGACAAGGACACTACGAGGAAGGAAAAGAGTTGGTAGCGAGAGTGGTGTTAAAGAGGGCCGTCTACATCAGGATAGCAAGAATAAAAAGGCGCAAGGGCACGAGGATGGGGAAACAGCAGATCGGAGGAGAGGACGGGGGGGGGGGTGCGGCGCGTAGGACCAGATGTTCATGCTCGCCGACGTGAGGATCGATCGAGCAAACATCGGTCCCAATCTCAGTCCGATGATCCAATCGCTGGGGACCGACAGGGAAAAGGAAATACGCAGGAAAGTCAATCGATTGAGGAAATCAGCGAGGAGGGAAAATCGGTCAATAGGATAAAGGTCAGACATTCGACCCTCCCGATCGGTGCTGATGAGGTCGCAGATGCGTGGATGGTGATTTGCAAGGTCTCAGATCCATCCCAGTCGCGCAGATGGCAAAGAGGACCGATGGAAAAGTCCATCCATATCAAAGTGGACCACCAGGCTCAACAGCGCGCTAGACAGCACAGCAGACTCGAATGGGACGATTTCCGATTTACACAACAAGATTCCATGATTGTTTAGAGGCCTACATGATTCAACGCATATCTTGGAGTGTTTTCACTGCTACGATAGCTAGTCCGACGTGGATCAATATCAAAAACGCCCATTGTATACATACCCGATCCTACTGTGAAAAGGTAAGCGCAGATACATAAATAGAATTGGAAAGACATGGATCCATGATACAGAACCATTGCCAGCGGATGCGGACCTGGTCCGAACAGCCTGGGAGTCGAAAGGGAAGACCACGATCAACCTATTCTCCAGAGCATGGGAAACACGTAAGTGAAATAGGCAACAATGTGTGGTACGCTCTGGTAACAGGCCATTAAGGCACGAAGCCTGGAAGTATGAAATATTCAACCCGCACATGATATGACCAAGTGGCTTCCAGATAAATTTTCAGCCCGCACGATTTAGATCGGACTTGATTCAAGGACTCACTTCCCAAATTGTTCATATCTCCGCTTGATCCTGCGAGTCGGGCTGGAGCAAGAGAGGGGATTTCATCAGCAGCGGCTTTGCTAATCGTTCAGAGAACGAATCATACTACTGTGCCTACTTTACCCACAACCTTCGATCAATCAGAGTGGTTGAGCTTGGACGTGGTTTTGGTTTACCAATCTCCTTATGGACCCAAGTGATCTTCGCTGGAGGAACCTCATGACTGTATAGAACAAGGATGTCAGTAGCATGGAAGAATGTCAATTTAGTCTGACAACGGCCATGCCAAGAAAAGAGGGGAGCCATCGACCAAGAAAAAAAGAAAAAAAGCGCCTTGACAGGAGGACGACAAACTTCAATCAAGTCCAGTAAAGCAGCAGTATGCAGATCCGCACTTCCGAGTTCCGAACAGCTGACAGCAACAAATGGGAATTGAGATCACTTCGGGGCCTTCAACCGGGAAGTTGAAGGAATGCATGGAACGAGGCAAGGGAAGAATGGCAGGGCTGCGGCGATGACAACCTTGACACGAATCAGAGCGAATCCCTTACGAGCGGCCGGGCAGAAAAGTCAGGCACTGGGACCAGCAATCAAGACACGATGGGCTAGGCCAATCAAGAGCTCGACATGACATGTTGTGTGGATGGTAGGGAACGCCAGTGAAGAAGGCTTACCAAAGGTAAGGATAGGATATCAAAGTCGAGTACTGAGGCAGTGAGGAGCAGGATCTGTATGGATGCGTTTCACGTATTGTATGGCTGATGGGCCATGACTGATAAGTCAAGGGCGCATTGCTCTACACGGTACATATGCAGTATAGTTCTCTCCGTAGAGAGCGCACACGAGTATAAGGCATGATATGATGGTGGAAGCGTCAAATCTGAGAGAATCTGAGCCATCAATCTAAACTAGGTAGTGTCTCCAGGCCCAAAGAGGCGTGGTGTGCGACTAGTGCATCGGAGGCAAAGCTAAAATGGATCGAGATGAGCGGATCGGTGCAGGACAGGACAGGCCAAGTATGCAGATGCAGATTGATTATTACAATACGCAGATGCGCAGTGTATGTATTTTATGCTCGCTCTCTTCCGCGCTACTGATGTTCATGTAAAACTATGTAGTGATGTATATATATGGTGTAATTTCGAGTCTCTACCCTACGGTATCACCGGAATGGATCATAATCCCTGTTGATATTGTTCGAAAGATGACCTTCTGCAAATCACGTACACTTTATACAGGTCGGATCAACCACATCGAACAGACAGATCGGGTATACAGTATAACCCACTCCGTGAAACGCTAGGCCATGATGTCAGCTCTAAGCATCCTAGCAATTGTTGTTGAGGCAGGTACAATGCTCAACTCAACAGTACCTATAGGGAATAGGTATCTACTCTCGAGTCACACCCCTTTGACTTTATATTGCTAGTCTGAGCATATGTACTACTGGAGTGACTGGACACAGACCGTATGGCTGCTGCAGGGAACACAGAGCATTGGCTCCTGAAGATGGTGATCGATAAGGTCCACTTAGTCAGATTGATAATAAGACGAAGTCGGCATGCCATCTCTCGCAACAACAACATCAACAACATCAACAATCCTCTCCGCTTGGCCCCAGACGCTCGCACGCTCTCTGTCCCCTCCTGTGGCTTCTGTGGCTGGAAATGTCTCCCATTCACCAAACTCTGTATCTCATTACCGTGATTACACGGATGACAGTACAACTTCGCGATCTGACTGGATCTGGTAACGGGCACAGCCGCCGTACCCCGGGCACGGCTGGTCCAAAAAGTCAACCCGAACCATCGTCTCGCTCTCGACGTCATATCGTGCCCGGCGTACCAGATGACCCAAGGGCCAGAGCCGCCCGTCGAACGACGATATCGTCACTCGTGTACCCGACGACCTGGTAAATGAAGACGCCCCATTCTTGTGGGCAATGGGAATCACTTGAATCCAAAGGAATCTCTCTGCCTCTTGTGAGCAGTGCTTCCATGGCGATGGTTGCTGTTCCTTCCTTGGAAGTTGCCAGCAACGGGACTGTCGACCTTCAGTAGTAGCTACTAGCCATGACACCAGGTTCCGCCCACCTGGCTTCAGATTGGCCGCATGATGGTGGATCCCCCCGTTCGACCTCATCTGCCTTGTTTGTCTCGAAAAGCCTCGATCGCTTCTCTCAACGGCCATCCCTCGTTGGTGTGCTGGCGTGATCCACCCCCTCCTGTCCTCCCCATTCTCTTTGACCACGACCAGGCGATTTTTGATTCTGTGATAAGGCCATCTGGACCAGCACCATATATATGCTCCCGTCCGATTCCATCGGCTCTGTCTACCTTCTTGAGCATCTCACCCGATTCTACGCTAGCGCAAGACCCACTTCGGGGCCGTCATTGTACAACTGTGATTGTTCCCCATCGTGAAGCGCATGGCTTAAGCTTTGAATCGAGATCGGCTCCGAAGAAACAGAAGGAACAGTGGTCGCCCAAAGTTTGGCCACTGACCACTGGCCACCTCCACGAGGCTCGTGGGGTGCCACACCTCCTATCATGTCATGCACGGTCGGTGCAAGATGAAGCCTACTGTGCTCATCTTTCCGTGGGTGTCAACGACATGAGACCTACAATGGGAAGAATTGGAAACTCACCCTGAAATGGCATATGACGCCGGAGAGATTCATGCGACGGAACGATCGCCGAGAAGCTAGGGAAGATGTTACGGCGGATTTACGGGCTTGGTGGCTACGCAGAGCCGTAGCCAGCCGTAAGCCGTAAGCCGTAAGCCGTAAGCCGTAACGGTGCGATACTTACTTACTTATACCGTTCCCGGGTATACCAGAGCATGCGTCCTGGTATATTTTAGTCTTTTGGCTTGTTTGGTTAATCGACCCGGCTATTTCCCATAACAGAAGACATGCCATTTTTACGACGGTCGTTGCCGGCGGTCGCTCTGTCTCAAAGTGACGTCACAGTCCATATCGACATCTTACTCGGTGATCAAACAGGCCGGACGACAGGAGTGCTCCGCGCTAACGTGCTTTGCCCGTCTTGGTTGCGTCCTGTTCAAAAGTCCCCACGACCAGGTCGTCCACCTGGCCGCCCCGGGCGACGCTATATCTCGGGCTGATCTATGTACTTGGAGATCTAAGTGTCGTGATCGGTCGTAATGATTGGGTTTCTTGTCTTGTTCAGGATGGTCGGAGTGGTCACCTTGATTCGCTAACCGTGAGCGAGCGATGGAACCGGTCCTCGTTATGCATGCCGACGTTTGACGGGTTGGCCACTCACAGTAAGCTTATCGCGCATAATTCCGAGCAGCCGATCTTTCGATCGATGGCCGGTCATTATCTAGATGAATGGGATGCTGATGATCAAACCTTCACGGGGAAGCCAACTCTTTACATAGGGTCAGATCATTTACCAGGTGAAGCAAAGGTATCGTCCTGCCATCGACTTTTGAAAACATGAAGATAGGTCTGATCTTCGGGAATGCTATGCAAATCCCGCGTCTCTGGAGAAAGGCAGGCCAGAGACGGCACCGATTGGCAATCAACCTTTTTTTTTTTTTTTTTTTTTTTTTTTTTTTTTTGGTCCTGTGCCTCCCAGAATTCGCCCTGGTCTTGTTCTTGGCTTGGTCTGCACGCCGCAGACCTGGCTGCTCCCCCTGTCCTTCCTCTCTTCTCATCCGAGTGGATCCTCCCAGCCGTTGGCATGTCATATCCGTCATCCGTCACCTTTGGGGACCCCTGTCTGAAGGACTTTTGACATCTGACGTGGAGGTTTGTAACTCTGTACAACAAGTGATTGATAAACTACTGCGCTCCATCGGTGGTGGTTATCACTGATTCTCGCTAGAAGCTAGTAGCTAGCAGCTACTAGCTACCACTATCTCGGCTGAGACCGGTGGATAGCTTCGCGCGACAGGAACTAGTTTTCTCTGCGACCTCATCGGGAGCAGTTTTACCATTCAGACAGCTCCAGCACTACGGTACCTGGCAGCGCAGGTCAATTCCGCGGACATTGTGAATGCCTCGATGTTTCCTGAGTAAGACCCAGCAAAAACAACCATTCTGGTACTCTCTTGTCCCTTGCCCAGCCTCCTCTACTACAAGTCGCGACGTGTGGACTTGTGGGTGTTTCTGTTCCCTGTTTCCCTCCCTGTTTCCCACCCCGGTTCCAGGAGTCCAGCCCCTTCTTCTGCTCTCGAGTGGAGTCCGGTGAACGGACTCTCTTCAATCTGTCCGTGTGTGTGTGTGTATTTGCAGGTGGAACGGACGGTCTAACGGCTTTCTTTTGGCTTTCTGGCCTCGAGGCTGTTTGGTCTTCATTGGAAGACAACGGAGGCTTGAGAAATGGTGGCGGCGACTGGCCAGTGGCTAGTGGACATTGACAGATTCGATCCGCCCTTGAAGGTTAAGTGACGCTCGATCCTGGGAACGTCCTGCCACTAAGTGATAGTAAGACTCACCTCTGGGTACTATCCTTTTGATGATCGGAAGTGGAAAAGAACTAAAGTACTGCACCGATGCACCCAGCTTTGCAACCATCTGGGGCATTGTTGGGTCACTTGATATGTCTCACTTTTCTACCCAGTCGATACATTGGAATCTACGCAGTATATACTATACACTATACGCTATATACATTTACACATGGTGTTCAGTCCATGGAGGAAGGGAAGGGGTTCATGACTTTTCATCACTCTCAATTGGAGACCCCAGCTCTGGCGAACGCGGGTGTCCAACTAAGCATATGATGAGTCAATTCTCGGGCGGTGCGACCGAGTTGATCTCTCCGGGTCTCCATAGTCTCTTCCACGTGAGATGAACATGACCATAAATCCATAAGAGACGGGTTAGTGGTTCCTTAGTGGCGAGGGTTCAAATTCTGATCATCTCTGCGGTTCTACCTAAGTTAGTACCTACAGTAGTAGACTGGACATAGTCTGAGTCGAGCCGATCGAGCTAGTGATCATCATGTTCACTCAGGGCGTTTTGATCGCCCTTGGAGTCAGGATCGCCGTTGGAGTCCAGACGATCCTAGCATCCTCTGCTGTCGAGTCTAATTCGCCCGATCGGTTCGAAATGTACCCTTTGTGATTTAGCGTCTGAGAGAGTCGAGTCCCAAGCCGGCAAGATTGGTCCGGAGCGACATGGTCGGATAGGCCTGATCTCCAGGGGAGAAAAGGTACGAGGCCGCACGGCACTTTCATGCACCATACATCGTGTGTATTGCACATTGAGTACCTCAGTACAGAGAATTGTTAGTGTGGACGAAAGTCAGCAGCGTCAAGGTTGACTCTCTCTCTCTCTCTCTCCCACGGGCCCGTCCGCAGGGACCTGTTCCATCCTGGAATCGATCGCGAGTCTGTACAAAATAGGAACGAAAGTACCATATGTCCCTATCTGGTTGATTGATGAACCAATCTTGTGATGAATACCTCATGTTAGGATCCCCAAGCCTTGAACACTACGAGCTTGATCACTTCATACACTGGGATTCCAGTCCCGCACACTGTACTTTGCGCTCTGTTCGGACTATCATTGATTCACGGGGTGACGGCCTCAAAAGTCCATACCGTGTAAGTAGAGAGTCGACCCTCTACTAGTACACTCTACACTCTACAGTAGATGGTACTCGGGGTAGAGACTAGAGAGTAGAGACAGGTTGAGTACGGGTGCAGTGACAGCCAGCGGGATACTCCACTTCTCAGCGCCTGGTGACTGTCGCATAGACCACCGCGATGAAATCCCAATCCGCACCCCCATCTATCACAATCTGCAGCAAAGTTGAGCATATAGCCAATTTTCATGCACAGGGTGGACGATCTCGGAGCTTAACATGGGTCGAGAGAGAGATCCCGAGGTCGGCTGCCTGATTCGGGCAACCATGCAAATGGTACATAATACATATGCGTGGTACGTACAGTACATCTACTCCAGTAGTACCTTTGTGTATCACGCTTGGAGTCCGTATAAGCAAGCCAGCCCACTGAGACTACGACTGGCTTAGCTGGAATGAAACCAAGACACTGAAATCTCGTGATAGCTTCCATACCGCAATCCGTATAGAATGCGCGTCAGTTCAAGTACGCTGGGAGCATCGTGCGCATTCAGACGAGGAATGTGTCGACGACTCGACACAGATGATTCGCTCAAAGATCACCTTAATACTTCAAAACACTCGAAGAGATGGTCCTGAGCGGCAACACCCCACACAACCGCGCGGTAAGCGAAAGAAAAGACAGCCCTTGAATGATGCCAGTCATGGCTTCATCATCTCGTTATCCCGAGGACAAGAGATAGATAACATTGAAGCCCCCGAGATGAGACGAGTAGAAGAAATCTCCAACAATGTGTCACTGAAACTCTAGCACCTAGATAGCCTAGAGAATGCGCTAAGAAACTTAATTCGGCGCACCGTGCCGGTTCAGACCATGCACGCCCGGCAATCGAAATTTTCCCATATGAGGACTACTGCTGCTGTCGCTAGACTCGCTATTCGCTAGAGGAGGTGGAATGGACTAGTCAAAAAAGAAGTGGGACGCGATCGACAGGACGCTACGTGCCTATACAATCCTTCTCCGACCGTGATGACCCTATCGAAAAAAAAAAAAGTATAAGCTTGACACAATGCCTCCAAGATCATGCAGTGGGCATTTCCATCAGATCCAAAAAGAAACGATGTATGAAACGAGCAAGTATCCCTTGTCTCATCCTGCTTCGTCCGGTGGCTTCAACAACCATGCTTCGTGCTAGTCTTGTCCTTGGAGACCAAGAAGCGGGCATACAGAGCATGAACATGAATGAAGAAGAACGCAAGGCCTCAAAGAAAAAAAAACAAAAAACAAAACAAAAAGAAAAAAGGGCACGAACGGAAGGGATCGACAGGAAAACAGAGCGGCCAGTCACAAGCTAGCAGCAGCCGTTGGCGCCGTTCAAGGCGGGGGGACTCGAATGGTTCTTTTCTTCCTAGTGCTGATGGCGACGAACTATGCTTGATGACTCCTATCCGGCCCCATTTGAGAGCGGGTCTTGGGGGAGAAGGGATGATCGAATTGTCTTGGAGCTTGCGTGGAAACTTGCTGTCAAATGCCGAGTTCAAGGTTTGGTGGGATCATAGGCAATTTCCAAGCAAGCTTGT